CCTGCCCAACATTAGCTTGCTGATTATATGCTGTTTGTTATTTTGGCATTAAGATTGTAACATGCATCCTTGACTTACTAAAGTCTAATATAAATCAGTGCTTTTATCACTTCCCACATCAAGGAAAGACCTTCTCAGAACAGTGTAACTCCATTTACTCCAAGTCTGCACACACAGCAAGGTGTTACACATATTTTAAACCCCACGCCATATTTTTATTGTTTATATTGGGGTTGGCAAACTTTTTCTGGAAAGGGCCATTTGCTAAATATTTTAGGTTTTGTGGGTCATGTGTTACCTCTATCATGTATTCTTCGTTTGTTCGTTTTAATAACCTTTAAAAACATGAAAACCATTCCTACCTAGAGAGCCATACAAAAATAGTCTGTGGGCTGTTTTATAGAGTCAATATTATTTTGGATTTATCTTTATATCTATTCTTTCTCTACTTCACCCTTCTTATATTGCCATGCTTCCATCTGGGGTCATTTCCTTTTAGCATTTTGAATGTGTCACTCCACTGCCTTCTTTGTTTCCCATGATAAGTCAGTCGTTAATCATTATGTTGGTTTCCTGTATGTGAAAAGTTGTTTTTCTCCTGCTGTCTTCAAGATTTTTTCCTTGGCTTTAGAACTACACCTAGACACGTCAATTATTATAGTTGATGTGTCTAGATAAAATTCTCTTTGTGTTTTCCCTACCTAAAGTTTTGGGTTTTTTTCCTAGCTTCTTTGATCTGTGACTCAATATTTTTCATGAAACATGGGAAGTTTTCAGTCCTTATTTCTTCAAATCTTCTTCTGCCTTTTTCTCTCTCTGCTTCTTCGGGACTCATATTACTTGTATGTTTGTATGCTTGGCAGTATCCACAGATCTCTGAGCCTCTGTTTATTTTCCTCCCATCTTTTTCCTCTGGATTTTTCAGGAATGTGCTTTCTATAGCTCTATCTCTAAGTTTACTGACTCTTTTTTCTGTCACGTCAAGTCGGTTCTGAGCTACCCAGCAAATATTCCATTTCAATTATTGTACTTTTCAACTCTGGAATTTCCTTTTTTTAATATGTGTATATATAGCCTCTATTTATTGAAACATTAGTCTTCATGTTTTTCTTTTATTATTTGAACATATATAACAGCTGCTTTGAAGACTTTGCCTGCAAAATCCAACATCTGGACTGACTCAGAACTGGTTTCCATTGACTGCTTTTTTCCTGAGTATGGGACTCTCTTTTCAGTCTCACAGCATGTCTAGTAACTTTTGGTTGAAAACTGGACATGTTTAATAACATTTAGCAATTCTGAATTCTGTCCTATTTTTCTGAGGGTGGTTGGTTTGTTTTTTAGTAACTTGCCTGCACTTAAACTGCGGAATCTGTCTCTCTCATGGTGTGCAGCCACTGTGGTCTTTGCTCAGTTTTTTAATTCTTATTTTAATTTTTTTAACCCGGCCTCCTAGGAGTCACCCCTGGATCTGCACAGTTTAGTGATCAGTAGTGATTTGGGCAGAAGATGTGCTCAAACACCGTGAGCCTGTAAGGCTCTGTTGATTGAGCTGTGTGTAGGCTGGGGAATGAACACGAAGTTGCGGCCAATTCTCAACTTTCTCTTAGCTTTAATCTGACATGGGGCTCTTTCCGGTCTTCGCAGCACATGCATAGATTCCCAGTCAGCCAGGAAGATGTAAAGAGCATGCCTCAGCCCTTCTCATTTCCTGGATTGCCTCATTAAATATCTGATTGGTTCACCTCTCACCCCAACTGGAAACCAAACATCGGGCTAGCAAAGCTGTGGATATTCCCCATTTATTCCACATTAGTCTACCACTTCTCACTGGTCTATTATCTGTTTTGTTTTTTTCCTCTCTCTTGGTTTTTGATTATTTGGTGTTGTCTCCTGATAATTTTTTTAAATTGAAATCCAGTCATTATATATAAAAAATTTGAGAGATAATTTTATGTTCTGGGATGGTGCCATCTTCCTCCCTAAAGGCTTTACTTTTTTGCTTTTGGCAGGCAGCTGGGTTGGGGAAGATCACCTTAACCTAAGCAAGAATCAAACCAATTAAAGCAGGGCTTCAGTCCTTTTAGAAGCTGGTCTGTTTCAAGTTTATCCATGTGCCAAGGGACTAGCTCTTTGAAGTGCCAACTGAAAGCCTGGGATGCTTACCAGGGCCCCTCCTCTTGGATGGACATGAACTCCAGTATTTTCCCCCAGCTCCATGGAACTGCCTGAAGTCTGCACAGCACATTAGCCTTTTTCCTGCTGATTTCTGTTGAACGTGATTTGGCAAATGCTTCAAGAGTAAAAACAGCATCGAATGTTGGGCTCACTCTCTTCACTTCTCTTGTCTCCGGCTCTTGACACCCAAGTTCTTGCTAACTTTAAGGCTCTCAACAGATATATATATACACACACACACACACACACACACAAATGTGGAAATGCATAATAGAATGTCTGTAGAATCAAAAATAAGGCCTTGAAGATTCCATAGCAGAGGCAGGAAAAGATGTAGGAATCCATTGATAATCTTCAAAAAACAGCCTCTTTTGAGCCCCTTTCAAACCTTTTAGATCTAGAATCAGCAGATAGGAGCTCTCAACCCAGCCCCACCTCTCTAAAGAAAAATTTTAACTTTTGCTGCTATAAAATTATACTAGTAACGACATCCGTATCCCTGGATTGTTTTGATAATGAAATGACGGTACCTTTCATCAAAATTAACATATTTCAACATGTATTTTGTGCAGGCACTGGGCTAGATCTTCTGCTGTATTGATTTTTTAAATGTTATAAACAATATAGAATGCTGAGTATATTTGCTGTCATAAAAATCTTTTTTAAGAAAACTGCTATTTAAAGCAGGGGACCAAAGGCTTTCTTTGAGGAGCAATCTTATATTTCTCCCAGGCTTGGAGCCTGGAGGACTAGATGTTCTGAAGGTGACATTTCTCAAAAATGAGGGGACATTTGGCACCCAGCAGCTGTGTTCCTCTACCTGTGAAGGTCCCAGCAAAGCCCCATGAGGAGCTATGGCAGCTGCAGCCAGCCTGGGAATCTAGAAGTCAATCTCAGGCATTCTTGGGGCTGAGGGCTATTGAGAGACGCCATCCTCCTATTTCACCCTGATGACCTCTTCGGTACCAGTCTAGATCAGGGACTGGCTGGTAAACTATCGCCCGTGGGCCATATACAGACTGCCACCTGTTTTTGCATGATCTGTAAGCTAAGAATGATTTTTGCATTTTTAGATTCAGTTTTTTATGTGCATGTCCAGTTGTTCCAGTGCTATTTGTTGAAAAGACTGTCTTTGCTTCATTGTATTGCCTTTGCTCTTTTGTTAAAGAATATACCATAATAGCATCAAATCTCTGCCCTGGTGATTCACCCACCCCACCACTCTCAGAGTGACAATCATCTTAGAACACATCCTAATGCTCGTCTCTTCAAAGATGGGTCATGGCTCCCTGTTGGTCATGGGATAGCCTGGCATTTGCAGCCCCGCAGCCCAGCTGCTGTCTGTTCATGCAGCCTCATCTACCTTGCCCAACCCTCCCTGCCCTCCAGTTACAAACCCTGTGCTCCAGCCTTTTTCAGTGTTCCTTCTTGTCCACACCTCTGCACCTTCCATCATGTGCCTCTTTCTGCCCAGAAAGCTTTCTGCTGGGAATTTCAGAAGGGTCGCTGAGGTCTGGAGGAGGTCATAGCCATCATTCCTGTTATGAGCTCCAACCTGGAAATCAGTGCCTGATCTCGCAGCGGGTATGAAATGGAAATATATTCTTGCTCGTCCTGAAATGCCCAATAAATTCTTTTCCGGGTCAACAAGTTAAAGCTGCCAAAGAAGGCAGGGGTAGAAGAGAAATCAAGCCTCCCTTTGCATTGCCTAATGCCGTTTGGGGGTTCTCGAATGGTGTGCCCTTACAAGGAGTGTGCACCTGGGCAGAGAACTGGGCGGGGAGAAGCCAGAGGAAGCCAGGGACTCGGATCTCTGATTACATATCAGTCTCATCAATGTGTCATGAAGCTGTTGAAGTAAGCATCAAGATTACGTAACAATATGAAAAATGCTTACAGTACAACATTAAAGGGAGCTCACAGGATACACAATTGCATCCACATTGATTCAACTGAACCAGAAGTGTGTCGCATCAGAGCCTGGTGGTGGACATGAGACTGTGAACAACGTGAACAAATGAAACCGCTTTGGGTTGTAGGGGTAATGGCACTGTGGGCAATTTTTTGGTTCTTTATTTAGAGTGCTGTTAATTGTACTACGGTATTATTTGTATATTTAAAAGGCCAAATGTGTTATGGGAAAACTCATTGACTTGGATACTTAAAATGAGTCTATTTTATCATATGTAAATTATATTTTTAAAAAGTAAAAAAATTTAAATGTTTTAAAAGTGGACCTAAAGTAAGCTGGACAAGGATAGTATCTTTGTGGTCTCTCTACCTGCCTCCTCTTCCCCTTCGCCTACATTCAGGGAGACCCCTCAACGCAATCCCTGTCCAGCTATTGTGAATGGTCGTGGCTGCCGGAAATCCAATGATTAGCTCTTCTCCTAAGCTCACATCACCCTTCAGACTATCCTGGAACGTCCTGCGTCTTCACCGCTTTGTCCTGCCTTGCCAAACAACAACAGCTCTTTGTCCAACATTACCTTCCTCAAGAGTTCTGCCTTTTGCTAAGGAAACAGTAAAGGAATCTATGACAACGTTCCTATGCATGATATAGGGTTATTGCTGACCCCTCCCAGATAACACTTTTGCTTCTGAGCCTGGGGATTCTGCCCTAATTGGCTGCATTAATGGAAGCACAGTGTCCCAAACAATGGAGGTGATAGTTGGAAGAATAGAATTTGGGCTTTCCTAACACAAAGGATGTTATTGAGCTGGGCATATAGGTAGGGCTGGGGGGAAGGGCATGAAAGCTACAAATCTGGGTGGGAGTTAATTCCAGCTAAATAACCTGAACTATTTTTGCTTTCTTTTAGGGACCACCCAGGCCCATACTTCTCCTGGAGAAAATACATTGGAAGAGCAGTTATGGCCAGAGGTGAGGATTTTGCCCTCATGGGAGGAGGGTGGGATTCTCTTCTAGTGGGTAAATCCAAGTCTTGATGCAAGTTGGCAGGTGCCTCCCTGAGGCCTTGAGGGAATGGTCTGAATGAACAGCTTCCCCCAGGGACTGTTGGCTGCCTGGCAGGGCAGAGACAGCATAACCGTGTCTCCTGAAATTTGGGGCTCATCATCCCTGCAGACCGAGCAGGCGGTTCCCAGAAGTGTCCCAAGAGAGTTATAAATGGGCTTATTATCTCTGTGAACCTTGAAGCAGATGCCGTGAGTTATCTGAAGGCATCTGGGTGAGGTCTTCCCAGAACATCCACAAGATAAGAGTTGAGAGTAAATGCTTTATCTCTGTCTGCAATCAGTAATTCAAGAGAAATTAACTTGTGTCTTCTTATGATGGCGAACGTGGTCAGGCTCCTGATTTACTGCACATTTTCCCCTGTTGGAGCATTTCCCCTTCCACTCTCAATTCTGGGGAGAAAACATGTGATCTCCCTTCCCAAAGCCTTCCATGTGGTTCACAGAAGCAGAGGCTGCTCTGGACTCACGAGCATCTGAGGTGGCCCGAGTAGTTTTGAGGACCGGGCACTGCTCACCCAGTCCCTCCTCTGCTGCTGTCAGCCCCTCTGGGCTTAGGGCACACCCATCTAGTGGGGATGTGAGAGTCTCCCACTTTCAAGTTTGCCCAGCTTCCAGCAGCAAATAAACGTAATGCCTCATACACCTGCTTTTGTGTAAATAATCAAATTAAAAGAGAGGAGGTAGGTAATACAAAAAATATAGTAGCATAGAATGGACTTTTTAATTTTTTAGTCTATATATACTGAGTCTCTTCTCAATAATTTCTTTTTTTATTGTGGTAAAATATACATACAATTTACCATTTTAGCCATTTTTGAGTGTACAATCCAATCACGTTAAGTACACTCACAATGTTGTGCAACCATCACCACTATCTATCTCCAGAATTTTTTCATTATCCCAACAATTGGTTTTTATTCTTCTTTTTTATTTTCCCTCCTTCTCCACCCCACTGTTTTGGGGCATCCTTACTTGCAACCTGCTAAAATCGTTGTCAACAGACACATGTCCCTTTTTACCAGGTGACTTGGGTAGGGTTAGAAGAACGTGACTAGCACAATTGTTATTTCTGGATTTCGAACCTAGATAGAACAAGTACAGGGTCATTTCTACACCAAGCTTTCAAGATCTGCAATATTTCCATACAAGGCAGTTGATGTTTCTGATGTTTGGTTTCGTTGCAGACCCTGAAGAATTTTCTGTTATGCAACCCAAAGAAGTCAGGATCCAGTGTGCCTTCTAAGTCAGGTATACGACCCTGAGCCATGAACCAGGAAGGCCAGCATCTTCTCTCTGATGTGACTGGCAGAGGCTCCAACCCTACTCCTCTTCACCTTTTGGCCACTCAAGTCCTGCCTCTTCCTCATCTTTACTCCTTCACGCCTCCTCCTTTTCCCCCTCGGTTATTTCTATGGAGGGACACAGCCCAACACAGCACTCCGAGATAAAACCAACATGGCCCCACAGTGACTTGCCTGGGTGAAGGTGACCTCTGGGAGCTCACCTTGAGGCGGGCGGACAATGTCACAGAAGTTGTGGGTTGATCCCCCACATGCTTTCCCCGATCCTGTAATGTAGCCACAGTGGCTGCTCTAGACATTTTTTTCCTATAATGGGCTAGATTTGTCTAGTCCGTTGATGCCATGAATGTTGCTGTTGAGCTGGTCCTCTTCTCAGGCTTTATCCCATTAAGTGACGGCGTTGCAGACTGTGTCTAATGGCTTTGTTTATGTTTGCGTTGCACCAACCAGGCTCTCCAGCTAAGCGTGCTCTTCTTACTATTCTGTTCTGTAAAGAGTGTAGGTGGAAAAAGAAATTGATGTGCTTCTTAGGAAATACCTTCTTTAAGAGGTTTACCTATAATGCCCCCATAGCACGACCAGGGAGGCTGTCAGTGGTTTCTAGGGAGACTTCATTCTAAAGATACTGGTGGCCTGGGGGGTGATGGAGGCTTTCTGGTGACTATTTGCATAGGCTTGCATCTGATGTTTGTGTGTGTTCATGGGCTTTGAGTGCTGTTCTCTGCAAATCTTCACACCAACATGATCCCTTTTATACCCAGGTGGCTTTCATTTTAATTTGTTGCCCTCTTACTTATTAATAGTGGCCCAGAAATGGAGAGCCAAGGGACAGAGGGAAGTGAAAGGCAGAAAGAGGGCAAGTGAGAGGGAAAACAAGGTCCATGAGTGACCTTCCATGGGCCACCCGTTTGGAGATCGTGAGTCCAGTTAACACTGTGCCCTCCGGAGAGGAGGGAGCCTCTTTTGGGTGGGGTTCCGAGAGCTCCCAGCGACTGCCTGGTCTTCAGCTTTCCACTCCCGTGGCTGACAGACTCAACCTCTGCAGCTGAGTCAGGCTGGGGGATGTGGGTCTGCCCTTCCCATTTGGTGTCCTCGGCCCACACCATGGGGAATATAGATCTGACCGTCTTCCATGCGTTCTGTCTCCACAGTCCACTCTCTGAGACCTTCTGATATTAAATTTGTGGCAGCCATTGGCGATGTGGAAACTGTGAGTATTTCAAAGAGACGGAGGTGGGAGGCACAGTGACCCTCTGAATGAGTGCCTAGTAACCAGGCAGAATGTTTCATTTGGGGAGAGAAGAACATTCTCTGAATGGGAGAAATCCTAACATCTAGGAGGTTCTGGGTCCTTTTTTTTTTTTAATCAAATGAATGCCTCTCTTTATATTAGCATGAGGAAATTTTTGGAGTTTCTCATTAATAAATTAAACTCATTGATAAATTAAGTCAAAGATCACATAGAATTTTTAAAATAATCTCTTAAACTCTCTATTTATGAGATAAAGAAAAAATGCCCTTACTCACATGGTAAATTTTTAAAAATACACCCATCTTTGCTAATAAATTTTAATTGGTATATTTTATATGGTTAGGTAAAGGAGAAAGAAAGCGATAAGAAGAGAAAGAGGGAAAGAGAGAGGGATGAGCAGAAAGTGAGGCATCTGGAGAGAAGAGGGTTGGAGAGCAGAGCAGCATGCCACTGTGATTCCCTGATCAGCCCTGGCTTCCCACCATCCTGCCTGGCCTTGTCTTAGTAAAGATCTGCAGCCAGCTGCCTCCCCCCCGCCCCGCCACCCCCCCCCCCCCCACCCCGAGTCCCAGCTGAACAGAACACTGACCGGGCTCTGCCCCCGAGCCCTGCTGTACCTCCCCTACCTAAACTGGTCGATCCCCTCCCCCCAGTGTGCTCTTCCCCACCCCCCACGTCTCCTTCCCACTGTCCCTCCGCATCCCAGCTGCAGTCTGTACTCCCTGCACCCTCAGCCCCTTCCCCTGGGCCCAGCCGGCCACCTCACCGCAACCCCAGCCCACCATCCCATGCACAGTGCCAGTCGTATGTGAAGTGCGAGCTTCAGATGAGAAAACTGACCTCAGGCCCAGAGAAATCTGGCAGGCGGGGCTTCCCACCCTTGTCTTATTCTACCTGTGCTGGGGGTGGTAAAACTGCACGTGTGCTGTCTGTGCGTGCTGATGACGGCGAAGGTGGAGGTTTCCTAGTGGGAGAGATGTGAAGGGGGAGATGGGAATAAATGAGAAAGGAGGTTTCATGTCACGGGGAGCACGTTGACTTTGCTCAGCCCGTGTGTCTCTGCGTGCTGATCGTTACATTCCAGGGCCTGGAACGTGTGGCACTCGCTGGAGGACTCGCATTCTTCCACCTTGGGGGGGAAATTCACGGCAGGGAAACCTCCACCCCCAGTCAGGTTTCTAAAGTTGAACGAATCAATGACTCCCACTCTGGTCCCAGCTCTGAACGAGCTCTCTCGCTCATGAATTATTCAGGCCCACAGCTCCTGCCTGTCACTCAGCTCCCCTTTTCTCCTGCATGAGCCTGAGGCCCACGGCACAGAACACAGCTCCAGTCCATGCTGGTGTCCCGGCCCCAGAATCACGCTCATTGCTGACAGGCACCTTTGCCTTCAGGATCCATCCTGGAGTCACGGTTCCTCGGAGGCCGCCTTCCTCTGTCCCCCCAGAGACGGCTGTCAGGAACTTCGCCTGGCAGATTAGAAACATCAGGCCAAGGAAAAATAATGGAAGATGGTGAATTTAAAAAGAAAAAAGTCTATAATGCGGATGTCTTGCCTTGAGTTCCTGCAGCTTTCTGTAAAGAAGGCACAGTCACTTGTGACTATAAGGAACACTTGTTTAATTGCTCTGGACTCCCTTTTCCTCAGAGAACTTTAAAGATCAGGTTTGTAAATGGTCATAAAAATTATTTCCAAACTAACACACGTGATGCATGTTCAATATAAGAAAAAATCAAAATACATATATACAGTATAAAAAATTAAAGATGTCCTTCACATCTCTGATTCTTCTGCCTCAGCACACACACACGCTCCAATATGTAGGGTGAGAGAGAGTGTGTGTGCACACATATATGAAACCTAAATAGGGTCATTTTGCAATAGACTATCTGTGACTTGTTTTATGGGGTTTTTTTTGCTTAACTAAGAGTCACAGACATTGTCCATGCCAGGGAGTTTACAATCCACTATATCAAATTCCTTGAAGGCAGGGCCTGTGTCTTATTCAGCTTTGTGTCTCCAGCGCCACAGAACATTCAGGCCATGAAAAGTGTGGAAAGAAAATGGCTGGCAGCAGGCAAAATGGAGAGCTAGGAGTTTGCTGGGTTTGTCCCAGCCTTCCCTTTCTGTGACTTCTCCCTGAGCTCTTCCCCGCACCTCCCCACCTTGTTGCTCTTGTTCTCTCCCCCTACACCCCCTCCCCACCCCACATCGGGCTTGTTCTGAGGAAGGGCTCTGCCTTCCGTCAGATCCCCTTTGGTTGGGCACAGGCTGTTCACCTCGTCGCCGCCCCAGGAGGCCAGCTGCCCTCATGACTTCACCTGTCTTGTGTCTTTGTTGGTGATCCCTGACTTGCATTTTAGTATGGTATGTTGCTTAACTTGTTACCCCTCCCTGGAAATTTTGCCTTTCAAACTCCCTCTCATTGAGGAGTAAAGGACTCCATCCCAGTCAGAGGAAAGTCACGGTCAGCCTGCTCTCCCCAGAGGGCACCAGAGGAGTGACCGAGTTTTAAAGACTGGTTGTCCTTTGAGCTGGGTGGTTAAGACTAAGCAGGCTCTTTAAAGGGAAGCAGCAGCAGGCAGGGTGTAGGGAGGGAGGGCACAGCTGTCACCTGTCACCACCGCACCTGGAGACTCCATCTTCTAGGATTTGTGAGAGAGAGAATTTGTGTCAGAACCGGTGAAAATAATACTACTGACAACAGTTAATAGGTATTGGACGCTCTCTGTGTCCTGGGCACGACTCCAAGCATCCCTAGGACCATGCAAAGGACGCGATTCCCAGGAGGGTGACCATGTCTCACCCCCAGCCCTAAACCAGGGAACAGAGAGCGTCCTGTGTTGTCCAGCATTTTGCCAAGAGGAAAATCAGAAACTTATTTTGTTCATTCAAAAGATATTTGTTGAACAAATATTTATCGAGTCCTTATGATGTGTCGAGCACTGTCCTATGTCCAAGGAACACAGGCAAGAGCAAAACAGAAATTCTGCCCTCATGGCATTTCCATTCTAGACGGGAGAAACAGACAATAAACAAAATAAATTTTAGATTACGGAAGGTCACAACAAAACTATCTCTTTTGCTTCTAAGTAGAATGTTAATAAGGTTTCAAGATGCGTTTAAATATAAGTCTCTTGCCCCTGTTTTCTGTTCTGGAAAACGTTCACGTTTTCTGTTGATCTGAGTTCCCACCAGCACACTGCCGAGGAAGTCTGGCATTCTTGCCTCCCTGCAGAGCTGACGCGGGCAGGTGTGGCCTTTCTCTGCATCCACAGGGCCCCTGTTATTGGAGGGAGGGGGTGTCTGACGGGCAGCCGGCGTCTCCCCAGGGTAGCCTCTGCCGCCTTCTCTGGCTGGGTTGTTCACACTTCGTATCTTTTTCAGCCTCCAGACTCAGGGACAGTCGACGTGGAGAAGCAAAAATGGTAACTATTCTAGAACCACAGAGCCATAGAGCCAAGAGGAGCCTCAGAGATGATCTTTCATCTCTGTATTTCATTGATGGGGGAACCTGAGGGCCAGGGAGTCAATGCCTTACTCCAGGCTCCCTTAGAACATGTGGCAGAGCAGGGACAAGAACCCAGCCTCCTGCCTCCCCATCCAACCCTCCCTGTGCCTCTGAATGCCCCTGGCTCCTCTGGGTGAATGAGAAGAAAAGTGGAAAAGGCCAAATGCGGCATTCCTGTTCCCACCACCAGTCTCCTTGCTCTGCTCTGGAGGAAGCGCGGGGTTGGACCAGGAGCAGGCCCCTTCTACACCGGGGCCTGCATCCCCTTCCAGCTTTGGGCCAGAGTGGAAAAGTGGGGAGGAGGATCCAGACGGAGCTGTTCACCTCATTTTGGTGATTTCATTGCCATCTAAGTTGTGTCTCTGGCTCCAAGAAGGATAATTCCAGAACCAGAGCAAGGCTGAGCCTAAGCTTGTTATGAATAGACCTCAGGCAGCAGAGGGAAAGGGTTGGTGGGCGACAAATGCAGCCTGACGCTCCTGTTTGCTTCTGCTCACAGGACTGACAAACTGCCACAGCAGGAGTGCTTGGGAGTGGTGACAGGTGAGTTCTGTGCATTTGTGGTCAGATTCCGGATTATTCCTGTCCCTCCTGACACAGCAGCCTTTGGGTTAATGAAGAAAATGTACCCTATTGACCCCTTCCTCACAGAGCCTGAGGAGAAAGGGGAGGCGTTCTGAGAGGACAGACAGGGGGCCAGGGTGTGAAAAGTTGGACACTTCAAAGGAGAAGGTGAGAAATGTGCCCCAGGGTCTCTGAGCAGAGAAGCCAGGAGACATTGGGTTAGGTTAGGGGCCATGGGAGAGGGGTCAGGGGTGGCTGGGCCGGAGTCCTGAGGCTCCTGCTCCCCCAGGACCCCGGGCAGGACTTGAAGCACTTTATCTGGGGAAACTGTGCGCCCTTCACTCCCCCCAACACCCTCAAGGAGAAGACCCAGGTCTGGTTTTCAGCCTACTTCATTTTGCAATAACTCCCTTGCTTATGAAAGAAACATATCAATTGGGTTCAGGAAAATGAAAATCAATTGTAATCCTACTATCTAGAGATAATCATTGTTAATATTTTGGCCTTTGTATGTGTGAATGTGCTTATGAATATGCTATCTGTCGCTTTCTTTTCTTCGTTTACTATCAGACATACCCTGTGACTCTGTTAAGTAATCCCAAAACCCCCGTGGCCCTTAACTCCGGCCGAATTAGCCTAGTGGGATGGTAGAGTTGCCTATGCTTGGTGCTCACAAGTCAAGAACAAGGAAATCACCTTTCACTCCATAATTAGAGCGAGAAGACTCAGACCTCAATGCCATGCTCTGCTGAGCTGACATTCCCGCTGAGACTAGTAAGTGAGGTGGCTAGGGCCCTGTCAGTTCAGCCACTGATTTTACCAAGGGCCTGGGCACAATTAGGCTCTCCACAAGAACAGGGATGCATAAGATGCTGCCCCTGCCTTTAGCCCTCGCCACCCAGCAGGGGGGCTTGAGGCCTGGTAGGCAGCCCTCCAGGATCTGATTGACAGGTGAGGGAGTCCCCTTGCAAAGGGTCAGTCAACGGGTTCTGAAAGAGGAGGCCCCTACTGACTGAGTGACTCACGGTCACAGCTCTGCCCAGCCTTGGCCCTGTTTACCTTTAAATGGTAGGAAGAAAGAAAGAAAGTGATATATTTGTGGTGTCTGGGAAGAGGAGATGTACTTTAGACCCTGAAACCACAAATACAGCTATTACTTTGCCTGATTTCTCAATTTGTCTCCATTTTTTGGTTCTTCATTCCCCCGGCAACAAGGCCTCACTGCCCTTCTTTAAGCCCAGAGTGACCAGAAGTCCCACCTGGCCAGAGGCGCTGCGGAAGGCAGGGCAGTGAGGGCAGATCTTGCGCCTGGACGTCCTCAAAGGCAGGACTCACTTGTAGCTGCTGGTGAATCCAGCCTCCCTAATGCAGGGGAAAGGGGGAGGATGGGGTGCCAGACCTGGAGCCAGCTGGGTGGCCAAGCCGCAGAGGAGCAACTGGTCCTCCAAGGAGAAAGTGCTCCAGGCACATCAGGTCCATGCAGTTGTATGGTGGGGTTGGCCCAAGCTCCATTTGGCTCAGCCCACCCCCCCCAATCCCAGAACTTTAGAGCTCTTCCAATCTAGCCATGCCCTCGCCCACCATGGCCATTTTGCAGATAGAAAAACTGAGTCTCGGGGAGGTAAACAGACTTTCCCAAGGTTACATGGTCAGTATATGGCAGATCCCTAGAGAATCCAAGTAGTCCAGACCCACAGCCTGTGTCCTTTGTTCTGACCCCACTGGGAACTCAGAGAGAGGCAGCGAGGACTGACCAGTACAGAGCGGACCTAAAACAAAATGACAGGCAGATTTGTGTGAAAAGATCCAAGGTCATGTTTGATCACAAAGAAGCAATACAATACCAATACTTTTAATTTGGAAAGCAATTCTCTTTCAAAAACCTACCACCTGATACTCGCGTTTTGTCATTTGTCCTCATGGGCTCTCCTGAGGTGAGGGAAGGAACGTGGTCTTCCCGCACCCCCGCCCCCTCACGTGCACACACAAGCGCACACACTCTCATGCTGCCCCTGCAGTCTTCAACCGGCTTTGGAACATTCCGTTCTCTCACCACATGTGGGAATGGACTCCTTCTGCAAGCCAGTCAGGGCTCAGAAAAGGAAGCTCATTACTTTGGGTTGAGGATGAAGATCAAGTCACATGTGACTGAGGTGGCTGCCCAAGGAGACAAAGCCAAGTGACCATCTCCTGAGTTCCAGCCCAGCTCTCCCAACACTACCCTCTCTGCTGCCTGCACGGTGGCGTCAGCTGGATTCTGCACCCACAAAGCCCCAGGCACTCCGGATGGGGGAGAAAGGAAAGGGGGAGTGGGACGGGGGCGGAGGCATCTCCCTCGCATGACACTCTTCCCGTTCTGCCCTCTCCTCTCTTGGGAGCAAGATACAACTTAACTGCTCCTGACTGCGCTATTTTTAGTGGTCCTCTGGCTGTCAGCTCTGGGATGTGTGTTCCCCGGAGCTTTCCCGCCCCGCTGTCACTCTCTGCAGGAGGAAGGGGGCAAGGAGGCAGCCTGCCGGGTCCCTGTCCCAGCACACTTTCCCTAAGGAGTCAGCAGTGCCTGACGGTTAAGAGCTTTGGCCTCCGAGAGCTCTGGTTCAGATCCCAGCGACTTCGGTTAGCCCTGAGGCCTTGGGTAGGTGGCTTAGCTTCTCTCAGCCTCAGTTTCCCCATAAGACACTTAGCAGTGGGCCTGGCCTAGCACTTGACAGATGCTCATTTTTAGCTCCATTCACTTCCAGGGGCCTCCCAACACCGCCGCCCCCCCCCCCCCCACCAGGGTGAAGGCTGTGCTTTGGGGAAGGGGCAGCAGCCCTGGCTCCTGACCCTAGAGGGGTCAGTCTTCACAGGTGACCTCGAGCTCTCAAGGCCACAGCCTCAAACCAGCTCTCTCTTTAGTCCTTTCAGACGTCATCAGACACTTCAGTCCCTCTGTTCTGAGGCCCGTGTGTGCCCCTAGGGAGAGAGTGATACCCTCCACTGGTGCTGAGTAAGTCCGTTTTCTGGCTTTCTCCTGCTCATCCTGTCCCAGGCATCTAGAAGGAAGAATTGGGGGGTGCTGACAAAATCAGAGTGGCTTAAAAGTAGAGATCTGGATTAAATGAAAGTCAAATGTGTCTCCTGCGTGGATTTCAGTCTGCCTGATGGGCCTGATTTTAAAATCATGTCACTATCTGCCCTCCAGAAGCCAGGGGTGGTGCAGTGTAGCCTCAGGCTCAGAGACTGTACCTGGGCTGGGGCGAGGGGCAAGCTTCCAGCCCTCAACGAGCTTATATTTAACTGGTTTTTCTCTCTGCCCTCTCCCTCCATGCAGAGACTTATGGATTCAGGCCAAAGACCTGGTGAGGAGCATGAAGGAGAACCAGGTAAGGATCCGGCTGGCGCTGTGGTTGGAGCTGCCTGGCTTTGCTGTGGGGCAATTGGACCAAACACACCAGGCGGTGGGGGCCCCGCGGCCACCATGCCCTGACCGCGGCACCCGTGTGGCCTGGGTGCACCAAAAATGCTCTTCCTGTTGGGATTCTCTGGAGGCCATTAACACAGGGCCTCTTCTTGTGTTCACAATGCTGTTCTGCCAAAAGTCAGCCGGTGGACTAGATAACTTCTCACTTAGGGAGGTGGTTGAGAGCTTGGCTTCCAGAGGGAGACGAGTGTGAGGGTGAATCCTGAATTCTCCACCTATTAGCTGTACAATGTTGGGTAAGGCACTTAACCTCTCTGAGCCTCAGTTTCCCCACCTATGAAAGGGGGGCAATAAAAGAGCCTGCAGCACAAGACTCAGGATTAAGCCAGGTGTTGGATGTGCCTGGCACAGAGGCAATGCTCAGTGAAAGCCTATAGCTGTCATTGTCATTGAAGTGGCGATTGCTGTTATTATGGGTTACTATGCTCATTTTAGTTCTTAGGTGGAGGCCTCTGTACTATACATCTTGGGGCCCTGATACCCACTCTCCTAGCAGTTCAGACACTCTTTACTTGGTAACTCACATGAGTTTGTATCAAGCATCCTCCAATCTTTTACACTCTCCTCTTGGGCGAGTATCAAATCAAGGCAAGCCTTGCTGCCAAGCTGGCTCTAACCAGGCACTGGGCTTGGACCACTGGAACCGAGGGAAGACACTGTCTTGGCCAACCATCATTCATTCCAGGGTTCAGGGATTAAAGCTGGGTCATTCAAGGTTATACAGGGACAGTGACAAGTGCAGGAGCTATGCTGTAAAGAGTTGGTTTCCCCGTAACAGGAGAAATCCAGAATTTCTGGAGTAATCATAACATTCCTGAGAATAACTGGGAGGTCCTGAATCCAGCCCCATAATTTTACAGAGGAAGAGGCTGAAGTCCCAAGAAGTCACGTGACCTGTCCGACTTCACACAGCTAGTTGGAGCTAAAATCTAGAGTGTGATTCACAGTTCAGTGCTCTTCAAGCACACCAGGCTGCCTCCTAAATGTTCTACAAGTAACACATGTTCATTGTAGAAAAATCAGAAAACACAGATAAACAAAATGAATATTAAAACCATCCTTCAACCTGATACCCAGAGATAATTGCTAACACTTGGTGTATATTTTCTTCCATATTTTTTCTAAGCACATTTATCTGTATGTATTTTATAAAAAAGGGATGTTACTAGATGTAGATGCTTTTTATAACCTGCTTTTCTCAATATAATATTTCCCAAGGCAATAATTACATTTTCCAGCATCATTTTAATAGCTACAGTGTTTCATCTTAAGAATGTTCCACAATTTACACAGCAGTCCCCGATTTCAGCCATTTATGTTGTTTCCAATTTTTCACTCTTATGAACAAGGCTTCTTCACTGTAGGTAAATCTTTCACGTATCCCTGTTTCCTTAAAATACATTTTAGGAAATGGAATTGTTGGATCAAAAGGTATGCCCTTAAAAAGAAGTTTTCGATATACTTTGCCAAATCTCCTTCCAGAGAGTTAAACAACTTTAGATTCCTACCATACACTTCCTCTTTTAAAAAGAAAAACCCATAAAGATGATATTGTGGCCGTGGGTTACGAAATTGAAAGACGTAGAAAGAAAGATGTTCTTTTGGTGTCAGGTCTTACCATTATCTCTTTTTCATGCTGTTGCCCTTTTCTTCAGCAACTTGACTTTCAAAATGACTGGAAGCTCATCAATGTGTTCTTCAGTAATGCAAGCCAGGATCACCTATGTCCCTCCACCCAACAGGTAAACAGCAGGCTGGGAGGCAGAGGGGTTGCAAATGTGGGGATGGGAGCAGAGTGAATGAAATAAATCTGCTCCTGTCAGGCTGGGCCTGGTGGCACCTATTTCAGAATTAGGCAAATAGACAGAAAGATAAACAAATGGATATAGACATCTAAGATCTCAAGGGACCATATACAGGGACAGTGTTTTTAGCTACCATCTTTCATGTCAGGAAAAGGAAATTGAGGTATAGATAAGCTGAGTCAAAGATCATTCTGCAACGGAGCAAAATCAGCTTCCCGGTCAAAAATGATTTTACCTGTTTTAACTCTGATTTCGTGTAAGTACCGAATTTTGGAAATAAAGTAGGCTGTGTACTCTGGTCATAACCTCTTGGCCTGTAGACTCTAGCTGTAATGAGAAGCTTGCTGTTTTTGTAGGCCCACTGTGTCTTCCAGGCACTTTGGCTTTCCTGGGAACAGGACATGAAAAATGTGGCTTTATTTATTATTTATGTAGGTGACTACCTATGACTTAAGTCTTTTTTGAAGATTGTCCAGGTTAGGATCAGTTGAAAGTCTAAGGAGTGGTTTAGAAATCTAGGCTGTGATGACATAAATGGCACACAGACTCTCCTTCAGGAGACTAAAGCCTGGTTGCCACCAAGGTGGTCCTGCCATGGCGTCCAGTTACCTGTCCACTGTCCTTTCAGCCACCTTCCAGAACCTCTGCCAGGCTGTGGCACAAGAATAGGTGAAATTTCTTGAGATGCTGTCCTCCTCTTTTCTGAACCCCTTTCCCACAAAATACACTCTTGTCTTCCTCCAAATGCCCCATGCTTCCGTTGACTCCTGACCCACCATCAAATACCATTCCTTTTGTGATGTTTGGCCCTGGGAAAATGCAGATGGAAGGCCACCTTCCCTAACCAGCTCTTGTTGAACAGTATACCTGCAGATCTCCTGGGTTTGTAGCATACAGATATTGAAGGTTTATTGTTCTGCTTCACCATCTGTTTTTGCCCATGCCAAATGAAATTTACAATCCGTGTTCATTCTCTGCCCCACCCCACTTTGGTCATTATGCACTCTGCCCTCGTTCTGGTCATGATGGATACTAACATTTATTCATGAACGAAGTGCTTAAACAAGTATTTAGGCATTGCTGCATTCCTCTTATATCTACTCATCCATCCATCCATTCATCCGTCCATAAATTATCATATTCATGCATAAATTCATTCTCTCACGTGTAGGCACATGCTATTGTATTTATGATGCGTTTGTTCTTGCTAGCGTTCCTTTGATTTTTTAAACGTTTGAATGCATTCATTGATGCCTACACTCATTCATGAGTTCTTCCATATACCTTATCTCACATTCAAGCATTCCTGTGTGAATTCTTGCATTCTTTCATGTATATGCCTTCAAGCACTCTTGACTACGTGATGCATTCCTCTGTGCATGCATCTATCATTATTTACTTTTATTAACTTTTAGTTACACAGGCAATGTACAAATGTTTTCTTCTTTTGAAAAACTAAAACATTACCATTAAAGCTAAAATACCATTTGGCTAACGCCTCCAATCCTCTCCCTTTTTATTTCCAAGCCTTTTACATATCTATGAATCCTAATATTATTTTGCGTGTGTGTGTGAATGAGAGAGAGAGATTTAACATAAATAGTATTCTATCATGTGTATTATTGAGCAATTTTTTTCACTATTTTTCAGATCTAGTCATGTTAATACCTATGGATTGAGTTTATCCCTCTTACTTGCTACATAGTATTCCATTGTGTAAATTCACTACATTTTATTTCTGCATATCCCATTGATGGTCATTTAGGTGTTTCTAGTTTCTCATTGTTATAAACAGTCTTGTTCATTTACTTGAAGATGTGTGCTTTTTTAAATACGGTGATTTTCAGATTGTAGATTGAAGTATATTAGTGGGTCAAAAATCAGTTTTAAAGATTACAACCAAATTTATAAACTATAAAATATTAGAGTTCATTGCATGTAGTAGAGCAAGTGTTGGTTCGTGATTATTTTTGCTTCATTTTCTACTTAAATACATGTTCTAGGTTGCAATGTGAAACATGTCTCACACTGTCGTCGTGGTCAAAATAGTTTGAAGAAAAGTACTTAGAGCAGGTTCCTAAGCGTGGCATTTCTGCTCATTGGATATATACACCTCTAAGTCTTGGTTGGGACTGCCTGATGCCCTCCAGAGTAGCTGAACCCATTTGTGTCCCCCCAGCATCTGAGAGCACCTGCTTCCTACAACCTTCCCAATATCTGTCGTTATCAAACTTAATGATTTTTGTCAATATGTGACATTCCCTCAAGACCTAGTCATGTTGATATATATCGGTTGAGTTCATTCACACTTGCAACCACATACTTTTAATTGGTCATAAATGTATGACAAAAGTCATCATGCTTCACAGCCTTCTTCTGAATCTGGAGTCAAAAAATATAAGTAGAATTGTGCAAGTTATTTGGAGAACTAAGCTTTTTCCTGACTTTGGGTTCAAGGAGGTGTTTATTATACGTGACCCTATACAGGAGTGACATTTTATAGGAGCATAACGTCTTCCACTAAGGAACAGGGACAGCTGGTGCCCCACGGGACAGCCATTCCGTGTCTGGGGTGACTGGGTGGCCCCGACTCACTCTGCAGTGCTGAATAAGCACCCTGACTGAGGAGCCTCTGAAGCAGGGTGCGCCCTCAGGGGAGAACCGCCCAGGGCTTCCCCGGTTTCCCTGGGGAGGGTGGGTGCCCTGGATGTGGTGCAGGTGGGCAGCGAGGACGCTTCTAGACGGACTTCCCAAGGCTCTTCAGAAGGGAAAGTGAGACACATAGTGTCATGCTCAGGCAGAGACTCGCTTAACTGAAGAAAACTGGTCTGAAGCTTTATCACTGGTACCGCAACAGAGCGGCTACACCGGCCTCTAGAGACAACCTCACACGGAGGCAGGGACGTGGGGTGGGGGCTGCCCTCCGCGCAATCCCAGCCCCAGTGATTGGCAGCTGTCTCCAGAGACACTGCCTACGTCCCTCCAGGAAATAGAACAGCTCCTCTGCCTTCCTGTCTTCCTGTCTGAGCCAAGTCGCCTGGGGGGACAGCCAGTTTGCAGGCAGCTCAGGGGTCTGTCATGTTGTAAAGTTTATTTTTGTTTTTTGTGTTTTTGTTTACATTGAAAAGGTAAACCTTTTCGGGTGCTCTCATTTGCTTATTTTCATTACCTGCAAGGAATTGGGTTGGTAGGGGGTGTCTTGAAACACCACCCAGTGACGGGAGCCCTCTCAGCCTGTCTTGGGGGCCCTCTTCTTACTTGGGGCGAATGTGGCAGGGAGAGATCTGCTAAAATCATGCCACGCAGAGGTTTCGAAGCCCCTCTGGGTCCTTAAATCCAGGGGTAATGTATTCCCCCTTTGGAACAGATTTTCTTCAGATAAAAGTGATTCCCTCAGCCTTTGGGAGTAAGTTGGATCTCCCATCCCTCTGTGTGGGCTTTAGAATTGCCTTGACCTTGAGTTTGCCCTTCCCTGACAATGAACTTCTCATCTGGGGGAGTTTGGTTTTTACTGATGGGTGATAGTTGGGGAAATCAGAGAATGGACAGAAAACCCAGGAAGCTCTGGGAACTCTACACTTGTTTGTGGGAAACTGGTGTCTGGATGGGGCCTTTGCCACCATCACCTCAGCTGAGGGACCAGGGGAGGGGGAGGGGGACAGGCTGGCCGTGAGCCTGGGCGTCCTTACCCCTGTGTCCACCCCCCCCCCCCGGTCTCCATGTGCACTCTGCACATCTCTCCTCTTACAGGAAAGCCGTGTGACGAGTGGCATGGACAAGCTGACTAGAACCCTGGACTACCTGCACCAGGAGGTGAGGCTTGCGGCTTCCCCAGCTCCGTGGGACACACACCCAGAGCTTCCTCACGGGCACCTTCAGCAGCCAAAAGGAAGCTGCCCTTCCCAGGGTGGGTGGGGCAGGTTCTGGTTTTCTCTCGAATGGCCTCCACTGGGATGGGGGAAGTGGACTCCTGTGAGGGAGATCAAGACCCTAGGGAAAGGGAAACCCGGGAGGAGCCAGTCTCCTCACCTTTCTGATGAAAACGGGTCAGGTATAGAGCTCTTCACTCTTCCAAAGGATGTTTCTGAGAGAGCCTTCTGGAGAGAAGAAGGAGTGGAGCACAGTTCTCCCTGGGGACTCGGTGAGCCCCCTCTTTCCTGAGGCCTCTCTCTGACTGAGTCTGGGGCACTGATGGCCTCTCTCGAGCGACCATGATAAGCACTGCAGGTCCTGAGACTCCAAGGGGAGTTCTGTGGCTCTCACATCCCCTTGGCTTCCCTGGGGAGTCGGCTTTTCAGTCAGAGAGGGTCTACTGTCCCATTGCCACCGTGGTCCTGCTCCTCTGATGACACTGTGCTGGGGAGGTGCCCTGCCCACCATGAGGGACAGTGAATGATGCATTTCTGGAATGACACAGCTGGCAGCTTTGGACTGACACCAACCAAACATGTCCCAAAGGGGCCACCTGTTTAACCAAGGAGAGGCCTGTTGTGCTCAATGAGACCCCCAGACTGGGCTCAAACCAGGGATTCCAGAGTAGCCCCTGGACAGCAATGGTGACTTTGCAAATGCTCATCTTCTCCCTTGTATCCTCCTAGGTCCCCAAAGCATTTGTGAACCTGGTGGATCTCTCTGAGGCGATGGGGGTCTCTCCCTGGCATCAGGGGACCCAGCTCAGGTAATAAGGGAAGTGGAATGGGACCAGCATTTGTTGATTGGCTGCCACGCACCAGGCCCTGTGTGCGTACTTCATGTGCTTTGGTCCTATGAGGGTGAGCCAAAAAAGGATAGAGGCCAAGAGAGATTAGTCGTCATGTGCGAGATCTTGGCCAGTGAGCGCAGAGTCAGGCTGGGGGAAGGGCCCTCTGCCAAGTTTTGTTTTGGGGACTGAGTTAAAGAATGAAATATTCAGTCTGGTTGAAGTGGTGCCAGATGGCCTACCCCCACCAGAATGATTAGAGTTTTAAAAACAGGTTTGGCACAACATCTATTTAGCCAAGAAGCGATACTTCTGGAAATTGGAAAGAAAAAAAATTAACCTAAATGTATGTTATCTTCACAGAACTTGATTCTCATATATTTCTGAAATTTTTCCTAGAATTTAAACTCCTTGAACCCAAATCCTAGGATTTCTGGCTTTGCACCCAGAAAAGAAATTCATATGGAAAAAGTCAGGGCAGGGATAGCTGGAGGGAGTGACAACAGAAAGGAGAGGCCAGTGCTGAGAGGAGAGGAGGGTTTGAGGAGGAAGGAAGCACAGAGGAGGGGAGGGGACCTGGGGGTGGGTTTCTGGTGTGAGGAGCAATGAGGGGAGGCGGTGTGTCAGGAGATGGATGAGAGGGAGCTGTCTCCACATCCCTTCCCCACCCCAAGGAAGGGACAGCCGGGCAACCAGATCTCCACAAGGTACCAACTCTCCACTCTACCCTTTATTCTCCTCAACTTTTGTTCTCTTTCCTTCCTTCACTCACACCCTCTAAGACTTCCAACTTCTCCTTCTCCGCTCCCTAAGCAACTGCCAGGTCCCCCAGACCCCTGCTTCCCCCAAGGGACAGCCTGAATGGCCCTACCCTGCATCCACACTCTCACTTCCGGCCTGTTTTCACCTGCAGCCCTGCAGCAGAGCCCCATGGGTGCTCAGAGACCTCTAGGCTGTCTAAGGCTGTGGCACAGTGGTCCTATCAGGTGAGCCCGTTCTGGGAGACTGGCTGTTGGCTCACAGGGGCGGGTGGTCATGGAGGAGAACGGGGGGCTGGTAGGAACAATTAGGGTACAAGTTTGCTAATGTAGAACTTCTCCAACTGAATTCAAGACTAAGAGTCAAGAACCATGGAGCTGCTCTCAGTTCACTTCCGGGTGATGATTCAACTTTCTGCATGTAAAGTGGAGACCACACTACTGCAGGGGTGGGGTGGGGGACAGTGCTGGTACTCCAGGTGAAAGACAGTGGAGAACTTGAAGATTCGTTCTGAAATGTTTTTGGTCGTCATCACTGCTCATACCACTGCATCTGTGGCTGCTGAGCTAGGCTTGTCCCCAAGACTACCGTCCGAGGACAACTCAGGCCTCCCACAGATGTGCTTTCTAGTTCAGAGAAGAGACCCCAAGAGAGTGAGGATGGCTCAGCGGAAGCCATCGTCCCTCTCAGCAAACAGCTCAAAGTGCAGTTCCTACCTAAGTATCAACATCATGATTTTTGTTTAAGAAGAAAGTTACACACTAATCTACGTGGCACTTCTTCCACATCAGAAATGACATTTTTTAGGTAGTTAATGGCACACCTCTCTATAGAACTTCACCCCTGAACAGAGTACAGTAAGTGGCCATGGCCACGTGCAGGGCTGGTGCACACCTTTGCCTCCCAGAGGGTGTATTTCAGGTCTGTCACGCTGGGGCTTCAGAGGAAGATGAAAACCCAATTTAGTTAATCAAAGGGCCCCAAAGTGTAAGACACAAAGAGCTTCGAATAGCACTGAATTCAGCACGTGCTGGGTAAACCTGACAGAGGGCTGCTGAGGACTCCCTGGGTGGAGCATGGGCAGGCTGGGCTCTGCTCGTGCTCCTGGGTGCACATCTCTTCGTTCCCCTCTGCAGGAAAGCTGGGAACGTCTCCTGGCCTCCAGCAAGTATAACGAGCAGGGGTCCTTCGCGGTGGTTTTCCAGCCCTTCTTCTACGAGACAGCCCTGTTGGTGAGTGAAAGCTGCCGTGAGGCCGCAGGAGCTGAATCAGAAGGAGCCTGAACCATACCCTCTCCCTCTCCCACCCTCCCCACTGCAGAAGCCCCAGCCCAGCTGGGCTTCACTGAGCCCAGGATATATAGTCCTGGAGGGAAATGCTGCAATATTCTTATACTTTCCTGACAATTTCCCCAGGGGGTTGGACATCCCCATGAGGCAGGTTCTTAGAGGCAGAGAATCCTAGAGGTAAAGAGCATGGACCCAGCCAGACTCCTGACTCTGGAATGGGCTGGCTGTGTGACCTTGAGCAAGTTGCTTGAACTCTCTGTGCCCTGGTTCCTCATCAGTGAAATCAGGTCTATTATCAACATTCCATCCCTCTAGGGTGGTTGTCAGGATCACATGAATAAATACATGTGAGGAACTCAGAGCAGCGCCTGGTGCGTGGGAAGCCCTCAGTGTCTCTTAGTTGTGATGATTCAGGATAGAATTTCTAGGACACCACACCACACTCCTCCCTCTGCATGCTCTCTACATCCATCCTGGGAGGGAGGGTAGTTTGAATTCCTCCCCACTAGGTCACTGGGCACATGCCCCTCCCCCCAGTGGGGCCACTCAGACCACGAGCGCTGTGGGGGTCCACATGTGCTCACTAAAGTCTCTGTGACGCCTCTGGGGCTTCAGCGCTGTGCGTCTGGGACAGTCCCTCCCTCGGCTCCTGGCTCCGGCCCTGTTGGAGTCATCGTGCCGCTCTAGGACTCCAACGATGTTTAAATTGTGGTTTAAAGGGAGGAGGAATATTCGGTCCCATTCCCCCTACTCAGATCACAGCCGAATCACTTCCCTGTCACCACTCCTTGTGCTATTTGGTTCCCTTATGGAGAACCCCATGAAAATGAGGAGCAGCCAGACATTTCACGTGTTCCTGCAGGCCTGACCCTAACAGCAGTCCTATAAGTGCCGTCATTACTAGTGGGGAGGGGCTGAGGGAAAGAGTCTGCGTGGATCAGGGCCACCCCATCCCAAAGTGCACAGCAGGTCCAGCCTATCCTTGGGGGCACACAGGGGTCCTTATCTGCTTCTTTTTCAGGGGGAGCAGCCACTCCAGGATCCCACCACACTCGCCTTGAATCTCTGGAACAACATGGTGAGTGTCTGGGGTCCCAGGAGGCCACCGTGCTGGCCTTGGGCGTTGGCCCACAGAAGGAGGAGCAGGGCGTCTACCACCCTGCCCGCCCTGCCCATTACTCTGACAGAGGGGTCACAGGGCACCAGCAGGATCCCAGGCCGATGACTCTGGGCCCAGGGATCCTCCCATGCCCTGTGACAGCCCAGCTGCCACTGCCTGGGAGCGTCACCTCCTGGTCCCAAGGGCAGGCTCTCTCTGGGCAGCCTCAGTCCTGCTCTTCCTGGAGGCAGGGAAGTTCCCTGGGAGTCCATCTGGGAGACTTCACTTGGAGTGGGGCACTGGTGATCCGGCTCACATTGCAATTCCGGTCCAGCTTTCACTTACTTTACACCGAGTGCCCTCGTGTGGTTTCAAAGGCCCAGGGTGGTACCTGGGATAGGATGGACTTTAGAGAGATGAAGACCTGGGTTCAAATCCTAATTCCACTTCTCACAAGCTGCGTGAATTCAGGGTCTCTACTCCCTTTCTGCAAAAACCAGATCATAACGCCTGACCCCACACATGTCAAGCGTGCAGCTCACTCCTGACCCACAGTGAGTTCTCAGCATGTACTGGCCCTTCTTACTGCAACTATGACAGGCTTTCCCAGACTCCGAAGGTCCCCCAGGGCTCTGGGGGTTAGTCAGTGGATGGAATGTAATGTCAAAACTCTGAACATTTCCAGGGCACCAGACAGGGACCTGACTTTGCCATTTATTTTATCCCCGTCCAAGCTGTCCCATTTTTAGAATTCCAGTGACAGAAACTTGGTTTTCTTCTTCCTCGCATTAGAAAAATTTCTCTCCATACCTTCAATTGACGCGCTAAGTTGAGGACCATGAGCAGCTGCCTTTCAGCCCTCACCAGCCAAGGCAGAGAGCAGGGGCGGAGGGGGGCGGGGAGGGAGTGGCCCCAGATAGCCAGGTCAATGGAATCACACTGTCCTTTGGAGAAGGCATTGGATTTCTTTGAACAAGGACCCTTGTTAGTGAGCCTGACCCTTGGGTGGGATATTGCCCCAGAAAATCACTTTTCTGCTGGTCACCTATGAAGGGCAGAGAAAAGGAACCTGCCCTGTCCTGCAGGGGCTGCCCTTCCTTCACCCCCACCCCCCCCAGCGGGAAGGGCTGATTATTCCAGCTCAGCCAAACCTGTCCCCTCCTCCTACATCAGCTTTCTCCCAAGCAAGCCACGGGCACCTGCAATATGCTCTGCCCTATGCTAGGTCCAAGCAAGATACAGGAGACACCAAATGGCTTCTGGTTTTATGAGCTTAGGGTGTAGGTGGAAGGGTCAGTCACCTAGAGGAACAAGATAATGTGCTGGACTGTGCGCCCAAAAGCAACAGGGGCAAGAGGTCAGAGCCCCACGAGGATGGGATTCCAATTGGCTTTGTGGGATGTGTCGGAGGAGGTTGGGTGGACCTTCCCTGGCAAAAGGACCTTTGTGAGCAAAGGACTTGGAGAAAAGAAGGAGCCAAATGCATTAGCAAGGGGCAGTAGGAGGCTGGTCTGATACAAGAGGAAACATGGGGATAAGGAGGCCCCGAGAACAAACGAAGCACTTTGAACGCCAGACAGAAGGACGCTGGAGAGAGCAGACCCCAGGGAAAGGGCTCCTCTTCCTCTCTTTCTCCTTTCCTCTGGCTACTGACTGTCACAGGTGGTGGTGGCAGCAGGGATAACTGCCTGTATTGAGCCCAAGTGATGTCCTGTGCATTCATTGGGCACACAGCACACACAGTGTCCCCTAACCCACTTGAGGGTGAGGATGGGCAGGTGCACGGAGGGGAACAGAAGCTGTCACACTTGAGGCCAAAGGACTGGGACACGGTAGGTGTCACAGGGGCTCTGAGGAGGAAGAGGCAGCTATCCTGGGTGGGCATTTACCTGCCCAACCAACCACCAGTCATTTCCCAGTGAGAGTCCTCAAGGGTCCTGCAGTGGGACCAGCAAGGAGGGAGGGGTCTCTCCAGAGGCGTCTGCCCCTGGCTTCCTCATGGGCAAAATCCAGACTATCCCACAGCTCCAGAGTGAGCGCAGCAGAACACATGGACCGCTCCTGCAGGCACGGGTCAATCCATGAGAAATTGGGAATGGAATAGCAAGTCCCATGGTCTTTCTGGGCCTCCATATTCTCTGCTTGCCAGCCTCAGAGGGCCTTGGGAAAATACAGGAGCGGCTCACCCTTGGGTTCACTCCTGTGTCCTCCCAGGGACACAGGGAGGCCGGGCGTGCCTCTGCCTCCACCTCCGTGAGTCTCTGCTGTGCTGGGCTTACCTGAGACCACAGAGGTAAAAGCCACATATGTCCATCCATGCCCACATTCAAAGACACACAGAGCCTCAACAGAGGGCCACCCTCATGCGTGGGAGCAGAGGGGACAGCAGAATTGCTGCAACCACAGGGGCCAGGTTCTACTGTGATAAAAAACAAAATTCCAACAGAGTAAATTTGAAAGTTTAATTGGCTTTAGTCAACGATTCAAGAATGGGGCAGCGTCCCATCCAGCAATTCGAAGGATGCTCCGAAGAAGCGTACAAAATGGCAGGTTTTTATAGGCAAAAGGAGGGTGGGGTAAGGAAGCTGTTAGCAAAGACAAGAAAGGATTGTTTCAGGCCAGGATACCTTCTTCGAGGGGGAAAGGAAGGCAGGGGTTTTATGCAGATCACCTCACTAGTGCTCATCAGGACATTTCAGACTGACGGTTAAAAACTTCACATTCCTAGGATGCATTGAAACTGTAATTAAGTCTTGGTTTGCTGTCATGGGGTCACATGACTCCATTTTGGGCCTGTTATTTCTTTTTTTAACAACAGCTTCTCTCCTGACCACACTCCAGGACACAATGGTGGGTGAGGCTGTGCAGGGGCCATGCCAGCTTCTTCTCTCCCTTGACCAAGCCTCAAAGTGTGTGTTAGGCTCCCAGGGCCAGTAAAGGAAGACCCCACACACCGCCTGCAGTGGTGGTGAACCACCCTGTTTCTGAAACACACTTGGAACCATCCCAGCTGAACGAGCCCCAGACTGAAGCTGAGCTCCCGGCACAAAGCTGAGGAGGATTTTGTGTTGGGGACATAATTCATTCCCTAGGCCCTTTCTGACTCTTCGTCAATAATTTCTGATAATTCTTATACAGCAGTAGTTTTGAACAGACCCACCTGTGGGGAACTTGATTGCCAGATCCTTCCAGCAATCACTGACCCCCACCTTATGCCAAGCCCTGTGCAAGGTGCTAGAGCCGTGAGTAGGATGAGAACACTCAGCAATTGCTCACATTCGAGTGGGAATTTGCTCCCCGGAGAGAATGTCTAAGGTCATCCCTCCCATAGTCCAGTTAATTTCAGGGTGGCAGGGCAGCTGTGCAGAGGAGATGTCAGCAATTAAAGGACTGAAAAGTCGAGTCAGCACAAAGACCAGCTCTGGGCGTCCCCACCCTGGAGCGGACGTGCATTTGTGTGCAGCCCAGGGTGGCAGGAGAAGGAGGGACACACGAGGGATCATTTGAAGTAGTGGCATCATTCTCCATCCTCTCTGAAGATAGATGAGGACAGAGGGTCAGAGTGAATGTAAAGAGGATTAGTGGCAGCAGGAAAAAATGTGGGTGACTGATAAAGAGACATTTAGGACAACGTTCTTAATGAGTTTGTTGAGAAAATCTATGAATTTTCCTTCTGTGAGGTCCTTCAAAAATAGGCCTTGCTATGTCCATTCTACCAGAACCATTAAGATGTTGCTCTTTCAATGTTTCTTTCCAGACCCTATTATTGATTAAATTCTTGAAAATTGGGAGAAGAGAAGAAGGCAGGCCAGACGACATGGGGCCACCAACCCAGGCCCACTAAACGCTCCCTTTCAGGCAGCTCTGAACATTCTGGTGGGACCTCCCATTTCTAGGAGCGTCCACCATCAGAATAAAACTGAAAGAAGGTGGGGAGCCCAGTTCCTCCTCCAGGCCTTAAGCGAAAATGTTGCCACTCCTTTTCCAAAAGGTTAATTACACCCTCTTATCTGACGCTGTCCATTTGGCTGAAAAGCCAATCCTGAGAAGGGTAAAGTTCTTTCCTTGCTTCTACTTTACTGGGCACTAATGCCAGGATAAGATATTGCTGAAGAATCTAAAATCCTGGTGGAGGATGGCAGAGCCTGTCACGGAGCCAGACAGGGTGCTCCATCCTGGAGCCTCCTCCTGTTGTCCCCTGTCAAGGTCCTTGGAAGGGGACATGAGGGACCAAGGTGCCATGGGAGCCTAGCATCTGTGGGCATTAGGACTGACAGCAAACATGAGGGTGCCAAGCGGCAGGAAAATGGCACATGCACAAGAAAATCTGTGATCTCTCAAAGCCACTGCATTTTTCTTTTGTGTTCACATATACATAATAAATATTTAAAAACACAAAAGGAACTAAAATAAAACCCTCCCCCATCGAATTCTTCAGCTGCCTTCATTTTTGCATCTTCCCTTCAATGCTTTCACCTGAGTTTAGCATCTGCCGGGGCACCATACACTTTCTGCCTAGGTTGCCAGATGGGCTTCAGTTATCGTCTAAAGTAGCTGCCTTTATGAGAGCTGATACCATGTCACTCATTCCGGAATCACCGGACACTCTAGTTGTCTGTGTGTGGGGGCTGTGCTGTGTCCCATGTCACTGTTCCTGCATCCTAGTTTAAGACATGGGACTTGACCCAGGACCCATAAGTGGCTTCACTTAGGGCTGTCTAAGCAGGTCCCAGGTAACAGAGGGTTTCACTCCCGACCAGCCATGGGTTCACACCCACAAAGGGAAGGGGAGCTTTACACAAGGGCTGTGTATTTGCCCCTCCCTCCCATCCCTGCTCTCCTCTCTGAGGGAAATTTGATCAGTGGGCCAGCCAGCAGCTGGGCAGCCAGGAGGGGGATAAGAAGTCAAGCTGAGTAACTGGCCACTGGATGATCAGGAAGCTGGTGACCCACTGAGGGAGATTTAGTTGGAACCAGGACACTGTCCTAGTCCCAGCTCAGCCTCTCTGGTGTTCAGTTTCCCCTTCTGTACTTCAGGAAAGCCAGCCCTGGTGTCTAGTGGTTAAGATTCGGCACTCTCCCCTCCACAGCCCAGGTTCATTTCCTGGTCAGGAAACCACACCACCCATCTGTCAGTTATCATACAGTGGCAGCTGAGTGTTGCTGTGACGCTGAAAGCTATGGGACTGGCATTTCAAATACCATCAGGGTTACCTGTGGTGGACAGGTTTCAGCGGAACTTCCAGACTAAGACAGACTAGGAAGAAGGACCTGGCCACCCACTACCAAAAAAATTGGCCATGAAAACCCTATGAACAGAAGCAGAGCATTGTCTAATAAAGCGCTGGAAGGAGAGAGGGTGGAACAGAAAGACCAGGCAGGGTTCTGCTCTGCTGTACGCAAGGTCGCTAGGAGTCGGAATCCACTCCATGGCACTAACAACCACCAAAACATCAGGGGAGGTGGACTAGGAATCAATGATGCTCTCGTGCAGAGGGCCTCAGTTAGAGCGTGCATCAGACTCCCCTGGAGGGCTTGTTAAAACAGAGAGCTGGACCCCACCCCCGAGTTTCTGACTCAGTAGGTCTGGGGTCGGGGCTGGAAATTTGCATTTCTAATGTGTTCCCAGGCGATGCTGATGCTGCAGGTCCAAAGTCAAACTCTGAGAAATGCTGGGCTAACGCTTCTTTCTCAGTGGTACCCTGGAATGCTGCCACCTGTGCAAGCTTTTCTGTTCTAAAGATCACTTTCTTTTCTAGATGGAGCCAGCAGGACAGAAAGATGAGCCATTCAGCGCAAAAGAGAGGAGGCCGGTGAAATGTCCTTCTGAGGTAGGCAAGGACTAGGGAGGGGAGGGAATCGCTTGCTGAACTGGGGAGAGAGATGGAATCACCACGTGGGCTTGGCTGTGAAGCGCGGTCTTCCCCAGCTGAGACATTAGCCCTATTGGAGTCTTGGGGCTGTTCTTCTGGGCCTGGGCACAGCTTTGCACACTTGGCACATCTAAGGTTTACACCTGTGGGCCAGGAAAGCTGTTTTAGCAGAACTGAGGCTCCCTCCACACCTGTAGCCTAGGGACGTAGGGACAAAGCCACAGCTCATCTGGCCCCAAATGTGAAGATGGGTGCCTAATATGTAGTAGGTGTGTAATTAATGTTGCTAAATAAATGGATGAGAGGTATGAATATTCCAAATTGGCCAAAGGCATTGCTGGATGAAAGGATATAGATTTCTGGGTCTTGGTTACAACACGTTACCTTTCTCTGCAGGAGAATCCCTATCTGTTCACCTACAGGAACAGCAACTACCTGCCCATGTCACCAAAACTCCATGAGAGGCTTGAGGTATGGAGAGATTTTCTGTGATTGACAAACATGCAAATGAACCAGGGGCCATCCTCTTGCTGAGTCTTTGGAAACTTCCACACAGTTCTTCACGTCCTGGAATCCCGTGGGCAGGCTGGGGAGGGTGAAGGACCAAGTGTGTGGCTGTCCCCTTGGTGCTTGAAGCTCCGTCTTTAGAACAGCCTTGGTAACCAGCACCCTGTTGCTTCACGGGGTGTGTTGGGGTGCTCAGCACTACCAGCTCCCCATCTATTTTGATGTAAGACAGGACTCTTCAGGCCTTTTCGAAATCTCTAACAAGTTCTTTTAAACTCATCTGAGCCCTTAATCCAAGAGAAAGTTAAGAAAAGGCAGAGAAATGTGTTGAAGCCTCAAACCAGACAGCATAGAGCCCAAAGGCCTCAGAAGTTGGCCAACACCTACCCAGGCCACCTCACACTTACTCACGTCTTGCTTATTGCTTATCTCATGAATATTTTTCTGATACTTTCTGGCAAGGTTAGATAGGGCACCCTGCCTTCCTCTGAGGATCTAAGAAACTCCTGAAGGCTCATTTCCTCGTTCTCAGAGGACTGGGAACTGATATGGGTAGAGACAAATTCGGTCCTAGTGCCATCCCTGCCTCCCTATGGCATAAAAGAGGGGGGAGATTACTCCAGGGGGTAGAGGCAAAGCTGAAGACCTGGGCCTTTACCACAAAGCCTGAGCAACACAGCGTGAAAGATTCTTGATTTATCAACTTGTGCCACACTTTCTAACTAATATCACAGCAATGAGGATACATCTGAGAGGCAGCATGGCACAGTGAGTGAGAACTGGCTCTGGGTTCAAATCCAGATTCTTCCACTTACTGGCTCTGTGTCAGTGGGCAAGGTACTTAACCTCTCTACCTTGGTTTTTTAATCTGGGAAATGGTGATATTCATAGTCCCACCTCATGGAGTTGCTATTAAATTGTAATAAGTTAATAAGTATAAAGCATGTATAATAGTATCTGGCGTGCCATGAGGCCTATATGTGTTGCTGTTATTATCATCTAAGGAGTGATACGTTCCTTCAGGAAACATTTATTGAATACCTGCTGTGTACTACTAGAGTGCAAGCTCCGTGAGGGCAGGGACTCAGAATAGGTCCCTAATCACTATTTGTTGAATGACTAAATGGGCGGGTGGGACAATGGATAGATCTCAGTCATAGGAGATAAAAATACAAATAAAATACATTGCTTGTCCCAAGGAACTTGGTCTAGTGGAGTTAACCAGCGATTACAGCACAATGTAATAAGTGCTGTAATTGACTTTTCCATGGGTATTCTGGGCACCCAAGGAAGAGCAACTGACAGACAGGAGAGAGTTGAGAACGCTTCCCAAAGACTACCCACGGCCTCCGCCTTGAAGGACAAGTAAGGTTGAGCCAGGCGGATGGGAGTGTGGGCAGATGGAGGGAGGGGAAGAGCAAGGGAGAGTGGAGGGAAGTGCTTAGGCAAAGGATAGAGGTATGGAGAGTATGGGGAGCAGAGAAAAGGGCTGATGGTTCAGAACGTCCGGGGGCCTCTCAGGCCACACTAAGAGGGTGGACTGTATGCTGATGTTAACACAGACTAGAAATGTGCTGATTCAGCCAACAAATATTTATGAGCATCTACCATGCACGGTTCTAGGCTCTGGAGATACAATAAACAAAACAGACAAAAATCCCTTTTTTGGCTGAGAATTTGGGCAAGTTGAGAATTTGACCTAGTTATATTATGTTGAGAGAGAAAGAGTCCTCTAGATGGATTCAGAAGCTGGGGAGGAAGCCACAGGACTGACAGCGGTGATGCTGTGAATCCTGCAATATTCCAGGCAAGAAAGAACAAAGGCCTGAACTTAGGTTGAGGTAGAGGGACGACCGGAGAGGGGACAGGATCGGGAGCATTTGGGAAGGATGTCGTGGATATTTGGGTATGAGTGTTGAAGGAGAGCAAGAAATCGTAAAAGATACTTTGGTTTCTATATTAAGTGATATTTTCCAAAATAGAGGCCCCGCTTTTTACCCAGTTTCCTACATTGCAAGATCCATTTCTCCTTATTTCTTTGTGTGTCTCATTTTAGGTGAGAGAAGGAACGGAAATCGAGTGCCCTGACAAGGACCCCTCCGACTCGATTCCCACCTCAGGTACATGGCTTGAGTCAAGTAATTGTTAATTTCATTTGAGGCCCCAAGTCATCAAAGTACGGAGCAACCTTAAGATGACAAGGGCTTTCCACACAATCCGAGACATACCTGAGAGGTGTTTCAAGGACAATAGAAGTAGCTCTGTATTTACATTTGTAAATTCATGCCTGTGTTTCATTATTTTTTTAACCAAAATACATCATTATCAGAAAACATTTTCTAAGCATTAACTGTGTGCCACACCATGTTCTGCAAGGAGCCCAGTGTTAGTTGAGTGAGCTGATGTCACTGTCCCTGCCTTTAAATCTTGATGAAGTGAATTTGTTCTCCAAAAAGCAAAACTAGCTTTAAGCAGGAAGCAAAAATAACCAGTCCACACTCCACGTCAGACCCATATGCAGAATGCACTCAAGCACCACACAGAACAGGAAAGCACCCTGTCTGAGGAAAGTGTCATTTTCACTGATTCTCAGTATTTCCAAAATGACTGTTGCTGGGTCATGAAAATGAGACTCCTGGAATGTTCTAAGTGGACACCATCCCAAAGAACGGCTGCCTAAAGGCCGAACCTCTGCTTCCAGGCGGGCCAGCCTGGAGGGCTGTGTGCATATAACCGTGGGAGGTCACAGGAGGACTGTATGGTGACCCTCATGACTCAAAAGATCAGCTCTGAGCATTTCTGCAACAGTGTGATGGGTGCCCGTGCATGGTTCTGGAGGGTGACTCGTGTTCGTTGATTTGTTCACTTGATCATGCATTTATTAGGTGATTGCCAAATGCCTCCTATGTGCCTTCCAGGAGAGAAAAGTAAGTTTGGGGATGTCACAGTGCCTAGAAGGAATCTTCCAGGGATGCACATCTTTGCAGTCGGATGGTCTCCTTTTGCTGAGTGTCAGCAGAGCAAATAATTGCCTTGGCTGTTAGCCACCCCTCCACACACATCCTAGCTCTACACCCTCAAATTAAGCCAAATTACTGGCAAATAAGTTCAAAATCTTCTCACCAAAGCTTTGTTTGTATAACTGACTCTGGCTCTAAGTTGCAGCATGAAAAAGGGGATAGAGATCTCACACATGCAGTCTTCAGACATTTTCCTCCCATGCTTGGTGAGAGCTCCTTCCTGTCCTTAGTTTACTAGCAGGACGTGAGCAGCAGAAACAAATTATTAGCTTCATGTGTAGGCGCTCCTACAGCAGAAACTCAAAGGTATACGTAGGTACATATGTACGTGTCTATAGAAAGAGAGAGAGAGAGAGAGAACTTAACGTCTTTGTAGCCATTCTCTTTACAGTGAAATAATATCCATCCCCTTTTTAATCTTATCATTCTGAAAGGCTGATCTATAAAGCGCTTTGCAATCTCTCTAGATTATGTTCCTGTCATAACAATGATAACCAACCAATCCATGAGAGCGTATCTCAACATCTGAAAGCCAAATAAAATGTGAACCTCTTCTTTATTCCCTGACCCTGAAGATTACTGTGTTTATCAGCACATGATGATGTAAGCACAAGAAATCTCAAGACCTTGAGATCTGAGGTACTCTAGTGATAGGAGCTGTCAGAATAAGCAGACGGGTAGATTTAGGCCTCCTTGATCCAACCAAGTGGGCGTGGGACCAAGACACGCACGCTTCCAGGTGGGTGGCAGCACTCACAGATGCACTTCTGAGTCTCACTTGAAAAATGTCATTCAGAAAAATGGCCCCAGATAAGTGGACAATAATGAAAAACACATTTCATTACTGTGCATGATCTATGACTGGACATTTTAACCATACTTGTGACAGCAAGGGTAGGCAGAATGACTCAGCACAAGGCCACACTATGATTTTTCCTTGATAATCATCATGTTTCTGTGAGGTCGTTCACTCTTCTGGAGATGGTGTTTGCTATTTCTAATCAATATGAAGGCATCTGATACATAGTTATAAGAGTGGGTCACTCTTATCTTTATACCAATGACTCACATGGTTGTTGTTAGTGCCATGGAGTTGATTCCGACTCCCAGCAACTCTTATGTTCAACAGAGCAGAACCCTGCCTGGTCTTTTGCTCCATCTTTCCACCTTCCGGTGCTATATCAGACATTGCTCTGCTACTATTCATAGGGTTTTCATGGCCAATTTTTTTGGAAGTGGGTGGCCAAGTCCCTTATCCTAGTCTGGATGCTCCGCTGAAACGTGTCCACCATGGGTGACCCTGCTAGTATTTGAAATACCGGTGGCACAGCTTTCGGTATCACAGAAACATGCAGCCACCAAAGTACGACAACCGACAGACGGGTGGTGTGGTTCCCTGACGGGGAACAAACCTGGGCCATGGCGGTGAAAGTGTCGAGTCTTAACCACTAGGCCCCCAGGGCTGGCTCAGCACATGTCTGCTGAACTAATCTGAATTATTGAGTAATTCTAATTCACCAAATCAACAATTCTCAGGGTTGAAAAACATCTGAAAAACCAACTAGACCAAAGTGCCTTTCATTAAAACAATTTTTCACTAAGACTATCTATAAAATAACTATTTTGCCATCATAATTATTTTTTTAAAAAAGCCTTCCTTGTAGTCCCCTTTTCTGGTGTTTCTCTCAAGCCAATCCACAGATACTCATAGCTAACCAAAAGATGTTTCAAAACAGGATAGTACCTCCATCAACAGGCCATGGCCCCTGGCAGCCCTGGTGCCTCACTCCCATGCCTTTGGTATGAGATAGATAGGGTTTTTTATAACCATTGGTATTTGGTAGCCAAAAAATAAAATAAAAGCTTCTAATTTTTTCCTCCCAGTCAGTGCACACATGCAATTTGCCAAGTGCTGCCTCCTGTGGGCTTTATAACTTCATAAATACTTGCAACATTTTATATTACTACATGGTCCTGTCCCTAACATAGATGGGATAACCAAGAAAAATACATTGGGTCTAGCAGCTGACTTAAGGTTTTCCTAGCGAGAAAAGGAGTAACATTGTACAAATAAGAGTGGCAAGAAGGAGCCAGAGGGGCCACGGCGGGCTGTCTATTGAAGATGGCTATCTTGACGTCAGGCTGCTAATTCCATGCAGAGGGAAAAATTCATAGTGTTGAAAATAGGGATCTACAAAGATAATCATATGCCACTGACACCAATAGTATGAATCAGAAAAACTCATTCATTTATTTGAAGCCATTGACTCCTTTCTAAGCTCTTGATGTCAATTATCTGACCCATTTAGCTAAAATGAGCTTTTCAAAAGCTGATTTGAAAAAGACCCAGGTTACAGCACTGGGTGATCATTAGGAGTTTCACTCCATTGTGAGCCAGCAGTGTGATGTCCAGTGTAGATCCCAAAGCTGTTTCTATAGTCACCCCTTGCTTATGGGTCTTGTGACTTAACCTAGCCCGTGACCAGGAAGTAATGACTCAGCACAGGGAGTAACAGCCTGCTTGTCCCTAGGCAGGACCAGCCTACGGAGCAAGTTCAAACTCACTCCAAGATGGCTGGATGAATAAGTGTTTCCCTTCCCCATAGTTTCCATGGTTCACAGCTTTGAGAACTGTCAAGTACCTGATACAGAGGCACACACTTAGCTTTTCATTCAACTTCACACCGTTCTTGAGCTCCTACCATGTGCAAGGCACAGAATTCTTCATATAAACTCACATTGAAGGACTCAAAGGCAGAAACAAGGTTCCAACCTTGTGCCAGCAGTTTACCACCATTGCAGGAGTCTTCACATGAGCCCCCCAAACCAGAGAGCAAATGGGTTGGGCAGCCCTAGCTGACTATTGCAAGAAAGTTGTTTCTCAGTAGGCCCCAGGGGGTTTACATTGCTGGGTTACATAAGACAAAACTCCAAAGTGCCAAGTCTTTCTCCTGGGTGTAAGTTTTCACGTATAGTGGGCAGTTTCCCCAATTCTATAGTCTACTGTTTCCTTGCTATTCTGATATTTCATCATAGTTTGCATGGGCTTCTGATAAGAGGCCCCTTCTCTAGAAATCTTGATGAGTTAATGGTGTGTTTATCGACTTCTTTCAAGGTGGTGGACAGTCTGTACCAGATAATGCTTAGCTAATCAGCCCACACAAATTTAATCTTATCTCTAAATAGTTCTTTCCCCAAGGAGAGAAATTGCTAAAGTGCTTTACTGTGTTTCGAGGCTGTGCCTTTGTCATACATGATGACATTAACAAAGCTCAAATCAAGATCTACAGAATATTAAGCCAATGAAACGTGTTGGGCTCTATGTTAATAAAACCCCAGACAAGTCAAATGCCTCCCATCCAGGCTTGGCTCATTTGACTTATTATCTCTTGCAGGGAATCCTTCAGAATGACCAACATGAGAACCCGTGCACCCCCACCCCATCAATCTGTCTGTCTACACATATATACACCACATGCATGTAGACATGCATGCACATAAGTGAGTGTGTGTTTCCTTTCTGTCCACTACAAATTTAGGAGACAAGAATGGCCAGTTTCAGCTGTCTCTTTATCAAACTGTAATGTGCTTTTGAAGCAAATCTGTCTCTCTCTTCCATATTTTATCAGCCCCAAAGATTCCCCCTCACCTTTGCACGCTAGCTAGTGTTCGCAGAATTCACTGTATCACACATTACAGCAACAAGAATATGGTGATTGACTGTCATCACCAGGAGCTAAAATAAACCCTCTAGAGTTGAGGGGAGGAGGTCTTATTTTCTGTTTTGTTGGCTTTTTTTTTTCCTACCCACAGCCTGCTTTCTTTGAGAAGAGGTCATTTTAAAGTTCTCAGGCTCAGCCCCGTGGACGCGTGCTAATGTGTGCAGCTGGCTTTGTGATTTGATATTGTTCTTCTAACCACATATATCCTTGGGCCCGCCCGAGTTCTACTAAATCAGAAACTCTGAGGCTGGGGACCAACCATCTGTGTTTTAACAAGCTCTCCAGATGATTTTGATGCATGCTCAAATTTGAGGACCACTAATGTATAGATTTTGCGTACATAGACTCACAACTATGTGTAAGTTTGCATGCTGTCATAGGAAAAGTCAGGGACTTTTACTTTTCCAATGAGAGCAAATCCTGAGTCGGGGTGGCAGTTCCCCATCTGCAGACAGCATGGAAGTCAGGTAGACAAGATGTCTCCATGGAAGGAGCCGAGACCTGGATCTCCAGTCCCTTTGAACATTATTTCCACTGAGTGTTAATACAGCTTCCTACGCAAGTGTAATTATACACCCATGCTTTATGGGTACAATGGGCTAAATGTAGTCCAGTTGTGTTGAAAGCATCTTGTTCTCTGTTTCACTGCATGTTTTATAGAGCGACTTGGCAAAGAATGGCCGTCAAGAAAGCCTCCTTGCAGACAAGATTCAGTTTACCCATCTTAAGCAATGACCCGCTGAAATGATGGGCTTCCTCCCCGAGGGGGTGGGTTGCTCCTGGGACAAATGCTGCATTAGACTTCTTCCAAGGCACGAAAGCTATTTGACAATTTAGTTCAGCATCGCACCATCAGGGACAATGGAAGGCACATCTGAGTAAAGATGGAGCTACATCAAAGTCAGGATAACTATGGGACTAAGGTATTCCAGGGGAGCGGGAAGTGAGCTTGTGATTTGAGGGGACAGAACTACATATGGCATAAGGAATTTTAGATGTGGTCCCCAAATGCACTTTGATTCATTTTTATATGTGTATAAGCTAAAGGGTTAGATAGATATTATACAGGTGTATGGATGCAAGTTATTAAACATATAGCAATATTCATGTTAATCTCCTCACTTGTCAGCCAGGCATAAAAGGCCTGTGGCCCCGACCTACCTTTCCAATGTTATTTTTTGTTAGTCTCCTTCCTATTCCCTTCACTTAAGCCAAACTGTATGACTAGCTGTTTTACAGAGCTCACACAGTTTACCAGATGGTACCCCTCCTTTATGCTTTTCTCTCCATCACCCTGCCTTGCTCTCCTTCAACCTTATCTCATCATATCCTGAGTTCAAACACTACCTTCTCCATGAAGCCTGCTCTGAACCGTCCCCCCGACACATCCCTAAGGGTCACTCATCGCTCCAGCTGCCAAATTTCATATCACTTGATAGCTCTCAGAGGTTCTCAGCCTATAAATTATTACAAGCATGGAAGTTTCTCATTTCCTCCATCAGCTGTGAGCTTCTTGGGGGAGTTCTCCGTCTCCCATCACTACATAGACCCCAGAGCATCCAGTCACTGCTTGGTGGTCAATATGTTTGTCACACGGGTACACAGCTGCCTAGCTACGTCATAGTCTGTGCTTAAATTCAAGAGCTGAAAAATAGGATGAGGCTGTGGAAAACAGTTCCTCAAAAAGCTAAACATAGGATTATCATATGGCCCTCCAATTCCTCTCCTCAGTATATACCCAAAATAACTGAAAACAGACATTCAAATAAATATTTGTACGTGATGCTCCTAGCAGCACTATTCACAATAGCCAAAAGATGGAAACAACTCAAATGTCCACCAACAGATGAATGGATAAACAAAACGTGATGTATCCATACAATAGAATATTATTCAGCCATAAAAAGGAATGAAGTGTTGATTCATCATACAACATGGATGAACCTTGAAAATATGCTTAGTGGAACAAGCTAGACCCAAAAGGTCACGTATTATATGATTCCATTTATATGAAATATCCAGAATAGGTCACTCCAATGACAGAAAGCAGATTAGTGGTTGTGAGGGGCCCAGGGGAGTGGGGAGTGGCTGCTTCATGGGCATGGGTCTCCTCTGGGGATGATGAAAATGTTCTGGAACTAGACAGTGGTCATGGTTGCACAACATTGAGAAGGTACTAAATGCCATGGAATTGTTGACTTTAAAACGGTTAGTTTCATGTTACGTGAATTTCACCTTGATTTAAAAAAATAGCAGTATAAAAGCATTTCCCTTTTCACTTTACAAATACTGAGCTGATTTTTTTAATAGGATGATATAATATTTTATCCCAAATATCAACAGATCCTAGAATAGATTAAGTATTGGTTGCATCTCCACCGCAATTCCTTCCTTCCTCCCGAATCCCATTGCCGGGAGCTATTTCACACCCTGAGAGTAACTGCTCACCTTGTGGCATCAGGTTTCACCAAACACCAGCAGACTCTGCTCTGAAGGCTGGTCCACCTTCCAGCTCCCTAACCCTGCGTCCAGTCCAGGCCCCTCAAGGGGCAGCCCCGCTGTCAGGCTCCACGGCTGCTATGGCTGAGCCTTATGACAAGGACGGGCTCTTTACATCTTTGTCTAAAGCTGAATTGCTATTAAAAACTTTCCGTTTTTCTGGAAGGTCTTCACTTATTTTCAGAGGAGCTAGGACCCCTGATCTTCCATTCACTCCTGCTTGTGTTCTCAGTTCACAGGCTGAAGCTGGCGGACATCAAGGTAATCGGAGCACTGGGCGACTCTCTCACGGTGAGTTACCTGACTACAGAAGGCGGGGGCAGGAGAGGCAAAGACCGTGACTAATATAAGAACTGGAGAGAGAAAATCTCACTCCCGTTAAAGGCTGCCACCTCTCCAGGCCTGATCCCCAGGCCCTCTCCACCCCCCTGCCCATGCTGGAATCCCACATTCCTCGCCCACCGTGTTTTCCCACCTCCATTCTAACCTCGTCATTCCTCTCCCAACGAGGGCATGGAGAGAGCCGGAAGTGGGGGAACCCCAGAGGGAACATCTGTGGTGGAAGGGACCCAGCTCAAATCACCAAATCACACCGCCTGTCGGGGGTGGAATGCAACTAGGTTCCCCCTCCACCCACAGGCGTGGGCTCCTCACAGATCTGGCACTTTGGTTCGTCCCTGCAGGAAAGTTACGGGAGGGCGAAGAGATGATGAGTCAGGACAAGTGCTGGGGGGCCGGGGGAACAGGGGTCAGCGGAAGAGACGCAGCCACTAAAAACGATCCCAGCCCATCTCTGCAGCGGCTCCATGGTGATGCCTCAGGCCCTGCAAAGAGCCCTCTGTGAAAAGCAAAAGGGGGCCCTTAGAGAGCTGGGGGGAGGGTCCCAGAGGGTCCCAGACACAAGCTCCCGTTCAGTAGCGGCTCATTACACACAGTCCAGCTGCGGTTCTCTGGGTCAGCAGAATTCAGGGCCTCCAGCTGAACCTCCCTAAAGACCAGCTGACACTCTCATGTCATGTGGCCTATTCACACGGATATTATCTCACTTGATATCCTCCCCTGGACAAAATCCTGCCAAGTGTGACTCTCCTTAAACTCAACCAACAAAGAAAGTGAAGCTGGGGGAGAAGTGAGCTCCCACCGCCGCATAGCTGGCAGTGCCAGACCAGGACCAGAACTCACGTGTCCCGACTCTAAGTCTATCCTTGTACTGTAGCCCCATGACCTCTTGGCGACTCTTCACCCCAAGGCCCTACTGCTCATAAGCTTCCGGAAAGGGCAGGCAGGCGGGTCCTCAGCACTGCTTATCCCTACCACTTCCTGCTGGGTGTGGCCCCCTCGCCCCTCCCAGAAGCCCAGGTCTCCTTGATGCCCTCTGGATAAGGAGTCATTGAGAATTAGCACAGCTGGTCAGGACTTCCTGGGGAGGCTGCATTTTGAGTGTGACATACCAGGCAGGCAGCAGAGGCGCTGGGCACCAGAGAGCAGGGATCACACCCTGGGGCCTTTCATGGAGGCCAGCCCTTCACCCAGGCGGCCTGGAGGCCAGCCTTCAGCATGACCTTTGGGCCAGCCCTGGTCAGAAAGAACAGGCTTTAGGCAAGGGACATGCCCCTGCAGAGTGTGTCCAGGTTGTGGTTTTGAAAGACGCTGCTCTTTCTTCAACTGAGGGGTGGGTACGAGGCATTTCATTTTATTACTATTTTTTAAATTGTACATATGGAGATATATTAATATAAAAGGATTACACTATGCTTCCTTTTATGATATATTTCACAACTTAGAAAAAATGAGGAGGAGCTGGCCCAGTGGTTAAGTCTGGCGCTCCACTTCGGGTGCCCAGGGTTCACAGGTTCAGATCCTGGGTGCGGACCTACATTACTCATCAGCCATGCTGTGGCTGCATCCCACATACAAAATAGAGGAAGATGGGCACAGATGTTAGCTCAGGGCCAATCTTCCTCAGCAAAAAAAAAAAAGAAAAGAACTTTTTAAATGAGGAAAATGGGACCCTGAAATGTGTACTTTTGAAAGATGGACCCAGCAATCTAATTTTCAGAGCACTTTTGCTAGCCCTGAGTCACTCGGTCATGGTTGTGGCAGGGTTTTCTCGAGGTGAGGCCAAGCTGGGGAGGGCTCCAGGATTCCAACCTCCCCAGCAGGAGAGCTCGCACATCTCTGAAAAGGCAGGATGCACATTAGGACAGGGCACTCTCTAGATTGCAGGTTCCAGTGCCCAGGCCCCCCAGCCAGGACGAGAGCGCTGCCCTCCTGGCTGGCGGGAAGGGACACTCACCCCATGCTGTTCCCTCTCAGGCAGCTAACGGGGCCGGGTCCACACCTGGGAACTTGCTGGACGTCTTGACTCAGTATCGAGGCCTGTCCTGGAGGTGAGTGAGGGCATGGTAAGGCCCTGAAGACCCCTTCACCGCAGGGCAGGAGGGACCCCTGAGCACATAGATAACAACTCCTCTGGCAGAGGGATGAGCTTTTCCATGAGAAACTTCTAGGTTTAATTGAGGAAGACATTTATCCATGTCCCCAAACCACTACATTCCCCCAAACAAGAACTGGGACCTGAGTAGGAGTTTGGGGGAGAAACTACATAAATGTTTGGGTTGGAAAAGCTTCTCTAGCTTCCATTTCTCCCTCTGGGAAGTAATCTCAGAGGGAGGCACTGGCCTTTAGAACCAGAGATGTGTCTGAATCCTAGCTGCCCACCTCTGTGTGACCTTGGGCAAGTTACTTAACTTCTCTGAACTTGTCTCCTCATCTTTGATTCAGGGATAATAATACTACTTGAGCACTGCTGTGAGGATTGTAGACAATTTAAGCACTCAGCACGGTGCCTGACCTAAAGTAGGATTAATGGTAGCTGGCATCATTATTAAAGGGCCTTCATTTTACAGATGAGAAAGCCAGGCTCAGAGAGGGCAAGTAACCTGTCCAAGATCACACAGCCAGATGGTAAAAGAACAAGAAGTAGAACAGATGGTTCCTGACCCCTATTCCGGCGCATTCCCCCATGGTGCATTGCTTCGTGCAGGCTTGCTCCTGCTCTGTAATCAAACCCAGGCCGCCACAAGCTGCAGGGAGCAGGACTCTGCTTTACCTCTGCGCTTTGACTCCTGGCTCACACCAAACATGAGAGGGCAGGTGTGGCGTTCCCTCGGCCTGGCGTCTGGCATCGCTGACACCAGCTGGAACCCGAGTGTTGAATCCCCAGCATTGTCCTTCGCGATGCTGCACAGAGTTAAACTCCAAACATTCTGAGAACCTTCTAAATGTTCCCAGACATACTTGGCAGAGAATGAGGGCATATGGAAAAGCAGGGAATCCAATGAACTCTGGAATGTTGCATGTCTTCATGTCTAGAAACCCATCCAACTTTGATTTCCTTGGAATTTTAGAAGTGGCTGGGAAAATGAGATGCTCTCTAGAAGACACCCTTTAGAAACCGGGTTTTCTCAAGAGAAGGATGAGGGCAGAGCCCCTCACCGTCTTCAGAGACGATGACGATGCGCAGCCGCAGTGGCCAGTGGGGCAAGGCTGGGCTCCGCTCCAAGGAGGGGTCCCTCGTCCTTCGGAAGACAGGGGTGATGGGGGCCCACTGAGTTCCCCTGCCCCCATGCCGAGGGTCAAAGTAAAAATCAACCAAGTCAGCCCTGACTGTTTAAATCAGCTTCTTGCTGGATGCTGCCGTTTGTGGGGAGAGGGGAGAGGACTTGCTGCATGCTGGTTTGTTTTCCATGTTTCTCCTGAAACAATGAGGAAAGGGCGAGCTCCAAGCCCCCAGGGTGTTTCTCAGCAGGAGAAAGGTCTGTCTTGGTGGTGTCTGGGTGTTCGCCGTCGCTGGCACTGTCGACCTTCACTTTCTGTCTTCTTCCCGCCACAGCTGCGGCGGCGACCAGAACCTGAGCAGCGTCACCACCCTGCCCAGTGAGTACGCGCGCCCCCCCATCCCCGCCCCGCGCATTTCTGCAGCGCCCCCTGGCGGCGGCCGCGGGCGTGGCAGGGAACCGGGCGGCAGAGGACCGCCGCGGCCGGCAGGGGGCGCTGCTTCTCCGAGGCCGTGGCCTGCTCGGCTGCTTGAGAGGTTGAAGCCACGGAGAATTTTGTGGGGGGGATGGGGGGGCGGGGTTAAGAGAAATTGTATGTGTCCAACGAAAGAAGAGAGCAAGAAAGGAATGGAGAGCTCACGCCAAAGCTTAGTGCAAGTCATTATTAAGAAATGAGTCAAGAAAGAAGGGAAGGGCACCTGTCTCTGCTTGGCCTGTCGTTCTCCGCACATCACCTTTCTGGGAGGCATTGATCCGGTCACGGGCTGCATTAGGCACCACTGCATACAAAGGCGTTGAGTTTCTGTGTGTCGCTCTACGAAACGCTGCTCTTACAGGAGTAAGGGATGACGTTACCTTGCTCAGGCGGTGCAAACCCAGCCATATTTGGGGCCCGACATTTTCCTTCAATCAGTTCACCAAGGGACCTGCTTGGAATGAGTTTTAAAGCCCACGTTCTCTGAAGGGCCCTGCCTTGTTCGTCTTGCTATTCTTCTTCGTGCATACACATCACAGTGCTTGTTCTTAAAGTACACATGCAGTAAATGTCACAATTGCATTCTTTTCCGTTAAAATCTTCTGGCTAGTAGTTTTGCCTGAGATGAATTTAATGGGTCCCATTCTCATTTACTTTTCTTGTAATTATCCCATTGTAATTTAGTCCATAAACACTTGCTGAGCATATGCGAGGCTCTGGGGTATATACTGACCCTGCTCTCAAGAGTTCTCAGCCAAGTTGGGGAGGTAAAAAAGTGAAAAGTCAAGTGTAGATCCAGTGTGGTAAAGGTGTTAGAATGCATGAGATTGAAAAGATCAACAAAATTGACAAAGCTTTAGTTATATCGACCCAGGGGGATGGGGGAGACGAGAGCCTCAAAATCAGGAACGAAAGAGGGGACATTACTACAGAAATATAAAGGATTATAAGAGAATACTATGAACAAGTGTATGCCGATAAATCAGATAACTTAGATGAAATGGAAAAATTCCTAGACAAAAATTATTGAAAATGATTCAAGAAGAAATAGAAAATCTGAATAGGTTTATAACAAGCAAAGAGATTGAATTAGTAATTTTAAGACATCCCACCAAATAAAGCCGAGGCTTTCTGGTTTCACTGATGAATTCTATCAAACATTCAAAGAAAAGAATATCAATTCTTCACAAACTCCTCCTAAAAATAGAAGAGGAGAGAATACTTCCCAACGCATTCTGTGAGGCCAGTATTATCCTGAAACCAAAATAAGACAAAGATACCACAAGGAAAGAAAACTACAGACAAGTATCTCTTTTGAATATAAATGCAGAAATCCTCAACAAAATACTAGCAACATATAAAAAGGATTATACCCTATGACCAAGTGGGATTTACCCCAGGAATTCAAGGTTAGTTTAAAATCCAAAAATCAATTAATACGCTATATCAAATAGAACAAAGAACAAATACAACCTGATTATCTCAATAGACTGGAAAAATCATTTTACAAAATCTGACACCTCTTTGTAATAAAAACACCCAACAAACTAGGAATAGAAGGAAACTTCCTCATTCTGATAGAGGGCATCTACTAAATCCCTCAGCTAACATCACACTTAATGGGAAAAGCAGAATGCCTTCCCCTGAGATCAGGATGATGCTCTTGCCACTTTTACTCAACGTTATACTGGAGGTTCTGGTCAGGGCAGTTAGACAAGAAAAGGAAAGAAAAGGCATCAAGATTGGGAATGAAGGAGTAAAACTACCTCTATTTGTAGAAGACATGACCTTATATGTAGAAAATCCTAAGGAATCCACTAAAAATTATTAGAACTAGTAAATGAGTTCAACAAGATGGCAGGGCACAAAATCGATATACAAAAATCAATTGTATTTCTATACTCTAGCAATTAACAACCTAAAAATGAAATTAAGAAAACAATTCCATGTACGATAGCATAAAAAAAGTACTTAGGAATAAATTTAACAAAATAAGTGCATCTTTTATCCTCTTAAGATCACAAAACATGGCTGAAATAAATTTAAGAAGACCTACATAAATGGAAAGACATCCCACATTTGTGGATCAGAAGATTTAATATTGTTAAGATGGCAATATCCGCCCCCCCCAAAAAAATTAATCTACAGATTCAAAGTAATCCCTATCAAAATTCTAGCCGGCTGCTTTGTAGAAATTGACAAGCTGACTCTAAAATTCATGTGGAAATTCAAGGGACTCAGACTAGGCAAACAATCTTGAAAAAGAACAAATTCAGGGGCCTCACACTCCCCAATTTCCAAACTTCCTATAAAGCTACAGCAATCAAGATGGCATGTTTTGGCATTAGGATAGCCCACATAGATTAATGGAATAGAATTGAGAATCTACAAATAGATCCTCATATTTATGGTTAACTCATTTTCAACATGGGCACCAAGACCATTCAGTGGAGAAAGAATAGTCCTTTCAATAAATGTTCCTGGGATAACTGGATAGCCGCATGCAAAAGAATAAAGTTGGACTCCTCCTTCATACCATATATAAAAATTAACTCAAAATAGATCACAGACCTAAAGTTAAAACCTAAAACTCACCCTTAAAAGAAAATATAGGAGCAAATCTTCATGACCTTGGGTTAAACAAAGCCTCCTAAGATGTGACACCAAAAGCACAAGTGACATAAGAAAAAATACGTTGGACAAAATTAAACACTAGTGAGCTTTAAAGGATACCATCAAGAAAGAAGGCAACCCACAGAGTGGGAGAAAATATTTGCAAATCATGTATCTGACAGGAAACTTGTATCTAGGCAATAGTAGGACTAGTAGAACTCTTACAACTCAATAATAAGACAAACAACCCAAATAAAAATGGGCAGAGGATCTGAATAGACATTTCTCCAAAGACGAGATACAAATGGAAAATAAGCACATGAAAAGATGCGCAACATCAGTCACCATCAATGCAAATCAAACCATAATGAGATGCCATTTCACATCCGTTGGAATGGTTATGATAAAACAGACGAACAGATAACGAGTGTTGGTGAAGATGCGGAGAAATTGAAACCCTCACACACTGCTGATAGGAACATAAAATGGTACCGCTGCCTTGGAAAAAGGTCTGTACGTTCCTCAAAAGGTTAAACAGAGTTACCAGATGATCCAGCAGTTCCACTCCTACGTATATATCCAAGAGAAATCCACACAAAAACTTGTACATAAGTGTTCATAGCAGCATTATTCATACTAGCCAAAAAAAGTGGGAAAAATCTAAATGTCCTTCAACTAGTGAATGGATAAATAAAATGTGGTTTATCCATACAATGGACAATTATTCCGCAATGAAAAGGAATGAAGTACTGCTAGATGCTACAACGTGAGTGAACGTTGAAAACATTATGCTAAGAGAAAGAAGCCAGACACAAAAGACATGGAATTGTATGATTCCGTGTATAGGAAATGTCCAGAATAAGCTAAACTTTGGAGACAGAAAGTAAATTAGTGGTTGCCACGGGGTTGGAGGGAAGGGGGAGTGACTGCTAATGGGTACAGCGTTTCTTTTTGGGGTGATGAAAATGTTCTAAAGTTGGTTGTGGCGATGGTTGCACAACTGTATGAATATACTAAAAGCTATCAAACTGTACACTTTCACTTGGTGAATTTTATGGTTTGTGAATTATATCTCAATAAAGCTATTATGTATTTAGAAGAAAAAAAAGGAAAATGCATGAGAGAAGCACCTGACCCAGACTCACATTCATTCAGCCATAATTCATTAAGCATCTGTGTGTCCCACCAGGTGGTTAAGCATCAGCCTGCTGCACATTTTCTCTCTGTGCTGAGTGAACAGTAAGGGGAAGGGCTTTGGGGTGGGGCTCTGCTTTATCCCCAGTGCCCACTGGTGCTTATCAAAGGAACTTGAAAATTGCTTTGGGGTAGTTACTAAGCACATCTCTTCCTTGTATTTCCAGACATCCTCCGGGAATTCAACCCTTCCTTGATGGGCTTCTCTGTTGGCACTGGGAACGAAAACAGTCCTGGAGCCTTCCTAAACCAGGCCGTGGCAGGAGCCACAACTGAGTGAGCAGGGGAGCCCTGGGGGTGAAGAGCACAGATCCTCTGGGGACCTGGGGGGGAGGCTTGGCCTAGACAGGGGTGTATAGCTGAAGGCTGCGGGGTGGGGGGGGGGGTCCAGGGAGGGGTCTGAAGGTCAGAGGCTGGACAGGGTGGGCTCTCTTGGGGGTGTCCCTTTCTGTGGGACACAGAAACCTGCTATCCCACGTCCATCCCTACCCCAGGAACTGGTCACAATTGATTGTGATACCAGGTGTCTGTTTTGAGCAAATTACCTTGCTTTGTCCAGGACTCTCGTGTCCATATAAGACAATGGCCATCAGAGGGCTCATCGGAGTCCTGGTTCTTATCACTGTGTTTGTTAATGCTCTCTTTTGTGTGCTCCTCTCCTTCCCTTCCTCAGACGTGCTTTTTGGGCAGCCTCTTCAGGCTCTAGACTTTGTGTCCTTCCTATGTCCTGGGAAGAGCATTGGTCCTGGGAGGGGAAGCCTTGAGCCTGAGTCCTGGCCCCCCGGCCTCATCTGAGCTTCACCTAGGAGATGGGGCTGGCTGCAAACCTCTGCCGCAGGGCGTGTGTGGGGCTCAGTCCTCTGCTGAATGTGAAGCCCTGGTGAGCTGTAAATGGCGCACACGTCTTGGGTTAGGATGGTGGTCCCAGCAACAAGGCAGCAGGGCTGCAAGACCCACCTGGGGAAAACTGTTACTGAGCCCAGGGACCACTGTGTCAGGTCTGTAGGCACTGAGTGGCAGGTCCCCGAGAGCAGGGTCGGCTCTCCTGGGTCCTACGGTTCCATTTCTCTCCACGATCCCAGAGCCTTGAGCGCTTCTGCGGGTTTGCTGCCCAGTCAGAGAACAGGTGAATGCCTTGCCCAATCTAGGAAAAATAAATGGAAAGACCTTTTCTGTTTCTTAATCCTAATTTCCTTCCAGAATAATCACAAACCTCACTTTACCATGTAGTTCCTGGGAATTCCTGTGCTTCCTAAATTCCCTGACATCATTTTTCTAGCTCTCAATACCATCCTGAGGCTACGAGCTGCCTGAGTAACTGTCTCATTTATTCATGACAGGAAAGGTGACAAATTATCCAAAGCAGAGATCATACAAAACCTAACAGATTTTATAACGAATTCCGTGGCTTCGTTTCCCTTTGTGGGGGAAGGGTGAAAGGCTGCCAATTTATTTCTTACAATTCTTTGCTAACTTTAATATTATCATAATTTGGCTTTTTTCCAAGCATATGTCGGCTGTTGGTATAAGAGGGGAGGCAGCTCTAAGCATGACTAGATCAGGAGGGCATCCAAGAAGGAGAGCGTAACCAAGTAACCAACATGGAGTGTGATCAATATGGCCCTGGACTTCTTCCCTGCTCTCTCCCAGGCCCTGGGGCCCTTTCGTGCAAGTCATCCATTGGTCCAAGCACGTCCTCTAGGGTTGTAGGGAAGAGTTAGGGATTAATATTCCCATTTTACTGATGAAGAAACTAGCACAAAGAGCTGAAGTGGCCTGAACAAATTCTTCATCTCAACCATGTGGTCTGCCTTCCTTGTGCCCTGCAGGCTTTACTCCAGGTCCAGTCATAACCCCTCACACATACACAGCAGTGTGCAATTTAGAAAGTAGCTTCGTGTTGATTATCCGTTGTGTATTCCGTGCAATAACTGTGAGATGGACAACGCAGAGGGTCAGATACCCATGTTTTCTTAACGATGATATTGAGGCTCAGAGAGGTCGAATAATCATCCTGAAACTCTGGTCCATAGAAAGAGCAGCTGCCATGATAACTTCAGATTCACAGATGAGGAAACTGAGGTTCAAAGAGGTTAAGTGGCTTACCCAAAGTCCCCACCCAGGTTATCTGATACCTAGTCTACTATGACTAAGACCAGGTCAGTTGGGCTAATAGTTAAGAGAATGATAACTAATGTTTCCTGCTAGGCACTCTGCCAGGGACTCTATTGATGATGGTGGTGGTGGTGAGAATGGTAGAAATAATTCAAAGGATTATTTCTAACTGGATGCTTACCATATGCCAGGTACTGTTCTAAGTTTTTAACAAGCACCTTATTTAATCTACCCAACAACTCTATGAAGAAGGTATGCTTACCACACCCGTTTTACAAAGGAAAAATCAGAGGATTTGCAAGTTACTTTGCCAAGGTCTCAGAGCTGATCAGTGGTGGAACTGGGATGAAACTCCTGCTCCTGAGCACCAGCAGTGGCTCTTACTACACAGGGCTGCTTTGCCCGTCTCATTTATGCTCCCACTGACCTTCTAAGCCAGGGGCGTCTATCTCTCTGTTTGCAGTCTTTTTAGGCTGAGAATTTAAGTCACATTCCCACAGTTAGAAAGAGGCAACTAAGTGTCGAACCCAGTGTGTCTGACTCAACCATGTCACCTTGAGAGTAAGGGGACCCTTGAGGCTGTGTTCATGGCACCTGCAGAAACAGCTCATGCTGAGGCATGAAACACACATGCAGACTTCTGTTTGCCCTGAGTGAGCCTGGCTTGGAAGAGCAAGAAAAGTATATCATCCAATATGCCGATCAGAAGACAATCCCACTGACAGTCACTTGGTCATGTGTGGAGCGCTCTGCCCTTCCCAAAGCAGCCGGGACGCCCCACCCGGTGGAGACTGAATGGGGAGGGAGCTCTGGGACAGGGCATGGTGTTCAGTCCCACTTTCCTGCTATATATTTGATTCCTACCCTCTCTGCTGAGTCCCCTCCCTGCCCCAGCTTCACAGTCCCTGCTCCTCACACGACTTCTTCCTGTGTGTGCCCGCAGGGGGTTACCTGCTCAGGCCAGAAGGCTGGTGGACCTGATGAAGAATGACATGGTGAGTCTGGGGGAGGTGCCACCTGGGACCACTTGAGGTAGACGCCCCAGAACAGGGAGTGGCCAGGAGAAATCCATGGAGACAGAGAGGGTCAGCTTTGTGGGGAGGACGGGGCCACATGCAAATCCAGAGAGTCCACCTTCAAAAAAAACAATAAATGAGGCCAGCCCTGTGGCCCAGTGGTTAAGTTTGCGCGCTCTGCTTAGGCGGCCCAGGTTCGCTGGGTCGGATCTTGGGCGCCAACCGAGCACCGCTCATCAAGCCGTGCTGAGGCGGTGTCCCACGTGGAAGAACTAGAATGACTTACAACTAGGTCATACAACTATATACTGTGGCTTTGAGGGGTGAGGGGGAAGAGGACGATTGGTAACAGATGTTAGCTCAGGGCAAATCTTCCTCACGAAAAAAAAACCACACACAAATGATTTAGCACCTACGACTGTGACCTATGACCTCAGAACCCCAAAACCAAAGAACGGAAAATAGTAATGTCCACTAGATCCTCTGGTGTGTGAAGATACATCCCTGCTAGTGTTCAGCATTTTGTATTTTCCTTGACCTGACTCTGGGGCAAGGCATTTACTTGTTTGTTTCCTTTTCATTTCAGAAGATAAATTTTCAGGAAGATTGGAAGATAATAACCTTGTTTATAGGAAGCAATGACCTCTGCGATTTCTGCAATGACCCGGTAGGTTTCCAGGCCCTTAACTCAAGACTCCCCCCAGGGAAGGATTTCCACCCCTGGTGCTGGAGCAGTACAGCTGGGTTGGGACTTGTGGTCTGGCCTAGATCCAGCCCAGGATTAACCCTGAGATGGAGAGGGCCTTCACTTCTGGAGAGAGATTCGATAGGACAAGCAGGACTGATTATGAGATTGATCCTGAATAAGTTTCCTATCAAGGGAGGCTGCCCATATCATTCTAGAAAGCAAGATAACATTCCAATGATCTAGAAAAGTCTGGCACATCTTCATAGATACTAAGTCAGCTCCTTTCTCCAGTGTTGAACTGGCTGTCTCTACCTTCATGCTGTCACTTGTAAAGGAAAGTGGATTTGCTAACGCAAGCACTTGAGCAAGGTTCAGAGCCAAGTCATTGGGGCTGATGGGGAACCCAAGAGCCAGGCTGCTGCCCTGTGGGTGTCGTGCGTCTTCCTGGAACCCCGGAATCTCTGAGTTGGAAGAAATCCCATGAGCCATACTGACCAGTCTCCCAGCCACGACAGGAATCCCTTCCATAGAACCCAGCTCTTGTCTTGAACATTCCCACCAATGGGCAGTTCTTTAATTTGCAAGGTAGACTTAATTAGTACTAGGAGCAGGTGCAAATTGTTTTGTGGTGTTTCTTTGTGTTAAGCCCAAATCTAGCTCCTTGTAACTCCTACCTCTTCTGCCTGTGCTGGGCGTACCTGCATCCCTTTTACATTCAATTCAGTTGACTTTAAAAATAATAGTTTTTAAAAAAAATTTTACAAGCAAGACACATAGGAAACACATCAACGTACAGAGGAAAAGATACTCTCTGTAATTACAACATCCAGAAATGCCACTGTAACATTTTGGTAAATGTCTCTCTAGCATTTTCTGTGACTATGGAGAAATGGCTTTATTATTTTCTAAAAGTAGCATCATTCTGAAATTATTGTTTGGTAACTTGCTTTTGTTCAATAGCAATATATTGAGAAGATATTCCCATGTCAATATTTATTCTTCTATAAAATAATTCTTAAAGATGGTATAAGCAGCCCATAATATAGATCCACCATAATTTACTTAACTGTTTCCAATTATTGGATACTTAGCTTACATTACTTCTAATTTTGCATATTATAAATAACATATAATAAATATAACTGGCTAAATATCCATCTTTATGTACATCCGTAATTGTTTCCTTGCATATATTCTAAGTAGAAACGTTTTTAAGCAAAAAATATGTACATTATGTATATGTACATATGTACATTAAAAAATAAAATGTTTTATTATGAAAATTTCTGAATATACTGAGAAATTGAAATAATTTTCAATTGGCATATGTATGTATATGCCCACATACCCACCACCTAGATTTCACTGTTGCTAACATTTCGCTCTATTACCTTAACACATATCTATCTGTCCATCCATCTTATTTTTTGGTGACTGCACATTTTTAATGCTTTTGCATATGGCAAATTGATCCCAGAATGTTTGTACTAATTATACTTACTTCCCCACACTCCAGCTGGCAATGTATGTTATCACTTGTTTTAATAGCTGCTAATCTGGTAAATGAAAAATTGTATCTTGTTTTCAAAATTGGCATTTATTTGATTACTAGGTAGGAATAAACTTTCATTTCCCTTGTTTAATGCTCAATTGAATTTTTCCTTTTACTAAATCCCATACTATGCCTATTGGCCATTTTCTGTTAAAGTGTTTATCTTTTTTTAAATTGATTTGTAAAAACCCCTTATATTAAGTATACTAACCCTTTGTCAAATATGTTGTCTATTTGTTGTTTTCCATTTAACATTGTTTACAGTGTTTTCTGATAAACAGAACATTTTTTATTTCTAGTATCATTTGCTGGCAAGTATTATATGCCAGGCACTGTGCTGGGAGCCAAGCAGACGAATGAAGCAGCTCTATCCTTAAGGAACTCCCAGTGCCAGGGGAGGGAGGCACAGAGTCACCATAGCAGGATGAGAAAAACAGCGCGATGTGGTTCTAGTGATGCACATGGAAGAGAGGTCTGAAGTTAGAACTGCCATGGGAATTCAGAGTGGTGGGGGTGGGGGTGTCAGAGAGGTTTACACAGAGAGGAAGACTTTCCAATGGGACTTGAAGACAAGGACATCTGGCCGAAAGGGGGCCAGCAGAGTGAAGTTTAGGATGGGGCGCGTCTCATCTCCTTAAGTGATCTGATTGGGCTATGGGCCCTAGGCACTCAAGGCTCTAAACAGAAGGGATCAGGCCATAGGACCAGAAGATGTTCAGCTGCAGGAGATCTTAGAGGTCCACTGCTCCGACACTCCCTTTTAGAGGGGCCCAGAGATGTGATATGTCTTAGCTAAGGCCCTGCTTGTAGTTGATATGTAGTGAATCCAGAGCTTTCCATAGCTCCATGCAGAAGAAAGGGTGTTTTCCTGAGGGTTACAGCCAAGACAAGCCTGAGGACCGTGGGGTGGGTATGGAGGCTGAGGCCCCAAAGGCAAACCTATGTTTCAGTGTTGCCCACTCTGGCTGAAATACGGAAAGGAGGGCTCTCAAGGGAAGAAGCGACCGTGGTCTGCAGAGAGATTGGGTGATGAATGGTGTTAGACGTTTCCTCTTCTTGCAGGCCCGCTATTCTCTCCAGAACTTCACAGACAACATTGGGAAGGCTCTGGACATCCTCCATGCTGAGGTACGGAGGCAGGGTCACGCAGCCTCTGAGCAGATTAACTGAGTCCTTCTTGGGCCTCAGACCGAGCCTGGAGGTGGCTCTGGCTTTCTGCTGAGACCTCCCTGCAAGGTCCCATTTCCCTGGAGACCAGCACTGAACATGCTGTCAGTCCTGGTCCCAGTAGCCTGAACACATAGGGGTCAATGGGGAGCAGAGGGGAGGGAGGGATGAAGGAGGCGGATGGCGACAGATCAAGGCCGTAGGCCTGACATCCAGCCAGAGGAACTGGCCCAGATCCAGATAAGAGACTGGAGCTGCCCAGACTCTACCCTCTTGGGGACTGATCCTGCCTTTGCTCAGGTTCCTCGGGCATTTGTGAACCTGGTAAAGACGCTGCAGATTTTCAACCTGAGGGAGCTGTACCAGGAGAGTAGTGTCAGCTGCCCAAGGCTGATCCTCAGGTGAGGTGGAAGCTTCTCCCCTGTTCCTGAAAGGGCTACTATGGGACTCTTAGCAGAAAGTGACTCTGATTGGTTGGAAAACCCAGGCGGAAGTGGGAGGAGCGCTTAGACCGCCCCATTTTCTAATCTGACAAGGCCTAGCGGAGGGGACATCCAGGGTTTTTGTGACCCCAGTATAGGGTCACAGCTACCCTTCGAGTATGCATTCACAACCCAACCAAGCTTCTGTTGTCGTGGGGCCTGGGACACCCTTCAGTCCTCCAGGGAAGGAGGGGTAGAGCGTGAGGCACAGAGGGAACCTCTGTTTGGTGTGGGTGCTCCAGGCTGGACACTCACAAATGTAGGGCTGTTGTCACTTGCTGGAGGAGAGGGTGGCCAAGTCAGAATCACTGGGCCTAGAGGACAGATTCTTTCCCCAAGAACAGAGAACCCCAGTCCTGGGAAGTCCCCTGAGAGGCCTTCTTCATCCCCACCCCCAGAGCCACACCAAGGTGGCTCCCTCTCTCCCATTACACATCTCCATGGCCTTCAGGAATCAGATGTCCTTCTGACGCACGCAGGAACATTTCTCACGGCATTCTTTGCTGCAAGGCCTCCTCTGTGCCATTAGCCCAGGTCGAGGGGGCTGTGCCCACCCCCTCCCTGTCCCCCAGCTCTGTAGCTCTGTACAGACCCCACCACAGCCCTGAGCACATCAGGTAGCAATTATTCACGTGCCTCTCCACCATAGCCCTGAACTGAGTCACGCCAGCACAGCATAGGGGCCCAGCAGCTGTGTGCTGAGTTTTCATTCATTTGCTGAATGAATGGTTATCAAGGGTCAGAGTTGCTCTTGGAAATTAAGGGGTATCTTGGCTGCTCCCCTAAAGATCCATACCAAACCTCACCTGGGGGGCCCAGACTGCACAGGTCCCCTGGGGACAGCCTGAGGATGCTATGAGCAGAGGCAGGACGGCTGCTGGATGACACATACCTGTTGACGCAGCTGGTGTCGGGCACGCTATTTTCAGCTGCTGACTCAGCCTGTGGCTCCCACTTTCTCCAGTCACTGGGCCACATGGGGGTTCAGGGTATTCATTCCACTTCGGAGCAGTTCACTCAAAAGCCTCCTGCTGCCGATCACTTCAGGGTTTTTAGACAATTAAGCTAAAGGTTTAGAGTAGGTATTTGCCAGGTCTGTTTTCAGATCTGAAATGGTCAAGTCACTGCCCAGCTAGGCAGACTCAGGGTCGCCTTGTCCTGCTGCCTCTCTGCTGCTCTGCACTCCTCACCTCTCTGCTTCTGTCTCAGTGGTCGTGGTTTCCTTGATAGTGCTGAGGCTACACTGGGCCATCCACACTGTTACCATCTCATGCCCCTGGACAAAAAGCCCGGTCTACAAGATGCCCAGCCAGGGCAGAGACACAGACTGGACAGAAATAGGGATTCAGAGCTCAGGTTCAGACAGACAGACTCAGTTGAAGTCCTGGCTCCATACTCAGCATTCATGTGACCTTGAGAAGCTGCTTAACCATGCTGGACCTCAGCTTTCTCATCCATAAAATGGAGATAACGATCATACAACTTCTAGAATAGCTGAGGACTGAACAGATTAATACCATAAAGCTCTTGGCACAGAAAATGTTCACTATGCGTCAGCCGTTATTATTGTTGTCACCATTGTGATGTAGAAGGAGATGTGCCATAACTGTGCAGTATCGTCCTCAGAAAGTCAGAAGGTAACTCAGCTCCGTAAGTCACTCCTGCAGATGTCAGAAGACGTAGCTATATCATTTTCATGAGCAAATCCAGGTCTGGGAAATTTTCTTTGGCTTCGTGTGGTACCGTCGACAGGCTAGCCAGCCAGGGCCCCCTGCAGCCCAGACTTCTGATTCCTCCAAGTCAAATATCTTCTGAACCTCGAGCTGACGTTTCTGCAGCATGCGTTCAGATGGTGATTTGGGTGGCGTGGGGGGCATGTCTTTGGTTTGGTCTACAGGTCTCTGTGCCCCTGTGTCCTGAAGTTTGACGACAACTCCACAGAACTTGCCTCCCTCGTGGAACTGAATAAGAAGTATCAGGTAAGCGGGCAGGTCCTCAGATCGCACGGGAACTGCTGTGTGGTTTGATTGTTCTGGTGGGAAATGAGTACGTGCTCACGTTATTTTGACCCGGACTGGGGGTGAGGTTGCCACTGACCAGTTTGCAGATTTAAAGCCACGCTTCGAGGCAGCAGGGACCGTGGTTCAATTTATTTGAATCAGGCTGTAGCGCCAAGGCGCTAAACACACTTCACCATGTCTCAGTTCCTGGCCTCACACAGAAACAAATATGTCCAGTTGTCCATAGGGAATGTGATCGGCTTCCAGCTCCCAGGTGGGAAAGCCTGTCCACCCAAGAGGGTCTGGAGGATTCAGTGAGATAACCTGCATTCCCTCTGCCCTACCCCCAGGGGAATGGGTGTTACTGGGGAGCACAGGAAGAGAGAAAGTCAGCGGATGATCTCTAGACAGCTGTGGGTTATTCATTTTAGGACTTTCCCCGTCAAATCTTTGCCGAGAGCAGCTGACTCCCTTGACTATCTTGAGTGTCCCCCACATAACTGTCTGGTCACTGGAGAGGACGGTGGTAGTCTTCCAGCTCTCCTGGAGTGGGTTGCAAACAGTTTCCAGGGTGGGTCCATGCTTCAAGCCCATGGAGTCCTTGGAGTGGAACCGCTTCCCTGAAGACACTTTCCAGGCAGCCCTAGCTGCCAGGGTATCAGGGCTCAGGGGAATGGAATCCTCAGACCCCATTGCCCAGCCCTCTGGGGACTCCCCTGCTGCACTTCCTTCTGCTGTGAGCAGGCGCCTGTGTCTCCAGGCCCCTACGCAGGGAAGGAAGGAAGCCGAGGTTATGGCCGTGAGAGCAAACCTGTTCCAGGTGAGCTTCTTGGGTGCAAGTAACAAAAGCTTATGCAATTCTTGTTAGTGTAAGCCAATTTGTTATTTAAGCAGACTATCTGGAAGAGCTGGAAAGCTGGGGTCAGAGGCCAACCCTCCAGAAATTGTGGAATCATGGAATTCTAGGGGGCCAAGCCATAAGAATTAAAATCAGGCCAAAGAACTAGTCCAGTGGAGACACCGTGGACACCGCTGTCACTGCTGCTTCTAGGAACTGGATGCAGTTCTCACCCTCAGCAGAATGGATTCTGTGCCATCCCTCCATCTTTCTAACACTAGCTTCCAACCCAAAGCCTGAGGTGGGAGCATCAATTGGGAGACCCTTGGGCATGTGCCCATGCCCCAGCTGTGAGGGGCATTGGGAAAGCCGGCATTTGTCTTTCTCACCTTCTATAGTGGGAGGCAGGCTGCTCTTCATACAGTGGAGTTTTTTGAACATAGGAGGTGTGTTCGGATGCTGGGCAGCCAAAAAGAAGAATTATTCACCAAAATTGCCTTTCCCAACCTCTCTAGATTGGCCAGCTCTTCCCAGGCCTGATCTTGACAGCCTGATCTGGCGTACTGGAGAAGCTCACAGCCCAGCTACGTGAGGCCATCAAGCCCTCTCTCAGAATGCTCTCGCCCTTCTTCCTGTAAAAGCTGTGCTTCCTATCACTCTCCCTGGAGATGGTCATTGCAATTAATAACCACCATGTGCCAGGCATTCTAGACACTATTTCTTTCATTTCTCAAGAGGTGCCTGGTGCTGCTGTGAGCCATTGTGGCTGATCCACAGAGTAACCAGTAGCATTGGAAGGGATTTGAGGGACAGTCCGGGCCTTGCTGAACATCCTCCATTTACAGATGAGGAAATAGAGGTCCAGAGAGGGAAAGCATCTTGCTGAAAGTCACACAACTAGTTACTGGTATTGCACCTTCTGCCTTACTCAAGGCTCTGCCTGTAACTGGAGGAGACTCTCCTGGGAGGTCAGAGGTGAGCATCCCCAGTATAGGGGCTCTCTTTCTGGCTGACCCTGGGAAAAAAATGCATGGTGTCTTCTGAAGTGACCACACTCATGTTCCCGGCTATGTAAGCCTGAGCTCGCTCTCCAGCCAGGGTCCTGGCCCCGAATGGTGGAAATGTGGCAAACAGTGAAATGGCAGAGGTGGCAGAAGTGGGAGCCAGACCTGAGATAACTGGTCTCCTGGAACTGAGCCCAAGTGTGAGCTGTGAGAGCGCCAGCTCTGTGACCCTCCTAAACAGATCTGAGAGTCTCAAAGAAGTGTGCGTGCACAGGAGCACGTGCTCACACACTCACATACACACACACACGATGCACCGGCGATGTAAATAGCTGTTCATTCACCATTGAGTTTATGAACAAATGTAAGACAGAAATAAATTAATGTAAGGATTACCCCAAAAGTCACTTAATAAAATACTTAACCCCCTAACCCTGTCTTTAATCAGAAATTTTAAAAGGGGATCAAGCTGATGGACTTAGGTTTTTCCTCACCTTCCCCGTTTCCACAGCCTGGGTCAAAGATGTGCAATTGCAGCAGAGGGTGGGGACAGGGGTAGAGATAAAGGCTGATCTAAAAAGGTACCAGCTGGCTCCTATCAGTTGAGATTTGCTGCACAGATTTCACTCAGAGGTCAGACTGTTTAATTCTGTGGAGGAGGAAGAGGTCGCACAGAGACTGAGCAGATGCAGACAGCCCCTGAGCCTGTCCCTTTTCCTCCTGCAGGAGGGGACTCATGAGCTGGTGGAGAGTGGGCGATACGACACGAGGGAAGATTTTACAGTGGTCGTGCAGCCGTTCTTTGAAAAAGTGGACATGCCAAAGACCTCGGTAAGGAAAGCAAGCATCGCAGAGAAGTGGGAGCCACAGATCGGGCCCAGCTGTTTCTGGGCGACACTTGTGTGGTCCCACGTCTCTAACATGGCCCCTCTTCTCTGCCCTGTGACCAGGAGGGGTTGCCTGACAGCTCTTTCTTCGCTCCTGACTGTTTCCACTTCAGTAGCAAGGCTCATGCCCATGCAGCCAGTGCTCTCTGGAATAACATGGTAAGATGACTGAAAGAGACATCATTCTCCCTCTGATAAGAGAAACTCTGGAAAGCTTTCGGGGGCCCTCAGAAGCCCACTGCTCAGGCTGTGTGATCCCCAGCACCCCAGCACTGCAGTGATAGGTCCATTTCCTTTGTCCCTCCCTCCCGTCTTTAGCCCTGACCTACGTCCTGACTTTTCCATTCTCACCACCTCTTTCTCACTCCCCATGTTCCTGCTTCTTGGTTTAGCTGGAACCCGTCGGCCAGAAGACAACACAGCATAATTTTGAAAGCAAGATCAATATCGCATGTCCAAACCAGGTAGAGTGAAAAGCACATCCGTGCAACGGGTCTATCTAAAGCATCTTTTCCAGCCTTTTAAAGGTTCTCATTAAGGCTTCTCAGTTCATTTCATCACAGGTTCTCACTCCCACCCCCAGCTGTGTTCACCTACCCATCCATTCCAGACTCTGCTTAACCATCCACAGTACCCTGTCTGGTTGGACTACGGGGGATGACAGCCCCCCAGTGGCCAAGAGGCCCTAGAATCCCAAGTCTGGGCTGCACACAGCTCTTTCCAGCTGGGAAGAGGGACATGGCAGCACCATCCAGCTCTCATTGTGAAGGCTAGGGGCAGGGAGAATGTCAAGGGCAGGATGGGACAGGAGGACACCCCATCTTCATGTAGTCATTGCTTCCATGGCAGGATGGGTACAGCGAGGAACTGAGACCTGGAATAATACCTGCCAGGATGGAGGTGGAGGGGGGTCAATTGGAACCTGGAGCTAGGAAAGCAGACGTCAGCTGCGAAGGCAAATCAGAACAAGACCCTCGTGTTCACTCAAAAATTGTCAGAAAGATTCTTGGACCTCTGCAAATTCCTCTGTATTTCTAGAGGGGTCCAGGCCTGTGACCGGGAAACACTAAGCCGGGGCGTGCTTGGGGCAGGACCTCAAAGCAGCTGACTCTTCTTGCCTGAGCCGGAAGGGGCCCGGGCTGCTGCAGAGTGGGAGTGGCGTGCAGTTCTGAGAGAGTCTAAGGAGTAGGGGACACGGACTTGTATCAGCAGAAAGTGGTGCTCCATTGGGAGGGGGCAAGGTTGAGAAAGAGAGGTGACACAGCCAGCTGGGTGGGAGGCGGAGAGCAGACGTGCTCGTTCCTGGGAGCCTCTGCAGGGTTTATTGCAGAGAAGGCCACAGTGCATGCTGGGAGGGAACCCACAGTGGTCACCCTGGAAGGGAGGGGCTTGTGAACGTGGAGCAGGGGAGGCTGAAAGTGTGGAAAGTGTTTATACCGAGGGCAGCCCTTCTGGGGGGTTGGAGTGGAGAGCAGTGCAGGAAGCAAGCTGACTTTGCTGTGCTTGCACACCCCACTCTTCCCACAGGTCTGGCCATTTCTGAGCACCTACAAGAACAGCGTGCAGGTACCTACTTGTTGCTTCCTTTCGGCTCAGCAGCCAATGGAGTGGGCAGCCCCTGAGCTGGGATTGGCCCAAAAGGGCGGGGTGGGAATCTGGGCAAGAGTTCCCCATGGGCAGCCACGGGGGATTCACACTCTTTATAAAGTCCCAGACAGCGAGGATGTCAGAGTAAGCTCCACTGGTAACCAGCCAGATACAGGGCCGGCCAGTCAAATCTCAGCCTCTTCAAAGACTAAATGCAGGGGCCGGCTCCGTGGCCAAGTGGTTAAGTTCGCGCGCTCCGCTGCGGCGGCCCAGGGTTCAGATCCTGGGCGCGGACATGGCACTGCTCGTCAGGCCACGTTGAGACGGTGTCCCACATCCCACAACTAGAAGGACGTGCAACTAAGATATACAACTGTGTACAGGGGGGGTTTGGGGAGATAAAAGCAGAAAAAAAAAAGAAAAGATTAGCAACAGTTGTTAGCCCAGGTGCCAATCTTTAAAAAAAAAAAGACTAAATGCAGATAACCATCCTCCTCATAAAGCTGCTGCAGAAGCCGGGGGCGGGGGGTTGTCATTTTGATGATGCCCTGATTCTTGCACTGGATGGTGGAGGAGTCTGAACTAGGTTAGAGGATGTCAACCTGGCCGATATTCAGAATCACCTCGGGGGCCTTCTTCAAAGGCTCTTCAAGGCCCCTCCGCAGGGTGAGCCCAGGAGTCTGTGCATTAAAGCTCTCTGAGTGAGTCTGATGCTCAGCCACTCTCTCTGGTCCCTTCACCTCTGAGATTCTGGGATTCATTCTACGCCCTCAGGATCATGGGAGCCAGCTGTCGTGCAGGGACACAGCTCCTTCTCCCTCGACGCCCACCTCAGGTAAGCCCCCGAGGACCTACCAGGATCCAGGGCCCCACCACAAGGACTTACAGGCCAGTGAGTGCCCTGACGAGGTTTTTCATGTGTAACTAAATGACACAGGTATGGCCAGTGCTTGCTTCCTGCCTTGGTGGTCGCCTGTGACAAGCCCCTGCTCTGTCCCCCTCCACGCTGTAGTGACATCTTACCCAGCAGGACCCAAGGTGGCCTGGCCAGGAACTGTGTGCTGTCCTCCCACTTCAGCCCGTTAAAGGGAACACAAGTGGAGGAGCCCTATGAGCTCCCCGCTCAGTGGCCCAGCCCTGTGGTGTGACCTCAGGGAGGCCGAGAGGTGGGAGGGAGGGTTCAGGGAGGCCCAAGAGGGAGCCAACTCTGTGGGTTGTCCTGTGGCCCCAGATTCTGCAATCACTGCCACCTGCAGTAGGGCTCGAAAGTTCCCTGGAGTCTTCAGAAGAGATGTGGGGGCAGGGAAAGGCCCGACATGATTATTTCTCAGATTCTTGGTGGAAATCCAGAACCCAGCTTTAAATGGGCTGTGCATCATCGCAGATGGTTTAGTGCCCCCGCTCATGCACTCAGGTCACAGATGGCATCCCAGGTGGCCACCGGCACTAAGGTGGTGGGACTCCACTCTCCCCTCTCTACCATCCATCCATTCCTCCCCTCTTCTTCCTCTCCCTCAGCACCTCTCCTCTTTCTTCCTTCCTGGGGACTCAAGTGTGTCCATTGTCTTTCCAGTACACTCCCTGAGACCTGCAGATATCCAAGTTGTGGCTGCTCTGGGGGATTCTCTGACTGTAAGGACTCTTGGGCCCCAGGTGGGATGGGGGTGGCGGTGAGTTCCAGGTCCCAGCCTCCTAACTCCAGGGCCTGCACTCCTGACCTCTGCTTTATCCCCTCTCCATCCTGATTCTGTCAGTCCGAGAGCTTGCCATCATTTGCTTTTGCAGCCACTTTCTCCATCAGGTGTGCAAGGGGAGATCTTTTTCAGGAGTGAACTGAATCATCTCACATATTGGAGGCTTTGAACATCTAACAAAACTTTCCTAACAGTTGCAAAAATATGTCATGTTGACCCCAAAAGTCTTCGAAACATCCCTGTGTAGGTGCTCTTCTCTCTTTGGATAATGCTCTATGAGCAGCTCAGACCCTCACGTCTGTTTCCTCTTGCATCTGCACGGGAAGCAGCAAAGATTCCACAGTTGTGGCTAACGCTCTGCTCCTAAGTTCCAAGAAATATGGCCTTTTACCCCCCAGATCGCCAAGGCCATGAGATTGCCTTACAGAATGTCCCAGAGAGAAAGAGGAGAAATGTGACGTTTATGAGAAATCTGTCCACTGCAGTCCACTCACATCTATCCGCTCTTTCTTTGTGCTCAGAAAGAACTTAAGAGCACAATGCTAGTAGTGAGAATATAACAGTGTCGCACGTTTGCAAAGCACTGTAGAGTTTTCAAAATGGTTTTTACAACTATGATCCAATTTGGTCATCACAACAATCCTGTGAGATACGCAGGGCGTGGCCTCAGTTCAGCAGGGAAGCCGCCGAGCTTGGAGAGGGCACGCAGCTGAGAAGGAGTGTCTCGGAAGGCCAGCCCAGGGCCTTCTGCCTCCGGATTCAGCGTGCCTCTCGTGCGGCGCTGAGGGTGGGGAGCCTGCACAGCCTCCCTTTTCTCTGACTTGCTGATTTTCCTCTGGATTTTGGTGTGTTTTCAAAGGCTGGCAATGGAATTGGCTCCAAACCAAACGACCTTCCTGACGTCACCACTCAGTATCGGGGGCTGTCATATAGGTAATGTTAACCCTTGACCCCCTCCCCCTGCAGGCTCACCCATGGAGATTGGGTGGGGGATTGTCTCCTACAAATGCGTAGGTACCAAAGGAGCAAGGAGCAGGCCTTGAAGGGGCTTTCAGAAGGAAAATTTATATGTTCCGGCAAGATATGACAATATGGTGAATAGATAGGATATTTTACTGTTGACAACCCTTTTCTTTTTTTTCAATTGTGCAGAAAAGCAAACCAGGGTTCTTATCAGACTCCTGGGTCAACAAATCCAATGTGAAGTGCACCCGAAAATCACCAAATCTCTGAGTCTTCGTCTGCCCGTGTGCTTGTATCTGTGTACATGTAGATGCTCCTACATCTGTTTACTATCTGTATTTATTCATGTCGTTCTGTAGTCACACCTCTGCCTTTATGTATATGTTGACATCTGTCCAGAAAACTCCGAAGTGCAACACACACTTCAGGGGGAAACAACCAAGATAAAAATCACAGCCAGCAGGCATTGCTAAGCTCTCTCATGTGGCGACTTGGTCCTAGGCGTTGGGGCCGGTGGATGAGAGGGATGTATGGGGAGCACAGGCAAATGCTTCTGCTCAACTGGGAAGTGCTACTTAAAAATCAAAGATGCCCGAGTGCTGCAGGAATATAGAAGAGGGAGGAGCCAACCCTGCCAGCAGGGACAGGAGGGCCTCCCAGAGAAGGGGGTACCCCAGTTACGTCTTGACAAATTAGCAATTAGATAGCCAAGAATAGGCAGCCCAGACTTGGAAGTAGAAAGCTCTCGGTGTGTCAGGTGAGTGGGTAGATGTGGGTTTTCTTAAGTTTCTTTCTTTCCTAATAAAGTTGGTGTTAATATATGCTTCACAGTCATTGGCGATTAGCTCAGAATTCAAAACAACTAGAACAAAGCCAGCCACCAGAGGGCAGAGTGCTAATGAGAAGTTGGGTGGCCCAATGAGGCCTTGCCCTCTCCCTTTTCTTCACAGTGAATTCAGATGAAATGTCTCTTCCAAGAAAGTGAGAGGGAACAATGTAGGGACGGTTCTGGGGTCAACCCTGAGGAGAGTCCCAGAGAGAAAGGCTTCCCCGGCTGGCAGAGAGGCGTCCCCACCCAGCCTTCGCTGTCCCGGGAGAGGACCCAGGGTATGGGCAGCACGAGGACAGTACCCACTGAGAGCTGAGGGGAACGCCTCCCAGGTCCCCCACTCCCCCAGGCCTCCCCCTTCCCTCAGCCAGGCAAGTGTCTCTAAGTGGCTGTGAGGGAAACAGAGCATCGCTTCCTGACCACTCTGCCCCACTGAGGCTTCGAGCAAAAGAAAAGCCAGAGGGAGAGAAAGCAGACTTATTACAATCAAGAAAAAGCCTGAGGTGGAGGCAGCCGCACTTAGTCTCAGCTAAAGAAGGTGGTGGCCTCCTATGACAGAGTGGGAAACGGAAAATAAAGTAGACAAGCCAGCCCACGGATGAGAGATGAGCTGCTCCTGGCGCTGCAGTCCGGGGCTGTGCGGTGTAATGCGCCCAGCTTCACGAACAGTTCAACCCGACAGGTTCCTGGTATCCAGATCTGAACGGGCAATCTTCTGCTCACCCTTCTCTCTGCAGCAATGGAAACCTTGAGCCATTGCTGTTTCTCCTACAAGTAAGGTCCAGTAAGACCGAATGTTTCAATCTTTTAGTTCTAATTCCAAAGCTTTGTATATTCAATGGCTGCTGTCCCTTTAAACCCTTTATTCTAAATGTTTCAATACTTGTCCCAAGACCCACCTGTATGGAAGATGGAAGTTCTGGGTCAGAGTCTGAGAGACAGTTTCCCATTTGGTGGAATAGACAGACTAGTGTTTCCCAAAGTGTGTCCCATAGAACACTAGCCCCAGACATGTTCCTGAAGAGGGTAAAATTCTTTGTATTTGGGGGGAAACATTACCTACCATGTCTTTTCTCTGGGGAATTCATGCGCATGTTAGCGTGTTAAAGAGGCTGAAGCCCTACAATGAAGAAATCTGTTTAAACCATATCTGTTTAATCCAGTGTTTCCCTTAATCCCAGAACTCCCTCTTTGTTCCTAATACCTATTAGCATCCCCTAGAAAATGGCATGTAGTAGACTGATCTGAGAAAAGCAGTTTTCTGAAGCCGTTAAAGCTTCTGGATTGGAAATACTAGGCAATTAATGATTTTGGTAAATTCAGAATGCAATTTGAGCCTCTTCCTCCAAGGAAACAGGAAGTGGAGGGAGAGGACCTCAAACAGTCGGATGGGGGAGGGAGTAGGCCCAGAATTCTTGGGAGGTGGGTGGCCGTGAGCAGGACCTGCAGAAGGAGGTTTGGCTGCAAATGTTTCTGAGGCCTCTTGGCCTGTGAGGATCGTGTGCCAGTGGAAGGTTTCAGCTTTGGCCAGCTTAAGAGCGTGGCAGGCCCAGGGGTCCTTAGTGTGTTGCTTCTTCTTCAGTTGAAATAAGTGTGCTTGTTTGGCATCATTCAAAGGACCAAAATAAAATTTACATACCAAAAAAATGCATTTCTTTGTGTTATTCGCTAGGAGTGCAATCTCACATTACCAAAACTCCTTCAACAAGTGTTGTTGAGCATCTACTCTGTATTTCTCTGTGCATTGTGGATGACAACAGGTGACAGCCTTTGAGCTCATGGTGTAGTATGAATTACATTAATCTGAAGGGTCTCATGTAAATTAGATGTTCCATATGGATCTGTTTTCTAACACATTTCATGTAGTTCTGATCAAAACAAGAACTTAAATATTTTTGTTCCCTTTATATTTATTTGTATAATTCTCTCTTTTTTCCTGGAATTATTCACTTAAAATGGGTTCAGAGAGAGATGTCTGTAGACTATTGGTTTAATCAGCCACCACACAGGTTTTAGAACAAAAATACTTTTTTCCTTTTTCTTTTTGAGGAAGATTAACCCTGAGCTAACATTCGCCACCTATCCTCCTCTTTTTTGCTGAGGAAGATTGGCCTTGAGCTAACATCTGTGCCCGTCTTCCTCTACTTTATATGTGAGACACCTGCCACAGCATGGCTTGACAAGCGATGCATAGGTCTATGCCCAGGATCCCAACCGGCAAACCCTGGGCCACCAAAGCATAGTGCGTATCATTAACCACTATGCCACAGGGCCGGCATCTAGAACAAAGATACTTTTAGAGGAGAAATCACAGTAGAAAGTACTTGATGTGCGTAAGTGTGTGTTTATGTATATCTCTATATGTTTATTGAAGGAGGAAAGGAGGCAGAGTTAGAACACAGTGATTGGATTTATAATTTCCTTTCAAGTATAAAGTGTTGATTAAATGCTTTTAGTCCAAAGAAAGAAGGATCAGGAAGCAGCTAAAGCAGCAGCTTCGTGCAGAGTTGGAAAAGAGTCGTAAGCTCGCACAAATGCCGCACCACCAGCCCAGTTAGGTTCAGACCTCTGATGGGAGGTTGGGGAGAGAGACCAGGGTGAGGAAGTGAGGCAGGCTCACCCGGTGTCCTCTCGCCGCTGCTGAGCCTGGGACGGAAGCCCTTGACCACTCTAGTATGAAATAGTCACCTTCATTCCAAGCATTCCCTGGAGTGAAGAACAGCCCTGACTTTGATCCAGGCCTGCCCTCTGGAAGTCTCTATGTCCTGGAGGGTGAATGCTAACGCTGCGTTCTCAAAATCTGTTGGCCTGGAGTAAAATGCTGGCATGGGGGCGGGAAGTACAGAAAAAACATCAGTAAATACAGTTTACCTGAACACTGGACTTTATTAAAGCAGAAATACTGCTCTCCTCGTCTCCCACAGGTATTCAATTCAATGCACGAACGTAAATGAACTCTTGAGTGTGTCTTGACGTTAGATTGAGGGCCGTAAAACTAGATTAGATTAGATGAAGTTAGGGCGTGGAAGGCAGTGAGAGGCCACCCCTGAACCTTCCAGGGGAACTGACCTCACCGCTGGGCAGAGAAGAGCTTATCCATTTTCTAAAGGTTTCGGGCTCCAGCTGGTTTTTAGTTACCTTTCTGGGTTTTAGTTTCCTTTAGAAAGTTAACTGACCGCTCTGCCCCTCAGCTTCCTTCTCTGTGAGATGGAGATAGGCGCATCAACGTCGTACGCTTGTTTGGAGATGTGAGATAACTAAAGTAGAGAATCTAGTTCATGGCTGGGCACCAAGTATGTACTCCGCTAAGTGCTCTCCCTCCTGATTTGGTGGAGAAAAGGAACAGCTCTCTTTTGCCTTCAAATCCCGGCTTTGGGGGGAGCCAACCCATTGGGGAATTCAAATTTTGTCAGTATCCCTCAAATACGGAGAGAAGGGTCCGGCACCTCTTACAGGCGCTGATGGTGTGGGCACTAAGGAAAGTGGGGGCGCTGTTCCGTAGAGACTCTGTATTGATTCAGTCTCTCTCACTGGCTTGCTCACTCCCTACAGTTCAGGAGGGGACGGCTCCCTGGAGAATGTGACCACCTTACCGAGTAAGTAGCCAGGGGCTTGAGTCTGTCCCCTCGTCCCATCTGGCCCCCAGGCTTCCTGAGAGCGCCTCTCAGCTAAGAAAGGAGGGAATAACATCTTCCTTATGGACTACCGCGAAATGGGAAAAGAGGCCGGTGCACAGGCGGCTGGAGGGGGTGGAATAAACGCTGTATTTGGAGCCTGGAGACCTGAGTTCAAGCCCTGGCCTTTCTGTGTGCTTGCCAGGTGATCTGGGGCAAGTTACCAAACATTCTGAGCCTCAGGTTTCTTCCACTGGCCAAGAGGATGCAGAGAGAGTCCAATGAGACAGCGAGCATGAGCTGCACTGTGAATTGCAAAAAAAAAAAAAGGAAGAAGAATACTATTGAGAGGCTCTTGCTGCCTTGGCCCGTCCTGTCATTGAGTCATTTCAACTCAAGAGGCCTCAACTCCTATCGGCACACACCCCCCTCCCTGCCTCCCCTGGCCTGCCTCTGCCCAGGACCTTAGACCAGAGGAGATATGCTGGCCTCCTGTCCTAAGCCCCCTGTCCCTGTTCACCCCCTCCTCTTCCAGATATCCTTCGAAAGTTTAACGGCAATCTCACAGGCTACGCGGTAGGCACGGGTGACGCCAATGCCACAAATGCGTTCCTCAATCAGGCTGTTTCTGGAGCAAAGGCTGAGTACGGCATTTGGGGAGGGGGTCTGCAGGGTGGGGGGTGGGAGGCACGTAGTCCCTGTAAGCTTGTAGCACTGACTGTGTGCAAAGGGACCATTTCTCTGTTTGCAGCAGTGATTTACAGGGCTCTCTGCAGTGCGCTCCCCTGGCCGCCCCTGTGGTCAAGGCCACAGCTGGGAGGCTGGAGCCTGGACAGGAGCCATGGCCCTGGAGGCTGAACGCCTGGCCTTGCTTTCCTGTGCAGCATGTTCTAATCATTCGACTAACTGACAGCCGTCCCCAGGTTTCCAAACTTCCCATGGCATGATGGTGCTGGAGAGAGTCACTCTCTCCAAGCCTCACAAGTGGCAATTCCTTAGAAAGAGCCTGATATGCCCACCAAATGCAGGGACAAGCCAGAATCTCCAGTCCTGGGGGCCTCTGGGGCAACAAGTCCTGTCCTGTCCCTAGCCCACTCTCATGCTAACAAGAAGCAAAAAGCCAGAGGCAGCTGAAGCAGAATGGCTCAGCCTCTAGGATGCTCTCCCGATGAGACCTCTCACCTGCTCCTCGAGGCCCCAGCAGCCTGGGTCTCCTTGCTCCGTGCAGCCCCTGGCCCAGCCGTCTGAGCCTCTGTCACAACTGTCATCTTCTTACTCAGGCCCATACCCTCTGGTTGATGGGCATGGCCCCTAGACCCGTACACCCAGTCTGGGTAGACCCTTCTTGGTAACAGAAACAGCTCGGGACAGGTAGTCCAACTGCCAGGTCCTGGGAGAACACTGTGCTGTGGATCCATCTCACCCAGGCCCTACAGCGGCCTGAGTTAGAGGGGATCTCAGGGTGCCTGAGATCTAGTTCTTCTAGGGGTTGTAAACCCAGGCACATGGACAGTGTAAATTTATTCCCCATCTCTTTCTAAAAGAAGCATTTAGATAAGTTTAAAAAAAAAAAAAAATACAAATAACAAGGAAGATAAAAATCACAGCCACTAAGAGGGAAAAAGAGAAAGCAACTGGTCAATATAAGCATTTTTATGGTTATTGTGCCTGAACATCAAATTCTCAGCTTCCTGGCAGCCGGGGTGAAAAGGGTAAGCATGCTAAAACTTTCATAGGTCTAAATTCAACGTCTACACCAGTCCTTCAAAGGTGACAAATGGTTTCCTAGCATGGAATCCTAAAAGACACTCTGCATGTGCAGTTCTAGAAGGGAGACCATAAGCAACAAATATAATTGGCAGTACCCGTGACTACAGCTTTAGGACTAACACACAATTGGCTTTTCAAAGGGTTAATAACTCTCCAGAACAGGCAAGTCGCTTCTTGTCCCTGAGCCTCTGCCAGCTCATGCAGTGGGGATAATGCCATGGAAACCTCCAGTTCAGACACTTTAGGAGGAAAAATCTGGGCACTGTTCCTCAACAGAAGGACTGATGTTTCTCTCCTTCTCAGGGAACTTACAAACCAAGTCCAGGCTCTGGTGCAGAGGATGAAAGATGACCATGTGAGTCAGACTTATGGTTATTTTTAAACACTGATTTTCTAACCCACTAAAGTCCCCAAATGAAATGGACTGCCATGAAAAGTAGTAAGCACCCTGTCACTAGACGCATTCAAGCAGCAGTAGGGCAGCCCCTGTGTGAGGCCAGCTGGAGGAGATTATGTCCATGATGGGAGGTTTGTTGTCGGTGACAATGACCTTGAAAGTCCCTCCCCATCCTTACAGTCTGTGGTCTATAAATAAACCTCTAAAATTCCTTCAGCTCTGAGATTGATTCTACTAGTTCAAGTGGGCAAGGAAGCCTTAGAGGGTTGATTGGATTTCCTAGAGCTGTGGCATTTTTGTTTATTTGTTGGAATCATCCAGCCTTTTCCTCCTCTGTGTAGAGAGTAAATTTCCATGAGGACTGGAAGGTCATCACGGTGCTGATTGGAAACAGCGATTTGTGTGACTACTGCACGGACTCGGTAACAGGGGTGGGCCAGGCTGCTCGCTGCCCCTGACCTTGACCTGTAGGCCTGGGAGATCCTCCTTGAGAGCAGTCCCTAGACTTGTCCAACACGCTTACGTGTGTGTGCCTGCACACGTACAATTCATACACGCGCACATGCACACATGTTCACACACTTCTTACCCCACGAGCCTCAGGGTTCTGGCTCCACCTCCACATCCCAGGTGGTGTGAGGCAGCAGGTGGCAGATATATGGTGCTTCTACTCCCCTTTCTTACAATTCCTGAGAATTCAGAAAGAGAAGCAGCTGCAAACCCCAAGCGGTTGGAAGGAGGACTCTGCACTTTCTGCTCCTGGACTAAATCTGTGGCTGAAAGCTCCAGTCTTGTGGCTGGCCCGTCTTTGACAACAGCAAGTAGTCAATGGTTCACCTCAGATTTCAACATGCTGAGATTGTCACAGCTGGAGGCGAGAGGGAGAAGAAGTCCTTGGGGCAGGAGCCAGCTGGGGGGCCTACAACTGCCCAGCTGCCCTCTGCCCTAACCAGCTCCTCCCCTGCCCTCCTGTCTATTCCCAGAATCTGTATTCTGCAGCCAATTTTTTTGAGCATCTCCGCAACGCCTTGGACATCCTGCACAGAGAGGTGGGTGGGGGGCTCCCACAAGCTGGACACAGCTCACCCACAGTGCGGGCAAGGTGGATGGGGGAAGATGGTAAAGGAGACAGCCAAGGGCATGGGCGCCTTCCCTTTCCGGAGTTCGGGCTCTACCGTCAAGGTAAGCCTCACTCCATTCAGAATCAGCCCAGAAGGACCTCAGGCTTGAAGAAGGGGAGGCACTGTGTGCACTAATTGTCCCCCCACCGCTACCTGGGACATTCCCTGGTGGCAGCAGCTGGTCGGCTCCCAGGCTGGGCACTGTGCACTCTGAGCCATAGGGTGTGTCGAGAGCAAGCCCCTCTCTGGTCCTGCTCCCGGCAGCGTGTTCTCTCCCCATTACCCAGCATGGACAAGCTGCTCCGGCTGCCCAGGAGGGAGCACTCTGACTGCCAGATGCTTCTCTGAGTGGTGGAGTCCCCAGCCCGCTCAGCAGAGTTAGTCCAGGTTGGGCTAGAGGGAACTGGTGAGGGCTAACGTCCTGGCAGACGGGGCACCTATTTCACCAAATTTTGAGTTCGCTAACTGATGGCTGAACACAGCTGAGCTCTCAGCATTTAGACTCTGGTCTGCCATGTGGTCCCCACTCCAGGAGGCGCCGTTCACGCTGCAGCCCATGTGAGTGGCATGGTGCGCAGGGCCCTAGGCGGTAACCCCGTGTAGACGCCTCCCCAGAACTCCACTCAGGGATGACCAGCTGGAGATCTACAGGGACCCTAGAGCCAGTTCTCCTTCTTGGGGCCCTAAGGCAGCTTGACGAAGGAGGCGCTGGGGCCCCTCTCTCATCTGCAGCCTTGCCCACAGGTGCCCAGAGCCCTGGTCAACCTCGTGGACTTCATGAGCCCCAGCGTCGTGCGGCAGGTGTTCCTGGGGAACCCAGACAAGTGTCCGGTACAGCAGGCCAGGTAGGCAGGTGCTGGCTGCCCCTGGCCGGAGAAGTGCTCACCGCCGGTCTGGCTCACATGGTGGTGACTCCTTGGGTTCTTTGTGACTTGGTCTGTCCGTGAAGCCAAGTCTGGAAAGGGGGTCTTGCCCCAGGACCACCGTCTTCTCAGAGGTCAGATCCGTGGCCCCCCTTACCCAACCTCAGGGTGCCAGCAGGAACCTCTGTGATGTGGGGGAGCACAGAGGGAGAGACCAGGGCTGGGACAAGGCTGGTGTTCAAGAGACAGCGGAGCCCGGCCTGTGAAAAGGGGGTACATAGAGGAATGTGTACATTCGTGGTCGACCCGCGACAGCAAGTGGGAAATGATGCACACGTTCAGTTACCGTTATGGGGAAGCATGGAACTGGAGAGGGACACAAGGGAACTCCAGATCGGGAGTGTTTTGTTACTGAAGCTGAGTGAGAGGTATACAGGTGTGTGTTTTATTATTCTTCATACCTTATACGTGGCTGTTAGTGCCGTTGAGTCCATTTCAACTCCTCACAACCCTGTGTTCCGCAGAGCGGAACCCTGCCCAGTCTTTTGGCTCCATCTTCTCACCTCCTGGTGCTCCATCAGACGGTGCTCTGCTGCTCTTCACAGGGTTGTCATGGCCAGTTTTTTCAGAAGTGGGTGGCCAGGTCCTTCTTCCTAGTCTGTCTTAGTCTGGAAGCGCCACTGAAACCTGTCCACCACAGGTGACCCTGCTGGTATTTGAAATACCGGTGGCATAGCTTTCAACATCACAGCAACACGCAGCCACCACAGTGTGACAACTGACAGACAGTGTGGTTGCCTGACCAGGAACGACCGTGGACCACCACAGTCAGAGCACCGAACCTTAACCGTCAGACCACCAACCTTATACGTGCATTTATTTATTTAACAAATACTTTTACAGAATTTACTGTGCACCAGGGACTGTTTTGAGGACTTTAGAGATATCATTTTAACATTAAGTGTATTTTATGGATGTGAAATAACTCATAATAAAACAAAAGAGGACACAGTGGGGCACTAGTGTGAACCAAGGAGGTGTCTGAGGGCATGAGCACCAGAGGCCCCAAAATACCAGCTCCAGGACCAAAGGATGAATTCTTAAAGACTGGACATTGAATTTTCATGGCCTAAATTCATTGGCTCAGCGTAATTTTCTGCAGACCCAGGGCCTGCAGCCCAATACTCCGTTAATGTGAGAGGGTGCTCATTCATACATCCTTGGGACTTTCTCCAGGCCCCGGGTCAGGCCTGAAACCTGCCCCTCAGCACGTGCATCAGGGCCGCAGGGCACATGTACTCCTAAGCCAGGGCTCCCGGGAGCTGCCCCCATGCAGCAGAGCCGGGCCCTGACCAGGGCTTCGGCTCTGGGTCTCCTGCCTCCCCCTCGTTGTGCAGTGTTCTGTGTAACTGTGTTCTGACCCCGCGGGAGAGCTCCCAAGAGCTGGCCAGGTTGGAGGCCATCGCCCAAGCCTACCAGGTGAGACCCGGAAGGGCACCAGTCTGTGTGTTCTGCTCCCCCTTGCTCTAACACACTAGCCCAGGGCCCCCTAGGGGAGGCACCTAGGGAAGGGAAGAGCTGTTCAGGGTTTGAGGGGGGACTTCGCCATCCTGGGCCCTTCCTCTGCCCCACCTGGATGGGGTGTCTCAGATACCGGGCTTGGAGTCACCTCAAAGGACTCCAGGCGGCAAAGTCCTCATAGCTGAGCTGCCCTAGGTGGCTTAACCCCAATGCTTGGCCTGAAGAAGGCCGTAGCCCTGGATTCCCTGAGGGACCCCTTTCCCTTCCCGGCACCTCGGGGGCCCAGCCGCCCCCCCCCCCACACACACCCACCTCCTCAACAGGCAGGCTGTGAGGAGGGCAGTTGCGTCCCGAGCCTGGGGGCCCTCTAGAGACCCCAGGTTTTTCTTCTTTGTGGGACTTCCTGCCTGGCCCTTCAGAGCTGGCAGTTCACTTAAAACCAAAATAAAAAGGTGACACAACCTGTTTTCAATTCTCTGGAAAGAGATTTGCAATCAAGTGCACTTGTGTTCTCAAGGGAGGGGCTGAGTCAGCCCCCCCCCCCCCAACCCCACTCCATCCAGGGAGCTGGGGGCAGTGGTCCTGCCCATCACTCCCACCCTTTCCCCACTGGGCACCTGGCCAGCCCAGGGCCTGTGCTGAAGGCACCCGTGCGTGTGTCCCCAGAGCAGCATGCGTGAGCTGGTGGAGTCGGGTCGCTACGACACCCAGGAGGACTTCTCTGTGGTCCTGCAGCCTTTCTTCCACAACATCCAGCTCCCCATCCTGGCGGTATGCTCCCTGCCCCCCGCTGTTGGGGCTCCTGGGAGGAAACAGAAATTCAAGGCAGACAGGACAGTGCTTCCATGAGAGTAGGAATAAAACAGGAAAGACACAGGCAGTTCTCCAGATGCTGTTCTGGTGGGTGCAGCCTCCTTGAGCATCTGAGCTGCATTTCCAGAGGCGGCCTGACGTGGGATGTTCTGGTTACTGCCAGGAGCAGCCTCCGTTTTATTGAGCACCTCTTACGTGCCAGGCACTGTGCCTCCCACACATAAAATCTTCACAACTACCTTTTGAGATGGTCATTAGCATCCCCACGTAACAGAGGCTCAGAGATGTGAGATATCCTTCCAAAAATCGTGTAGGGAATGAGGGACAGAGACACAAGATTTAAACGTGTCCAACCCCAGATTATTCACTTTCTGCCACACACACAACACTGCAGTTATAAAGGAGGGTGCCGGGTATTCCATCTCTCCGCTCGCTGTGCTCTCCACCTGACACTTCCACTCTGAGCAGAAGAACTCTGTGAGTGGACCAGGGTGAGGACTCGGTTCTGTGCACCTGGGCCTCCGTCCTAAGGGCCTCACCTACCTGGAGGGAAGCTTGAAGAAGCTTTGAGCACCACTGAGTGCCTCAAGAGAGAGGAGGGTGGCATGCTGCCCTGGCGTTGGCTTTGCCCATGTCTGCCCCAAGGCCCGGCCCTGTTCTTCCCACCAAGACCACTGGGACCAGCTGGCTCAGGGCTGGGAAGTAGGTTTTCCCAGCTGGCTAGCCAAGACCTCCTCAGAGGCTCGGGTCTCTTTCCCTCAACCATGGCATGGCTAGGGCATTATACAAAAGTGCCTAAAAATAAATATGGCACTTTTTTGATTAAATAAGGGGAATTGCGGGGCAAGAAAGGAGGGTGGCGGTTTGAGGTCACCTGAGGCTGTTGGTCTGTGGGATTGCTCTGATCTCCCTCTTGAGGTGAGCAGGCTCAGTAGAAGGCCAATGGCCGGGAGCACCCTCGGGGGAGGAGGGCATTGAGTAGTCAATCCCAGGGGTCAGGCCGATCAGCTGTGGCTCCCCCTCCACCCTCTGTGCCGACAGGATCTTGAGGACGTACGTTTCTCTCCTTCAGGATGGGCACCTGGATTTGTCCTTCTTCGCCCCAGACTGCATCCACCCAAGTCAGAAATTCCACTCCCAGCTCTCCAGAGCCCTCTGGGTCAACATGGTAAAGTGGGGCATCCCTCATTCTCTGGGGTTCTAGTCTAGAGAAAAGCACAGCCCCTATAGAATGGAGTTTGTTTTCGGCCTCTTTGCAAGCAATAGAGGAGCGGTGGCTGGCGCATCTGTAGAAATCTATAGAATTGAAAGTATGGAATCCTTAAGGCCCAGGATCAACTGCCCCTCCTCTCCGTGCTTTGAACTGTGATGAGCGTCTCTACTTGAACACGAGGCAGAGCGCTCACATTTATTCAACATTTTCTTTTATGTGCCAGCAACTGCACCAGGCAGTTTACACCACATTGTCTCATGAGAGCCTGTCAACAGCCCTGCAAGAGAGGTGTTAGGAGTTTATGAGGAAGCTGAATCCTAGGGAAGCTAAGCGACGTGCCCAGTATCCCACAGCTGGCAACTGGCAGAGCCAGGAGTGGAAGCCAAACCCCCTAAAATCAAGTTCCGAGCTTCCCCACAGCAGGATGCTGCCAGGGAGTGTTTGCTTCAGCAGAAACAGATTAGTACACCTGTGTCTCCTTTTCTTCCCCACTCAGCTTGAACCACTAGGAAGGAAAATGGATACGCTGGACCTGCCAGCAGACATCCCCCTCTCCTGCCCCACTCAGGTAATAAGGGAGGACCTGCTTTGTTTCTCTCCAGAAACCCAGAGCTCAGACCTCCCCCTGCCCCCTCCATCCTCCACCACAGCCTCCTCCAGGAGTGGACGGACTTTGGAGGATGGAAGGAAGTCGATGAGAATGAAGAGGGAAGAGAGCGCAGAAGCACTTATTTCTTTAGGAATGGGAGAAGCAGCAGGGAGAGGGGGCCAGGGCCCACGCAGAGGAGAGGATCAGGTGAGACAGGTGGATTCTTGAGAAGGGGAGTCAGGAAGCCAGAGGCTGACAGGAAGGCTCCTCCAGCAGACGCACTTGGTGTAGACGGGAAGCCTGACAGCAGGTTGGAGGCCCAGCGAGAAACCAGCCCAGCTGGGCTCACTAGCTGTGCTTAGTGGTGGCAGAGTTTCCAGCAGGGATAGGGTCAAAGAGGAAAGCCCCGGAGCTGTGTGGAGGAGGGACAAGGCGGACTGGCCTCTCGATAACTGGGGTGAGACTCAGCTCAGGACTCCTTTTAAGGAGGAAAATGTAAGCAGTTGTTAAACTTGACTTCAGGCCTGGGGTGGGGGCAGGTTCATATTCCCATTGCTTCGGCTCCCTTTTCTAGGCCCTGTCTTATGGCTTTTTAACCAAATAAGGCTGAGGCCAGGGAGCCCTCAGCGGCAATAAAAGCAGAGGGCCTGACCCAATCTGGGAGGCTGGGTTTCCCTCCTGGGTCAGGCTGCTTCACTCTCTCCCACCCTCCTGGCAGGGCAGGGAATGGACCTGCAGCTCCCCCATGTGTCCGCCAGGGCTCCAGAGAGAGTGGACCCCTGCCAGGACCCATGCTCCCTGTCTGCTGCCTTCCCCACCCAGTCTCGGCCTGGTGTACCCTCAGCCCCATTGGGAGAGCAAGAGCAGCGGGAAGAAGGGGTGCAGATGTGCAGGCAGTGGTAGCAGAAGGCTCAGTTACCCGGTCTAGTGCTTGAAGCAAAGAAAATGGTCAAATGATATAACAACAAGTGCAGCTTGGATGCCTCCTGTCTAGAGGGTCAGCTGCTGGCCGAAGGGCTGGGGCAAGGTCCTAAAGGGCCCTACTGTGCCCGATGAAAGCCCTTTCATTGCTAGATCCTGAGCATTTCTGGGGGTGAGTGATAGGGGAGGAGCCAGGGCAAGCTGGATACTGGGGACGTTTGGGGACTCAGAGTTGTGGCTACAAACCATACTGGAGGTAAGCATTTCAATATTTTAACAACCCATATGGTCATACTGAACATCAGCCACAGAAAACCCTCTCCAATTTGCCAACTCCCTTTCATTAAATAGTAAAAGTAATGACAACCCACACCAGGGAGCCATCATTTGCTCTCCTTCCCCACAAACATTTATTAAGTACCAGGTTGGAGCATAGGCACTGGGTCAGGGAGAGCCCTGTCACCATGGGACTCAAGGTAACCTGTGCCACTCTCTGCCCCAGGCCAGGCAAGGAGCCCGGAAAGGGTGCCGCTCAACCCAGCGCTTAAGCCACTGTGGGCTCCGCTCCTCCCCCTGGACAGAGCTTGACTGAGCCTTAGTGAGCCTAGGAGAGCAAACCCAGGCTCCTGGAACTTAGAGGGCTAGCCTGGGAGAAGCGGTTGCTAGGCAACCCCAGAGCCCATTCCAACAGGATCCATCTGCTGGCCAGCCCAAGTTCACTGCACCAGGCAACGTAGTATTCTGCGTTCCTTAGGTCCCATCTGCTCCCTCCTTTGTCCCTGGAGCTATATAAAAGTCCACCGGCGTCTCAGTGTGAGCTGACAGGGGCCAGGCGGCACATATTTTAGTTGTAACTGTGTCTAAACATAGACGCAACAGGCAGGACCCAGGAGGGAGGAGGAAGCCGAGAGGGACGTGAGTACTGGGAAGCTTTCTCAGCCTCCTCCCGGCTCCTCTCCCATCCCCAGGCAACTGCAAGGGCATTCTGCACGCAAGGTTGGGCATTTGACAGCGCTCTGTGGATTTCTGTTGGACTTTCAAGTTGGACAAATTATTTTACAGCCAACTTTTCATTAGCCACCCTGTGGATTGTGACTGTTGTCCCCTTCCTGCTTTCATCACCTCTCTGTCCACTCCTTCTCTAACTGGGGGCAGTAGCCCGTGGCTCCTCAGACTCTGAAGAAACCAGTAGAAAGACCTGACCTCTCTTCTTGGCCTCTCTAAGCATTTGTTGAAGTTAACCACCTCCTCCTCCTCAAAATTCATTCATCACTACATTCATGGACACAAAGCCACTGTGATTGTTCCGTTTTTCTAGTTGCTTCCCCTTCTCAGTCTCCTTTGATGACCCTCCTTCCCTCTCCCAGCCTCGAAAATGTGGAAATTCTGCAATTTTCATGTCTGAGCCCTATTCTCTTTTCACATCCCCTTTCTCTGAGATTTGTCCATTTCCAGGGTTTAAATCTCTTTGCCCAGGATTCCTCAATCTGTCTTCATTTCTTACTTCTTTCTCAAACTCTGGCTCTGTATTTCTAACCCTGAAGAGATGGTTCCCTCTTGGCTGCCCTAGATGGTGTAAGGTTACCCAGAAGGCAGCTTAAATGTTTGATCAGGGTGTCAACAAAGAGAGGGAACCTGAGAGAGGGGCTGAGAGAGAAACTGAAATAATTTCACAGGGTATTTCATTCAATCCTTTATTTTGAGAAAAAGCAGCGGTTTTTTGGATTCCCTTCCACTGACTTTACTGTGTGGAGGTGTTTCTATTTTGAATTACGTATGGCAGACGCTCTTATCTTGTTACTGCCTTGAACTTCTAAATCTCCTCGTGCTGCCTTGTCCTCACCATCACTTCAAACCCAACCAACATTCACTCAGAAAATAATCTTTTGAGCAAGGAGTGTCAAAGTAGAAACTAAATATTTGTCTTCCCAACCTCTCTGAGCCATAGGACTTCCCGAGTTCTGTGAGGATTGGTGCGGTTTTCACAGTTCTATGGGTGTGAAACGTCAGGCTCCCCATCTGACAGGCTTCCCTCCCACCTGTCTCCTTTCCCTTTCCACTGTTGCCACCCCAGTTCAGATCCTCCTCACTTTGTATGTTGAAGGTTGTCTGCTCCTACCTTCCCATCACCAAACTACAGAGAATTATACAACCTTGGGCTCTGAGCGGAGGGCCTTGGCATTCTGTTGATGTAGTCTCTCACAGAACAACTGAATTCTCCCAGCACATCCCTCCCAAGGCATCGCCAGAGCCTCGGCTTAAATTTCCACCCTCTCAAGGCTGTGCTTTTCAAACTGCCAAGCGGCTGCCCACTAACAGGTTGTGAAATCAACGTAGTAGATCGTGAACCAGCACGTTTGGCATGGAGTGGAATGGAATTGGAAAGAAATATCAGAGGCTGTTCCGTGTAGCACTGTTACATCCTCCTCCTGCCCACCACCGCGCCCTTCCCTGAGTCTCCTCAGTTCCCCCAACCCTTTATCATAGACGGGCCTTCCAAACCTTGTCTCATGGAGTAGGTATGACTCCTTGGAACATGGCCCCCCTGTAAGTTGGTGCCCAGGACTGACTGTACACTCCCAGTTTGATCCGGGCAGCACAGAGCAGAAGAAAACCACCACCGCTTCCCTGTGGAACTCTACACCTTGTAACACAGCCAAGATGACATGACCTTTTCCCGCAGCCACTGACTCACACTGGTGACTCACATCAGGTGGCTGCCGGCTCTGCCCCCTCAGGCAGGCCACTCGGTGTTTGCACGGCTCTAACTAGAAGAACACTTCCTTGTGCTGGCATTTAGTTGGCTTCACTTTCTCCCTACTGGTGTCACAAACCTAGCCTAAGAGGGCCAGTCTGACTAAACGGAATCCCTCTTCCATGGAGTCTGCTCAACTCCAGGCCTTTAAACCAGTCTGACTCATGCACACACCACACGGTCGGTCGTCAATAAAACAAGCCTTGGCATCCAAGGGCGCCCGTCTGCCACTGCCCTGGACCTGCTCTCATTGTCCCTGCCCTGGCCTCACTCTCCGCTGCATTCCAGCGTCTCCCTGACCTCTGACCCCTTTGACTCAGTCTCCTCCTCTGGCCCCTCCCCCACCCCTTGGATCATATGACTAAACAGACTCTCCAGTTTGACTCAGCACTCCAGAAGGGCAGGGTAGGTCTTTGTCCTCTGATTCTTCCTATGTTGGCCACTCTGGGTCCAGCTTCAGCCCCCAGACCCTAGGCTCAGTCAGGGCTCCCTTGAAATGGGGGAAGAACCATAATTAACGACCCATCCCCACCGAGTCTCATCTTTGAGTACCACGCATCCCAGATCTTCCAACCACTCCTCAGCAATGACTGCACCACCTGGACACACTATTCTTTGGTGTTTCACCGCCTCGTGGCTTCTCATGCTCTCTGCCTGGCTGGGTTGTAAGCCTCTGTGTATCCTCCCCTCATCCTAACACCTAGAAAAGTGCTCTGAACACATGGGGTGCTTAGCAAACGTGGGTCTGTTGTTTAGAGAATGCTCCCAGATTGGTCTTTTCTGATGATGAATGCTCAGAGGATGCTAAATAACGTTAGCCAGAGACGAGCCTAGTTAACCATGGCGACAGGCCATTGTGAGCCCTCTTTTGCCTTGCACTGTTACATATGATCCAGGGCACATTTCCCACCCTGGGCCCTGACTACTCCTCTGGTCCATGTTTCAGCTAGGAACACCCCGACTCAGAGGGAAGGAGAGACGTGTGGTGCTCCAGGGAGCCAAGGTCTGCGCTGGGGGCTGGGAGTTGTACACGTGTAGATTTTGTCCTCCAAGGTGACCTCAGAGTCCCTCTCTTCCTCTTCCTCTCTGTCTGACCAGCAGTGTCTTTTGTTAGCCTGACCCCAGCGTGAGGAATGGAAGCAGGCCATTCCTGGTCAGGAAGGCCTATCAGGTCAGGCCAGGCCCCAGCTCTGCTCTCACTACCTGTTCTCTACCTGCATCAGGTCCCTTCCCTACTCTGGGCTCAGTTGCTGCTCATCTGTAAAATGGGGCCTTTCAGGGGTTGCAAATTCAGATGCAGTGGCAGGCAGGAACACGACTGTACAAACGGGATCTTGTACAAGACAAGGGGACGTGGTGGGGCCAGAACTCAAGACAACAGGCCTCTTCTGAGAGCATTCAGATCTTTCTCCTCCCCTCCCCCTCCCCCTCCGCCTCCCCCTTCCTCTTCCTCTACCTTGTCCTCCTCCCTTTTTTTTTTTTTTTTTTTTTTACCATCATTCAGGACAGAACAAAGCAAAACAAAATGTCTCTTGACTAAGTCCAGCCCATGGGCAGTCAGTTTTCAACCCCTGGAACAGATCTCCAGTGACCCCTTCTCCAGCATTCTTGTTCTTCCTTCTTATTCCCGTTTTATTCCCGAACTTTCAGACCACGGCCCTTCTATCCACTGAGCACATCTTGTGAGCGTGTCTACAGCCCTGGGCCCGGTCTTACTAACCTTCCTGATCTCTGTCTTACTAACTTCTTCTTGCTTCACTATCATTTTTACGTTTTCTCATTAGCATGCTTTCCTCCTGTTCATCCTTCATCTACTTTCTTCTTCCTTCTTTGATGACCCATCGCCTGCGACTAAAGAGACCCGGATTCCTGGCTAGGCTTGTGTGGAAGCCAGTTGTAACACAGATAGGCAAGTAGGGAGTGAAGATCGTGTTTCATGAGAAAGAACAAGACCAAAGTGTGTGAAGCCAACCTGAGGGGGTAAGACAACACAGTTCAAAGGAGGCAAAAAGAAAAAATTACATATGAAAATATATTGATAAGCATAACACTTTTCAGAAAAGAAAAAAAATGCTATGATGTGAACCTCTTGCCAGAGAAGTTACAAAGCAAAGAAAGTAGATCCTTCTGAGGACGAGGGAGATGTTCAGTCGTGAGGGGGGAAAATGAAAGCATAGACCCTGAGTAGAACGTGTGTGGAACCCTTCAAAGCCCTCTTATTGTGCATCTCTTGCCAAAGCTGTTATGTAAAACCCTCTAGGGAATGAATGAAATTCTGTTTATACAGTTCTTTCTATTTAAATGCAGAAGAATCTTGTTAGATAAATGAGGACAGAACTGTTAATTCTTTCTTTCCTAAGCAGTCTTTGATGCTTTTAGATGACCTCTCCCTGTGGTTTCTTTTCTCTCTTAGAGCGATTCCTTCCTGAGAACTTCCCGGAACAGTAACTACACATACCCCACCAAGCCAGCCGTTGAGGTAACCCCTGACGCATGTCTGCCTCTCTCAGAGAGAAACCATTTCCACCTGCCAGTGACTCAGGGCGTGGTGCAGGTTCAGAGTGTTAGCTTAGGCACAAATGTACCCTCCTTACATACCAGAGATTGGAATGTAAAGAAAGGACTCCTGAACCAGGACGTCCCAGGATTGTCCTGACATGTTCTCAAGTGCTTACCTGATGTCAGCAACCAGCTAGAGGAAGTGCCTTTGCACAGACATCATTTCTGATTAGGCAGCTTAGACTTTCAAAAAGGCATGAAGGAGAGGCAGCAATTTGATGTGCCATCACGTTCCTATAAGGTGGAAGCCAAGTGGGAAGAACCTCAATTCCAGGGGCTGGGCCCAACAGGAAGCTGACACATATCCATTTGGGTCCCCAGGGCTTGTTTGGTTCAAGTCAATCATTCTAGCTCTGAGGAACTCCAAAGGATTTGGGACTCATGGCTTTAGGGACTGCTACTCCAGACGTGGCCTGGCAGATCCTGGACCACACCAGGCCTTGCAGAATGGATCTGGTCCAGACCAGGTCTATTGGCCACCAGGATTGGGGCTGAACTGCGAGCTTCATTTGAGCACCTATGCTATGTCCAATCTCATGCTAGGTGCTGGAGGGAATTCAGAGAAGTACCAGATGTGGTCCTGCCCTTGGGGAGTTAGAGGTTACTCCATACTGAGGACCTACTACATGCCAGGGAGACAGAGCAGTAGACCAGACAGATGGGTCCACCCTGATGGATGGAGCTTACAATCTACTAGAGGAGACATCGAATAAATAGCTAAACATAATCATTTCAGACAGTGATGACAGCTCTGAGGAAGCTGATGCAAGAAAGAGTGATGGGGCAGGGGAGGAGTGGCAAGTTCTGATGAGCTGTACAGGCCAGGCCCCACCTCTCTGAGGAGGGCAGATTTGAGCTGGGACATGCATGATGAAAAGATGCCAGCTATGTGGAGAGCCAGAGCCAGAATCCCAGGCTGGACTAGGGAGGACAAAGCCTCAGAAGTGGGGCTGAGGAAGAGCAAGAAGGTCAGAGTGGCTGTGAGGGCATGTGAATGAGGTGGAGAGCCAGATGATGAGATCAGAGGGGTTGTCGGGGGCCAGATCATATAGAACCTGAACCCCTGAGTAAGATGGTCGGACTTCAGCTGGAGAGATGTGGGAAGCCATTAGAAGTCCCAGGAGAGAGTGAAGTGATCTGATTTGCCTTTTTAAAAGATCTCCCTGAGTACTGTACGGAAAATGGATTGGGGAACAGCAGGAGTGATTGAGGAAAGACCTTTATAAGCCAGCTGAAGAGCTGAGACTAACCCATATGAAATTACTGAAGACTATCAGATGCTAGGCTCTGGGGTACAAACCATAACATCTCCACGGCTGGGCTGATGCCACTGTCCAGCCTCTCTGGATTCTCTCAGGCTCACGTTAGCCCAATGGAGGCTGGTCCCAGGTAAACCATTGACCAAAATCCATTATAATCAAAATGTCAGCTGCATCTGGTCAATGAGGCATTTGTTTGCTGGTTTAATTATTTATGTATTGGGTGCCCAAATGGAGCAGGTGCTGTGCTAAGAGCTGGGTATACAGTGGTGAGCAAAGTGGGTCTGGGCCTGCCCTCTTGGGTCTTACAGAATCATGTATCTTTGCTTCTGCTGCTAGGAGAGTTAACTCTGTCCTTCAGAATCAGAATCAGCATTTAACAAGACCTCCAGGGGATTCGGGTGCCCTGGTTTAGGAGGCACGTGTGGTTCTCCCCTTGTAACAGACGAGCGTGCTCAAGTTCCAACCTGCGTCTGTTAATCTGCCTGGAACGTGCTTGTCTCTGGCTCACCAGCTATCAGGGATGTTTCTAAAGTGCTCACAACCATAGAACTTTTTGTTTTAACTGCATTTTCCCCGGATATTTGTCATCTGCACACAAGCACGTTCTTGATTTCAGTAAAACTTCCATACAGAAGAAGGAATTCATCAGTGTGAGGAATTGAGCAATCCCTTGGGATAAACTAAATTACATCAGATTAAGCAATAATATTTAAAAGAAGTTTCATTTTTGCTCCTTTGTGAAGCGAGTGTTTTACCAAGGCTTGTCTCTGCTGTTGTCTCACTAAACAGAAGAGAGGAGCTTCCCAAACCTCTGGCAGTCACAATCCTGGAGAATCAGTCAACTGGGCCACACCTGTTTGTGGAGCCCTACTGTGCGCCCAGCTCTGCCCTTGTCCCTCAGGCCCTCCTGGGGACATGCAGGTGTTTGGGACTCTGGGAAAGAGGCTCTTTTTCTCCCCCACTTGCTGGTGCTGGTCATTTCTGTGCCCTCTGCTTCCTACCCCATCCCTTCCTCCAGCATCTGGAAAGGTGCTCTGTATTCCAGGGACCAGGAAATTTGACTAAAGGTGCCCAGGTATAGACATTTATTTATACACATATAAGGAAGTTGTTGGCTATTAAGTTAAATATGCAAAAAGATATTCACACGTATAAAAAGATATGCAGAAACCAGGAACTTTGCAATTGTAAAAATTTCATGTTATTTTCCTAAAAATATTTTAACTAATTATTGTTTCAGTCCTAGCATTGTAATTAGTGTCTATTAGCATAATGTTAAACACCACCACCAAAACCCATCTGTAATCTCTTATTAGGTTTCCAAATCTGTGTTCCTTTGGGAGACCACCTGTAGCATGAATTCCCAGCTTCCCCCCTGCTTTGGTATGCCTGCTGGCACCGTGTAAGAGTGGAGATAGGGTGAGATGGGAAGGACTATGTGAGTGTGCACACGGGTGCACACACATTACGTGTATTGTGCATAGGGGTAAGCAGACACCCATCCTCCCCCCTCTAATTTCCCTCTCAGTCCATCTACAACTAACAGGTCTTATGCTAACAAGATCCCCCACAGTGACATAGTTCTAGCCTCCATCACAAATTCCTTAGCTAGTCCTTCTTGGGCTGGAGCTAACCTTCCTGTACAATGAGTGTTGGGCGTCGTATCTTTCCTCCTGTTGATTTAGAACTGGGGCAGTGACTTCCTGTGTACCGAGTGGAATCCTCCCAACAGTGTTCCCACCTCGGGTGAGTGAAAACATCGTCACCTCCTTCACTTGAGGGCCTTGCTAAGTGTCAGGTTGGGGGGAGACCCTACAAATACACCCCAGAGCTTCCAGTAGGCCTTGATTATTCCCACGCTATGCAGACCTAGATTCTGGGCTGCCCACAAGAAGCTGGCCTGCAGCCACTGCTGGGCTCCCACGTGGAGGGGCCTCCCCACTTAGTCCCAATGGCAGCCCTTCATGCCTCCTTGCCTGGTGAGGTAGGTACAGTCAGGGATTGAGGTCCTATCTGCCTATGCTCATGACTGCTACAGCTGGAACTTTCCTGGACCCCTCCAGTGTGAACTGGACTCCTCTCAGATGGACAATAGCCATCAAGCCTATTACCTTCAGTGCCTTGGTTGCTTTGGATGAAAGGGGAAAATCTGCTAAAGTCCTAGGCTGGAAATAAGTATAATGGGGACCTGTGGGACTAGAGCAGAATCTCGACTCCTAGTCAAGTTTGTACTTTAAAAGGAAGACCTCCCTGTGACCATCCATCTTTTTGCTTCTCTCCTCTAGTCCATGAGCTCCAACCAGCAGACATCAAAGTGGTGGCCGCCCTGGGTGACTCCCTGACTGTGAGTACTGAGCTGAGCCAGGCCTGGGCACCTCAGAACCCAGCTGGGCCCTATGCAGAATCACCTCTTTCTTCATACTGGCTGCACATTCAGCACTGAGCTGACTCTATTGAGAACCTACTAGTGTCAGGCACCCAAACACAGCCAGGCAGCCACAAGACATCCCCAGGCAATCTAGAATGCCCTGCCCTCTGCCCCTCCACAGTCCCGCTCAAACACCACCTCTTCCACAAGGCCTCCCCTCCATCCCCAGATAGAAGCCAGCCATCCCCGTTCCCGCCACTCCCAGGCAGTTCATCTGTGTGTATGGCACTCACCCAAGTCGGCCTGCCTCTATCAGAGAACTCATTTCCATCTACCCAGGTTCATAGTATGGTGAGTCTTACCTACACGTTGCCCAGCGCCCCCTATCCCATTTAAAATGTGTTCTTGGGGCTGGCCCGGTGGTGTAGTGGTTAAGTTTGTGCACTTCAATTCAGCGGCCCAGGGTTTGCTGGTTTGGACCCCGGGAACAGACCTGTTCACCTCTGTCAAGCCATGCTGTGGCAGGTGACCCACCTAAAGTAGAGGAAAATGGGCACAGATGTTACCTCTGGGCCAATCTTCCTCAGCAAAAAGAGGAGGATTGGCAGTGGATATTAACTCAGGACTAATCTTCCTCAAAAAAAAAACACAAAAAACTGTTCTTCGGGGCAGAAGGAACCCAATTCCTGCACATAGTACAGTTTCACTAAATGAATTGTATTAGCCAACTATTTAGTGATTGCTGTGTGCCAGATACTCTGCTAGCAATTCTGAGGGAAAAGGAGTATGAGACGTAGTTGTAACCCTCAAGAAACTTGTGCGGCCGGGAAAACAAGAAACTTACACAGAAGTAGATAGATAATCAGATAGGTGATATACAGGGCTTTTAAAATAGGGCATTGGTTTCTGTAAAAACATACCATATCCCCATACGTGTGTGAACGTGTTTTAATTTTGGTGTGAACGTGAAAGCTTTGGTGAAAGCTGTGGAAGGATATACACCAGATTCTTAACCATTAATAAGCTCTGGTGGTGTGTATATGTGCGTAAGGGGCCAGGAGGGGATGTACAACCTGTGGCAGGAGGTGAGATTAAGATGGAGGTAGGGGCCAACCCCGTGGCTGAGTGGTTAAGTTCGTGTGCTCTGTTTCGGCAGCCCCTGGTTTCACTGGTTCAGATCCTGGGCGTGGACATGGCACTGCTCATCAGGCCATGCTGAGGCAGCGTCCCACATGCCACAGCTAGAAGGACCCACAACTAAAATATACAACTATGTACTGGCGGGGGGTTGGGGAGAAAAAGCAGAAAAAAAAAGATTGGCAACAGTTGTTAGCTCAGGTGCCAATCTTAAAAAGAAACATAAAAAGATGGAGGTAGAGGTAGATTATTACTTTTTAAAAAATCTTTGTATCATTTCACTACTTATGATGAAGATATGTTATTCTTGTAAGTTTGAAGATGAATTTCTTTTGTTAAAAAGACAGGGCATTTAGAGAAAGCTTTATAGAGGAGGTAGGAGCTGACAAAGGTCTTAGAGAATGAATTAGAGATTTAAGGTCTGGAAAGGTGAGAGTTCAGCATCCTGGGAGGGATGGAGCGGGTGGTAATGGGGTAGTGGGTCCAAGGCCCTCATGCTTCAGAAATGGTGACAGATCAATCTGTTCAGACCTGAAGGTTCGTGTGGACAGCAAAGGAGGGAATCAACGAGGGGAAGAACAGTGGGAACCAGATTATGGTGAGCTCAGAAAGTTGGTGAAGGGGTTTGACTTTGACCCTGTAGGTAAGGGAGACTCACTGGAAGGTCCCCCCCCCCCCGCCCCGCCCCGAAAGGGGAGGCGTGAAGGAAGAGGTGTGCTGGGAAGAGCAGTGAGCAGCCCGATGAGACGGGAACAGGCACTGGAGACGATGGGCTCAGGTGGGAGGCCACAGTGTTGTCCATGGTGAGGAGATGAGAGTCTCAGCAGGGAATACGGCAAAGGGAACAAAAAGAAAGGGATGGGAGCTAGAGATGTTGGGAAGGAAGAATCTTAGTTCTCCCAGGACTGGGTTACTGGTGTGTGTGGAGGACTGGGGAGTCAGCACGACTCAGAGATTGAGGCGGCCTGGAGAAAAGCCAGTACCATTTTCAGAAAAGGTTAATCCAGGTCCTGGCTGCTACACCAGCACTGTCCGCCTGCCCCTGGGCCGAGCACAGGTCTGGAGCCTTCTCTTTGTCTTTCACAGACAGCCGTGGGAGCCCGCCCAAGCAACACCAGTGAGCTACCCATGTCCTGGAGGGGACTTTCCTGGAGGTGAGGCTGCTCTCCACTCAGTTTGAATTGATGACACTGCCCTGAAGAGGCACAAGTTGTGTGTTTCCTGGGTCACTCCTTCAGAGACAAGGCTGGATCCCCAGGCCCCAGTGCTGAGATGCAAGGAGACTCCTGACGCTCATGTCAGTCCTAAGGGTGATAGGAATGATTCACCAGGGCAGACTCTCTGGTGGTGACTCATAAATATGACGATATGTGAAGCAGCAGGTCAGGGTGATCTTAACAAATATACTTTCTCTTCCCCAGCATTGGAGGGGATGGAATCTTGGAGACCCACACCACACTGCCCAGTAAGTAGCAACACAGAGAAGCACCATCACTATGGCCATAACAACCCCTTGCTGAGGCCAGGGCCTTCCCCTGAGTGAGGGAAGAGAAGGTTATCTGCAAGGAGGGAAGTCAGCCAGCCCTGGAGACCCAGAACCACCCAGCCCCACACTTGTGCCCCAACACTGCATGCCCATCTCCCTCTCACCTCTGTTCCCTGCTTCCTCTCTCTTAAAAGACATTCTAAAGAAGTTCAACCCTCACATCCTCGGGTTCTCCACCGGCACACAGGAGGAGACGGCAGGACTGAATGTAGCAGTGGAAGGGGCCAGAGCTCGGTGAGTTGACCTGGATATGGGAGGGAGAGTGGAAGGCAAGGCTGAGAGGTCAGGGTGGGACACAGGAGGAGGAGAGAAGCATGGTGTCTGGGAGCCTGGCCCGCCATGGGCAATAATAGCTGCTGTGCATGGAGCACTTGTGCATGCCTGACCTGGGCGACCCCTTACATAGATTATCTCATGGAATCCTCATGCCCTCCAAGATGGGTACTAGCACGAAGGCCCTGAGGCTGGACAACTTCCTAAATGGCCTAAGGTTATTAGAACAAGTTATCAGCGGAGCCAGCCTCAGACCAGGCTGAATCAGAGCCTTCACTCTGCCCACCGAGCTGTTACTGCTTCTCTGGGGCAGCAGGAGGGAGCACTTGAGGTGGCTTGACAGGAAGCACGTCCTCCCCAGGCTGCGGGTGCCGTCCTGCTGACCTCAGCTCGACCTCCCTGCCCAGGGGGTCAATCGTGCAGGGCGGTTCTCAGCACCGGAGGAGAACTCAGGGCATGACCCTGCAGAGGGCTGCCCTTCCTCTCTCCCCCTCGCCTTGGAACATCGAGTCCTTGACTCTGAAAAAGCTATTTTGACACTAGGGAGTTAGATGTTAGGGCCCCTGAAACAGCCTGGCGGTTGTTTGTTTTCACTTGGATTTCTGTTGTTGACAACAACCTAGATAATTAAAGCTGAAATGCCTGACGGCGTTCATTGATTTTCAGCACAGAGCGTGCTGGGTATCTGCTTTGTAGAAGGATTGCTGTGCTCACATCACCAGGGAAACGACACCGGCTTGACTCACTTTGTTTACAGGGAGCGGTCTTTCAGACGCGGTAACCCGGCCCTCAGCTCCGCTGGAGTCTCTGAGCCACAGGAAGCAATGTCAGTTCCTCAACGTCATAAGCAGGAAGAACCTATTTTTTCTGCAAAAAACGGCTTCATGGGGGCGTAGTATCAACACCTAATTGCTGTTCTTACCATTAATATTATTATTATTATTGTAATCATCATGGTTTTATTATTATTTCACAGCCCAGACTTCATTAACCGGGAGTTGATTCCTTAGTCTGTTGACATTCAAGCTCCTCTCCCCTTTCTTGCTTTGCTTTGCTTCTCTTGCTGTCTCTTCTATTTTACTGTTGCTCGGTGCTTCCACCAGAATCAGTGGCAGGGGAAGTAGCTGAGACCTGCAGCTTCTTGTTGGTGTCTCTGATGTCCGGTGCCAGGGAAAGGAGAGTCAGCCATTGACTTAAGTAAGCAAGGTGGGAGAATTGTCTTCTGACTCCTTCATCTGTACTCTATCTTTTAGTACGGTGTGGGTAAGGATGAGTTCACCTAAAGAGAAATATAAAACCACAGCAGAACAACGAAGATAATGAGGCCCAGGGTCAGACCATCTGTGTCCAGATCCCAGCTCCCAGACTTGCTAGCTGTGTGACCTTGGGCAAGTCACTTAGCACCTCTGAGTCTTAGTTTTGTCATCTCTGAATGGGGATAATAATAGTGCCTACTTCTCAGGGTTGTCGTAAGGGTTAAATGACATAATCCATGGAAAGCACTTAGTACAGTATATAATGTGTTTGCAAAAAAAGAAGTTTGCCATTATTCGTTTCAAAGTTTTATTCAACATCTAATTTACCTTCCATCAATCATTAAGCAAGAATTCACTGAACACTTGCCAAGGTCTGAACCCCAAGGTGTTATTACTAAAAGATACTAAAGAATCAAAAGGTGCACTCCCTGCCTTAGCCAGACAAAGAGCTTACTGATGTCCCATGCTAGGGGAAAGGAGACTATACAAACAGGATATAACTTTTAGGAAAAAAAACAGTGTTGCATATGGCAATATTGTAGACTGAAATGATTTTGTACCTTGGACTACAACTGAGAGAACAGAAAAGCGTGAAGTGTAGACTGGGCAGTCCAAATACAGACGCAGACCTGGAAGGGACTCCAGAAATCATCCAGCCCAAACTCTCCATTTAAAAGATGAAAAAATCCAACCCTAGCAGGCTTTGGTAACTTGGGTGAGTTCACACAGCAAGTTAGTAGCAGAGCTGAAAGGAGAACCCCGGTCCCATAACTCCCAGAGCAGAGCTCTTCGCACCAGGACTAGAAAAGGAAATGACGGAGGTGTGGATAAATGACTTGGAGAGAAGGCTCCTGAGGAAGATAGGACTTGCTCTGAGCCTGAAGGGTGGGAAGAACCTGGCTGGGAAGAGGGGAGGAAGTGGACATTCCCAGCTTCCCCGGTACTCATGAGGGCTTCTCACCCATGAATTCCCCTAGTCACACAGTAAACCTATTAAAACGTTATAGGCACTTCTGTGGTGGCCTTTAATGGGGACAGGCTTTCTTTCTAGCTTTCTCATATACCCATCAATAGCAATAGTGTACGGGGTACAATCCTGGTGTGTAAATGAGAACCAAGGGCAAAGATGGTACTATGTGTGCTTGACCACGTGCCCAGCTCGTCATGGGCATACAAAGATTTAAAATGCCCATCCTGTACCAGTTACTGCTTTTATAACTTCTTCCACAGAAGACTCCACGGCTGAATCCTTTTGCTGACATAAATTCTCATATACACAGCTTTTTTTAAAAAAAACATACTTTTTTGAGGTATAATTGACTTGCAATATAGTGCACATATGAAAAGTGTATAATTTGATAGGTTTGACACATGCATATGCTTGTGAAATCATCACCACAGTCAAGATTATAAACATCACACCCACAAGTTTCCCTGTGCCCCTTTGTAACCAGTCTCTCCCTCCGGCCCCTTCCTGTCTCTACACCACTCCCTGGGCCCCAGGCAACCACTGACCCGCTTTCTGTCACTGTAGTTTGGTTTTAACTTTCTAGATATTTATATAAATGGGATCATAGACTATTTACTCTTTCCTCGTCTAGCTTCTTTCACTCAGCAAAATTATTTTGAGATACATCTGTGTTGTTGCCTGTATCAATTGCTCATTCCTTTTTATTGCTGAGTAGTATTCCATTGACACACAACTCTTCTCCAGAGTGTTCATTTCCTTATTCACAGCAGGAATCTGGGAGATGAAGGGAGAACTAAGCCTGTCCATATTTGTCTCCCCATCCTGTTTTGTTGGGAGGGGAAAAAAGTGAGAAGATGGGGAAGGGTGTGGAAATCCAAAGTAACCACAGAGAAGAAAAGCAAAAGGATTAAAGAAACAGAGAGTGGGACTTAGAAGTAAAGGTCAGAGGAGTCAGGAAGTCTGGAAAGAAGAAAGCTGAGGGATAATTTAGGGCTATGACTTTTGTCAAGTATACAAAAGGTTATTTTTAAAACTGGAAGCCGAATAAGAGCTGAGCAGGCTCAGCTTGCAATCAAAGAGCTGGATGAGGTATAAGGGCACATCCCTGGTGGGAAGGTCGAGCAGATCCCACCCCAAGTGGCCAGAGGATGGGCTGCAGAAGCAGGTGGCTGGACGAGCCCCTGCCAGGGTCTGGATCCATGTGGCTCTGAGGTCCACAGCAGCTCCTTATTACTAGGTTGGGATTTCTTGAGAATCAAAAGCCTTCCAATACACTCTGAAGGAATAAACTTTTTGATATTTTTCTTCCTGAAGCACCTGCTTGCCAGGCCAACATCCTACAGCTTGAGCCCTTGCTCCTGAGCCAGCTCTAACGTCCCTTCTCATCCCTCTGCCTAGGGACATGCCGGCCCAGGCCCGGGACCTGGTGGAGCGAATGAAAAACAGTCCTGTGAGTACAGGACCCCGGGCCACCCTGAAAGGAGCTGGGTCTCCAGCTGGGGTGGGTGCAGCGGCCCCAAAAGAGGCCCCTGTGCACCTCAGCAGCTCCTGCTCTTGGCTTGTCCTTAGGAGAGCCCAAATGAGCCACAAGAAGCAGGTCTTACCACAAAGATGCCCTCTTTGCTGCCCCCTGACCCTAGTTCCCGCATGCTTGCCCCGAGGGCCAGCCTCAGGAGGGAGAGACCACCGAGGGGTGTTGGCAGAGATGCTGGCCTTGGCCTCTGGCAGTTTCCCACTTTACCCAAGAGTTGGCTTCTTGGAGCCCTATTATGTAAATGCTGGCTACTAAACACAGGTTTCTCATTCCAATCCTTCCTCCTTCCCACTCACCGGCCCCTCTAACCCTTCTCACTTGCACTTTTTTTTTTAACGCTCTACGCTTACACCTTGGAATTCTGCTCCTGGCAGGACTCCTATTATGGTGGTGGCTGAGGGGAAAGCGGGCTCCTCCGAGGGCCCCCCAGCCCCGACCCACCTCTCAGTCCACTCAGGGCTCTTCCTCCAGGCCCCTCCCTGTTCCCCCGCACTGTCCCAGATCTGAAGAGCTCCCCTAAGAGGCAGCTCTGGGCTTTCACTTCTATGTAGATGCATCTTTTGCCCTCGGCTCCTTTGAAGGCCTGTAGATCACATTTCAGGGGTGTGTTACCACACTCTACTTCAGTATAGGCTGCAGCTCTCCTAGGAGGATTTCGAAGGGAAAATAGTCCTCCGCACTGTGTGAGCAGCCACACACATGTACACACACACACACACGGATTCTCTGTGGAGCCCCTTGCTCCAGCACCAAGGTGAGGGCAAGGAGGCTCCACTGGCATCTTCTCTCCATTGTGGTCCAGACGCGGAAGGCGCTTGGGGGGCTGTGTGGTCTGGTGAGCATCACCTGCGTTTGCGCCCTAGTGATGCCTGAACTCAGGGTCTTCTGTCCCCTCAGGAAATCAACCTAGAGAAAGACTGGAAGCTGATCACACTCTTCATCGGGAGCAGCGACTTGTGTCATTACTGCGAGCATCCGGTAGGCCTGACAACCCCATTGGGAACCTGAGAAAGGAGTGACTGACCTCTGTCATTGTCCATGCCCAGAGGCCTAATCTCCCTCAGGGGAGTCACACTGGCCTGTTCTCCCAGGCAGCCCCAGGGTCACACCCACCAGGTGAGACCTGGCCTTTCCCACTGTTGAGTGGCCCCTGGGAGAGCAGTGCAGTCTGGTATCCAGATGGGTGACTGGTGCTTGGAGTCCCTGCCCCTGCTTTTCAGGGGGAGGGAGGGTGCACAGGGGGATGCTGAAACAGGTTCATAAAGGGGGTTGGGTAAAAGTGAGCTGGTCCCAACAGTATGGCTTGCAGCCATTCAGGGGCATCCACCAGTCAACCATCCTCAGCCAGCCAGCCTGGGACTCCAACCCATTCCTAACGTCATTTCTAGGGGGCAATATGTCCAGACTTACAAACTTTGGAAGTTGTAACGTTTGGAATACATCTTGTTCTAAGTTGGGGACATCCTGTGTTTCATTTGGCCAGAAAAAGGCAGCTGCCCCGACTCAGAGGTGGAGGTAGAATGTCTGACAGTCACAGGCAGGGGAGAAGGCATCCGTCACTCCTCGTGGCTCAGAGAACCAACCAATTCTCCTGATGAGAATTACCCTCCACTGCACAAGGGTTCTCTCCCTTACTGCCCAGACTCCAGAGGCAGAAGTCACCAAACCCCGTGGGGATTTAAGTGTCACTGTGTCCTGAACTCCAGGAGTGCCTGGAAGCCAAAAGTGACCCCAGAACCACCTGTGGACACTTGGTGCAGGAAATGCCCCTACTTGCTACCGAATATCTGTCCTCATGCGAACAGTCAGGTTTACACTCCTGAGAGCATCTTTCTGTGAAAAGGACCTGAAGGTCACAACCAGGATTAACTCAGGCCACAGTTTCGGAGGGGCTAAAGCAGCTTCCACTCGGGAGATGGATCTGAGGAGGAGACCCCCAAGCTGAGTCACAAGGGATGGCAGTTAGAGGGAGGCGGTGGGGCCGGCATGGGCCAAAGCCCCGAGGAAAGAGACAGCATGGTCCCCAGGGGCACCATTGGGGGTGAAGAAGGCTGAGGCCGGTGATGGATTAGACTGGAGAAGTGGTGGGGCCCAGCATTGTCAGCATCCCTCTGGGTTCGAGAGACGGTGGAGCGGGCTGTGGCGGGGGTTGCTCATGCTGTCTAGGGAGGGCTCAAGGGATGACTTCTTACAAAGACTCTATGTCCACCAGCAACAAGGGCTGGGCTTCCCAGCACATCCAGTGCCACCGAAGCCCCTGTACCCACTCTGCCACCATCCCAGTCCCTAGGGCCCTCCTGTGCTGGGTACTGGACCACTCTTGTCCTCCTCACAGAGTGGAACTCAGGGCGTGTGGAAAGCCCCCTTCTTTCTTCACAGGAGGCCTACTCAGCTGGGGAATATGTTCAGCACATCCAGCAGGCTCTGGACATCCTCTATGAGGTAGGAAAGAGCGGCTGCATGTCCTTGGGTCTCATTTCCTGCCAGCAACCTGCCTGTCTGCGCCCTCACTGGAGGTGCCTCTCCAGGTGCATCTAGGCAAGTTGTATTCAGTGAGATGTACGCCAAGCAGAGCCCCGCTGCCAGCGGGCACCCGGATGGGGTGGAGGCAGCTGCTGAGCTCCTCGGCGGGGGAAATTCTAAGTGGTGGCAAAGAGCTTGCCTCTAGAGCCAGTTGGCCTGGTTTGCAGCCCGGCACTGTGGCTTACCAGCAATGTGACTTCTCCATGTCTGTTCCCCAATCTATAAAGTGGGGGCGAGAAAGAAGATTCAGTGAGATAATACAAGTCACGTCCCTCCTCTGGGACTCAGTTTCTCTATTGATAAAATTGGGGAGGGAGGATTTGCACTGCAGATGATCCCCTAGGCTCCTTCCAGCAGGCGCCAGTTCGCCCCCTCAACTGGCTGGGAACTAATGAAGCCCACCCTCTGCTCCCCACAGCTTCCAAGGGCTTTCGTCAATGTGGTGAAGGTCATGGAGCTGGCTGGCCTGTACCAGAGCCAAGGCGGGAAATGCTACATGTCACTGGGAGCTCAGTAAGTTGGCGGTCACAGTCCCGGGGTGAGGTCAGCTGGGGAGAACAGGGCTCACAGACACCAACAGATGAGACGGACACAGGCAGAACCAGTCAGGAGGGCTGGACATCAGCAGCTGGCCAGGGGCTTGGAAAACCACTTGGAAATGCCTCTATATTATTGAATGCCTCTGTATGCAAGTCACTTCATTTCTCTGGACCCCAATTTGCTTTTCCATAAAATGGGACAGACTGAATGATCCTTAAGATTCCCTGACGTTGTCTATGATTCCAAACTCCAACTTTAGCGAGTTATTCCATGTTTGAGAAGCAGCAAAGTGCAATGAGCTTAGGAGCTGTGGGACCTTGCACAAACCACATAACCTCTCTGGGCCTCTTACTCCTCACCTGTAATACCTCCTTGCAAAGAAAGTGTGAGGTCTAGAGAAAATGCATGTGAGGTGCCTGGCCCCAGTGGGTAGGCTCGCAGGAAATAGCTTTTATAACATCCTTGATAGGACTCTCCTTGAAAGCCAGTCTTGGAGCTAAGGTACTGATGTGCAATCTGAGAATTCCTGCTGGGGACTGGAATTTATTAAAGCTCAGCCATGACCCTGGCGGGAAGTTGCCATCTTCTGAGGCCAGAGGGTCACCCAGAATTCCTGCGGCTGCTATGGGGGAGGAGATTCTGCAGTGGGCTGAGGAGTTAATGGATTTGCTGGGAAGGTGACCAGGAGGTTGCCATTCTGCTAGGAACCTGGTTCCCAGGTGGAGCAGCCACTGGCTGGGGAATAGAAATGGCTCCTGCAGAGTCGGCCGGTCTTGCATTCCACCTTATCAGGGTATCTCACGCTGGTTGACCTTCCCCAGCTTGCCAAGAAACTCTCCACTCTGGAGCCCTGAGGGAGAGTCCTAAGCAGCTGGAGGTAGAGATGGGAAGGCCTTAGGAACATGAGGATAGACTGGGCCATCGTGGCAGCCTTCCCCAAACTCCACCCTTCCCATCCCTTCCCTGGAGAAACTCCAGGAGCCACTAGCTTGGGAAGGGGAATAGGCAGCCTGTCCACAAGGAGACCTGGGCATCGGGCGCCAACTCTTCCACCTTTTCTCTCAACAAGCACCTGTTGGACCTTATGCCGAGTTATGAGTCTGTGACCTGGGTCCAAGAGTCACCCAAGGCTGTGTGGTGGAGGCACCTGTGTCTTACCGCCCTCCCACATCAGGCAGCACTGGGTCCAGGCCTGGCAGGGGATGGGAAGAGGGGTGATCAGCCTCCTTGGGGCACTGAGCTAGGCCGCCCCGGGGAGCCCCTACATAGGATTCCTTGTCTCATAGGAGCAACTGCACTTGCCTCAGACGCTCCCAGGACAACTCCTCAGAGATGCAAGAACTGAAGAAAGTGAACTGGAACTTCCAGGTGAACCTGCACCCCTCTTCTTCCTGTCCCAGCTGGGAGTCCTTGTTACTCCCAGAGCAGGGCTTTAGCTGAAAGAAGGCCACTCCCTAAAGACAGATCACTGCCCATGAAATATTTATCCAAGCGTATCAAACACCAAGGCTGGGAGGGGGCGGCAAGTGAGAAATCTGAGGGGAAGCTGGGAGAATCCCCACCTCCCAGCCTAGGGTCAGCGTGAGCAGGTGAGCAGGACTTGGTTCCCAGAGTAGATTCCATGTGGTGGACACCACCCGTCCCGCAGAACCATGGTTCCAGATACCCCCTCACCCAGTGGAGGGAGGGAAGTGTCCACTGCCCAGTTTGTCCCCTCCAGCCTTCAGAACAGAAGGCCTAGCCCCACCCTACTTACCTCTACCCCAAATTATCCTCACCCTCTCGTGTCTGCTTCCCCAGCACACTCCTTCTCAGGTCCATCTCTGCTCCTGCTGCCCCCTCCCTTGACATGCCCACCCTGAGCTCTTCTGTAGCTTATCCATCTCATGCACAGGGCACGTCGTCTTCCCTCTTCTAAGAAGCTCCGCCCGACTAAACTTCCCGCGCTTCACTGGTTCTCACGTTTTTCACATCTTGTCTCATTTTCCCAGATTGATTATAAGCTCCTTGAGGATAAGCACATCTTGTCTATCCCTTTTACGGTCCGCATTTTGGGACTCCGTAAATCCAACCACCATAGACACTCATCCCCAAGTTCATGGGCATTTAGGGGAGCTGAGGTTGAGATGCTCCCCATTTGAGCTGGAAGTGGAGCCCTGCGTTCTAATTTACCTCTTCGTGCAGTGGGAGCAGAGGCGGCCTTTGGCCCAAGCAGTCTGGTCTTACAGAGATGTCAGAATGGAACCGGGTGGTGTCATGCATGGGTGCAGACTAAACGTGTGCACTAGAGTAGCCCCTTTAGGTCGCCTTTGTCTGGGGTGGTTTGGCCCTAGCACATCCACCCCAAAACAGCAGGACTAGAAGCTGTCTGTCCAGCCTTGCCAGAGGTTTGAGCAGCCTCTCTCCTCACCCCCAGAGTGGCATTTCCAGGTTCTCCTACCAGCACCAGTACCTGCAGCGTGAGGACTTCGCGGTGGTCGTGCAGCCCTTCTTCCAGAACACTCTTGTCCCCTTGAGCGAGGTAAGCTGTGGGCAGTTCTGGGAGGCACGTGTGTAAAGGTCATTCTTAGGCAATGTATTTCCTTCTCTACATGGGCTTTTTTTGACCCTCTCTCTCTGAGAGGGCTCCCAAGGGGTTGCTTTTTCTGCTTTTCCTCTTTTTATTTTGTGGTATGATTGGAATTTGGAAAGATAAGGAGAAAACCGACAGCGACCAAGCTCCCCAGGCATGGCCCTGCCATTTGGTGGATTGGGATAGAATGGAAAGTTTCCTAAAAATATTATTCTTTTTCAACTATTGGGGAAGGGATGCTGAAGGAAAAGGATGGACTGCGGGTAGCTATAATTCATGTCTGTTTTAAAAAAAAATTCCAAAATTGCAATATCCAAGCCAGTTGGGCAGTAGAGTTGAAAGGACAAATGGAGAAATGCCCAGGGTATCTTCAGGGATGTGGGGGCCAGGCAGCCATTCCCTTTGCCCAGAAAGATAACCCCCTTGCCTTTGGTCACAGAGAGGAGACACTGACCTCACCTTCTTCTCGGAGGACTGTTTCCACTTCTCAGAACGTGGTCATGCTGAGATGGCCATCGCTCTGTGGAACAACATGGTGAGTGCCTGAGGGCCAAGGAGCCAACCCAAAGATATTATTTCCCACAAAGAAAAACCTACTGGCTGACATAGCTCCTTTCTCCCCAAAGCTCAAAATAACAGCACAACTTATTTGCCCTGACAGATTCAATTCTTTTGGTAATACCCCCATACGGTGGGGGATAACTTTAATCAGATAAACTAAATGAAAACATCAGCTGCAGTCCCTTACTACGTAACTTTGGGCAAATGAACTCTCTGGCGCTCTCTATCAACATCTGTAAAAACAATGAAATTGACACAGATCTCAGAAAATTGAGATAATGTGTGCATACTACCCGGCACAATAATTAGCATTCAACAAATGTCAGCCCCATTACTCCAGTTTCAACAATTTCCCATCTATTATTTCTTTAAGCATCAAAAAGAAAAGAACCACCCAGCCTGTTTCCCAGGCTGCCACCTATTCCAGTCCTTTCTGATGAGGGGAAAGGGGACCTTATGAAACGAACACACAGGACACCTGGCCTTGTGCCTCGCCTCTGTCCTTTATGACTGGACAATCAGCTACGTTGGAGCAGAGCTCAACCGGTAACCCCAATAGCTGTATTCTCTTTCGGAGAGCAACTAAATGCCTTTCTGATCCAATGCCTTCTCTTGATCTAGGCTCAGCAGGTAACCAGTCCCCACCCCAACCTGTGTGTTCCCTTATTTCTCCCACAGTGACTAAACAACCTACACTCCTGCTCCTTTTATTGCGGTTTCAGGCCTGCTGTGTCTCTGCCAACCACCACTGTGCAAATATTCCCAATCTGTCAGCTCATCCAGCGTGTCCGGTATCTTACTCGGCTGACTCACAATATTGACTCTCTCCTTAGCTACACTACCTCCTCCTCTCTAGCAACCTCTTTGTCCCAGAACAGCATGTAAGCAGGTTTTATCCTTGGCCCCTTTAATTGCAGACTCAGCCTTCTTCTAATTTTGTTTTTCTGGTGGTTTCCTCCTGTTGACATCACATTCTGCCCACTCCTAAAACTTTTGTCAAATTCCCTCAGCCCGGGACTCTGAATTCCAGTCAAAATCTTTGCATTCCCTCCCACCCAACCTCCACAGTAATTTTTTAAATCAAATTTTGCACTTCATAATTCTTGAGAGCGGTTGTTTCCTTTGTAAATTTTTGTTTTGAAGTCCAGTTGTCCTTCAGTAGCCGAGTCATGTGACTTCATTCCTTTCAAAATCCCCCCAAAGAATGGGTATCTGTGCACAGTCCCACTTGTCCCCAGAGACCTCAGGGGACTCCACCCATTCCAAGAAGGGCCAGGAACGCTAAGCCCTTAACCTTTCCCTCCCAGCGTTTCCATCAGGTATGATCTTCCTTCTAGTGGCATTCCAAGCCTGCCTCAATGCCAGGATCTTCCAGGAGTCTCCTGGGGTTTGACGGCCGTATTGATGACATGAACACAACAGGGCCTGTTGGTCTCTTTCCGCATGAACTAATGTGATTCTGGCCTTCTCTCCCAAAGTAACTCAGTAGTTCTCCCCATTGACCCAGGTGAGAGGCTTTTATACATAAAGGCAAGTGGGAGGGGTTTAGATCTGAAAATAAAAGGTGAACACTGCCATGGAGCCGTATCGGTAACACTACGAGACTGTCCGTGGCTCCCCCAGCCGTTGTCTCAGCCATACCCCGAATTTAAAGACAACAACAAAAACAAAACAAAACAAATCATCTAAGAGAGTCTTATCCTATGCTATTTAATTTGGGGAAATAATTATGTAGTCCAGTGTTTTCATCCAGAACCATCTCAGATATAAAGCTGTTGCATCATGCCAAATTTTGGGATCATCGTCTTACTGGAATCTCACCCCTAGAGTGACGTAAAATAATAGGCCGTTAGAACTAGAAAAGATCTTAGAAGTCATCTAGCCAGAATGCTCTGTAACTAAAACACAGAGACATGAAGCAGTTTGCCCAGGATCACACAGCCAGTTAGTGTCACAGCAGGTGTTAGAACCCTGGTCTAACCCCCTAGTGTCCTGGTCACAGCAGCACCCTGCCTCCCTGCTCCCTCCCTGAGAAGCACATATATAACCAGTGAATTCATGTCTCATAATTAGAGTCCCATGACATAGTGTCTGCAGCCTTCGGCTGACACTCCCAGGGTACCCTACCGCGGCAACAGACGCACTTTAAACCGTTTCATCTTCTGCCCCTCCTCCGCAAACAGATTACGCCTCCTCCTCCAGACACTTGCAAAACCAAAGCCAGACACACCGGCAGCATTAGGGAATTTTTTTTTCTTCCTTTTTCTTCTTTTGTCTTCTTATAAAATTCTTCCTTCCTTCTTCTGATAACTATTCCTCCACTGCTTGCTTGCTCCCTCCTGTCAAAATCCCACTCTCAGCTAACATTTGCATAACAGGTGCTGGGTGACAACATTATCCTGATTGGTGTCCCTCTCCCCAGGTTGACAGCCATTAGAATAGCAATTCTCAACTCTGGCTGTGTCGTAGAATCATCTAAGGACTTTCAAAAACAATTAGTGCCTACAATCACTTTGAAAAACTCTGGCATAGCCACCAAAGCTGAACACATGTATTCCCTGTGACCCAGGAATTCCGCTCCTTGATATATCCCCAACGGAAAGGTACACACTGGTCACTAAAAGATACATACAACAATTCTCATAGCAGACTATTCATAATCCCCAAACAGGAAAGTCACCGAATGTCCACCAAGAGTAGAATGGATAAATAAACTGTGGCACATTCTTACAATGAAGTACCTTACAGCAATGAGAATAAACAAACTTCAACAACATGAAGTTACACATAAATTTCAAAACTAAGCAAATTAATAAATAGTCAAGTTGGGGAGTGGATTGTACGGGAAGAGGGTAGCCGGGGGCTTCTGAGTGCTGTAATATTCTATTCCTCAGTCTGGATGTTGTTACAGGGGTATGCTCACGTTATCACAATCCACCGGCTGTTCACTTATGATTTGTACTTGTTTCTCTATGTACATCAGTTTCCATAAAAAGTTTACTTAAAAAAAAAACACACAAAAAACAGAAACATCAGTGCCTGAGTCTCATCCCCAGAAATTCTGACCTAGTCTGGGGTAGCACCAGGGTTCAGGACTTGTAAAAGCTCCCCAGCTGATATTATTGCTCAGGGTTTGCAGACTGCTGCCTTAGATCTCTTCACCACAGTGGTCTGTATAAATGAAAATCTGACCAAGTCACACTCCTGCCTTCAAACTCCCAAGGCCCGCCCTTCCCTGGAGAAGAAAGGGAGGCCCCTTAGCACAGCACGCCAGGCCTTCTGGAACTTGGCCCTAGTTAACCTCTCTGGCAGCCGCTCCCACCACCCTCTGATTTGCGCTTGGAAATCTAGTAAGGACTGAAGTTCCCTGCGCCGCCTGTGCTGTCTCATGCCTCTGTGCATCTGCTCTTGCTCATCCTCTCATCTTGGACTGCCCTTCCGACCTTCCTCTCCTGGCTCACTCTTATCCACCTCAACACTCAAAGGTGCCAGCTCCCACAGGACGTCTTCTCTGAATCCCCAGAGTAGGCTAGAGGCCCACCTGAACCCTTGGCACTCATCCTGTCCTAGTCTTGTCATTTGCCACATCGTTGGCGTGTCTGCCTTAGGAAAGGTGGGTTCTAGGAAAAACCACTCCACTTCCTGTGGCTAGCCCCGTGCCCCTCCCCCTGAGCTTCTCCATTCAGGCGTCCATGACTGAGGTTCATCCATCCACTCACTCAACTATTCCTTGAGCACCACTGTGTGGTGGGTGCTGTTCCAGGTGCTAGGGACAAGACATCCGTGCTCTCATGGGACTTCTAGTCTAGGAGAGAAAAGACAGGAAAAAAAAATCAACAAGGTAATTTCTGACCACATTCAGGGCTTAAAAACAATAAAAGAGGGGCTGACCCCATGGCCGAATGGTTAAGGTTCCATACACTCCGCTTTACCAGCCCAGGTTCACAGGTTCAGATCCCAGGTGTGGACCTACCCCACTCATTGGCCATGCTGTGGAGGCATCCCACATGCAGAGTAGAGGAGGATTGGCAAGGATGTTAGCTCAGGGCTAGTCTTCCTCAAGCAAAACAAGAGGAAGATAGGCAATGGATGTTAGCTCAGGGCGAATCTTCCTCACCAAAAAAAGAAAATAATAAAGCAGGTGATGTGAAAGAGAGTAGTGGTGGGGGAGAAGGAGGCCTCACTGAAGAAGTGACACATGAACTGAGAACTGAATGTCAAGAGGCTGCCAGGCATGCAGAGGTCTAGGGCCAGAATGTTCCAGGCAGAGGAAATAGGACCTGTGTGGGCCTGGAGTCAGGAATGAGCTTGAAGTGTCTCAGGAACATAAAGGCCAGTGTGACTGGAGGGAAGTGAGCAAGGTCAAAGAGGTGGGCAAGAGCAGCCGCCAGGTCCTTGGATGGCTTTCAAAGGGGAGCCATATGATCGGGTTTCCCCTTTGGCTGCTGTGTGGAGATGGAAGGAAGGAAGCAAAGATGGAATTGGAAAGAGCTTCTGGAGTCCAGGTGAGAGATGAAGGTGACTGGGACCAGGGTGATGGCATGGAGAAGGAGAGAAGTGGTCAGGTTTGGGATATGTTTTAGACTGGCTGATGGACGAGGTAAAAGAGGAATAAAGGATGACTCCTTAGTTTGGGGTTGAGTAAAGTGGGTGGATGATTGAGGTGGTAGTGAGAAATAGGCTTGGGATGGGGGGAATAAAGGCTCTATTTCGGATGTGGTGAGTGTGAGCTGCCTTTCACACATCCACCCAGAGGTATCCAGTAAGCTGTTCAATACGCGAGTCTGGAGCTCAGAGTAGGTCAGGGATGGAGATGTAGGAAAAAACCTGGGGGTCGTTAGCATAGAGGCGGTATTCAAAATCATGGGATTAATGAGAGCTCCTGGAGAAAGACTGAGTGGAAAGGAGGGTGGGACCAACTCCCGAGCCCCGGGCCATTCATTCCATCTTGTGACTCCAGCGACAGAGAAGGAGAGAGTGGGGAGGGAGGGGGAAACAAGAAGAGTGCTGTGTCCAGGGAACCAAGGGAAGTGAGTATTTTGAGGAGGGCAATCACTTTGACAAATGATGCTGAAAAGTTAAGCAAGACGAAGTCAAGCAAGCAAAAAAAGTGACCATTGGATCTGGAAACATGGAGGTCATTGGTGACCCTGACCAGAGCTTTAGTCAAGTGACAGAGACTGGAGACGAATTGGAATGGGCATTAGAATGAGCGGTTGAGAAGTGCAAACAGTAACTACAAACAACTCCTCCTAGAGTTAGGAGTGATGGGCAAAGGGAGCTAGAGGGGATGTGGGCTGAAGGGGAGAGCAGTTAAAGGTTGGGAGAGAGAGTAGGTTGTGCGCTGACAGCAAGGAACCAGTAGAAAGGGAGAAACTGATGCTGTCATCATACCCACATGATCATTACCTTCCTCTGTGCCAGTTAGTTCCTGGGTTCCCGGAATATCATTGGGAACCAGCTTCCAGCTCATTCTCAGAGGGCTCCAGGATCGAAAGTATTAAGCAGAACCTCTCTGAACAACAATTGCTCCCAGAAATGTTTCAAGTAAACCTTTTTATCTATGTGAAAAACATACAAAGTAGCTCAAGTGAGAAAACTCCAATTTCTTAAGGTTGACAAGCCAAGTGTAGTAACAATGTCATGGTAACCAATATGTTTTCAAAGTTTTCCTGAAATTGACTATCCTCACGCACTTCAGGAAGTTGCTAAATATGAGTTTTACCATTTTATAAAATTGAAAATGCAAGTGTCTGTGGTCCCAGCCACCCACAAGGGAAGCAAGAGATGGAGGTTCTGGGCCCTGCCCTTCCACACACTCGCTGTGGCCAGTGGGCCGGTCATTCTCTCCTGGTCCTCAGTGTCCTCCTCAACAAATCCAGGACACAGACTCAGGGTCCCACCCTGCTCTGAAAGACTCTGATCTGTCACTCAGTGAGTCAGAAGTCAGGCCCAACGCCTGCCCCAGGGCTGCTGGTGTCTGCTGTGGTTCTTGCCTCTTTGCTGGTGTCAACCTTGCAAAGGGAGGGAATGTGGTACAAGATTTCCTCCAACAGGGAGGTCTCTCCAGCTTTGGAAGGAATCAAGCTTTCCTTTTTCTCTCTTCAGCTGGAACCAGTAGGCCATAAGACAACCGCCAACAACTTCACCCACAGCAGGACCAAACTCAAGTGCCCCTCTCCTGTGAGTAAGGGTCCCGCCTGTCCAGTGTGGAACAGATGCCTGGGAGGGGGAGGTGTAACATAGCTACCTGGAGGCATAAGGTCGCCTGGGAGGCTTGATCATCACGCACCTTCATTCACTGCCACCATTCTCAGATGTCACCTCTCTTCATTGCCCCTGACACTTCTCATCTCCTCAGGGTGTAGGCAGCCATGAGTGAGGGGAAAGAGAAAGCAACAGGTCCGAGTGGACGGGGAAGAGCACTCAGGGGAGGCAGATGAGTGAGCACTGGCCAGAACCCGAGTCACCCATGACCCCTGAGGGGTCCGACACATCCTCTGTCTTAACCACTCGTCAGGGAGCTCTCCCATGCCGGGCACACTAGTAGGACCTGGGGGTTGGGAGGCAAAGAGAAATAAGACTCCTTGTCTGCTCCAGGAGCCTGCAATCCTCTTCCTCCCTTTCCACCACTGCCATTTTCCAGGCCTTTACTGCCCTTACCTGGGCCACTGACAAAGCCCCTAACTTGCTGCCCAGGTCTCCTCTCTCTCTTCTCTATCCTTTCTAAAATCATGGCCAGACGTGGAGCTGCCTCCCTGGAAAGTGACTCCAGTCTTGTCAAGGCTGCCTGAAACCTTTCCCTGGATCCCACTGCCCCCTGAAGAGTCCAGAGGGAGGCTCACCTTCCTCTATCACCTTAGACACACGCTCTGCTCCCGGAAAATGGAGCCGCTTCCCAGACAAGCTCCACCATTGCCCGTGTCTGTGCTTTTACTTCTGCCATCTGCTCCTCCTGGAGCTCATCCCCCAGCTCCGACAATGGAAAATCTTCACAGCCTTCAAGGCCCTGATGTTGCCCTCTCTGGGCTACTGTTCCCGCCCCCAGACACACACCTGCGTTGGTCTCTCTTTTCTGTTTACACCTCTCATAAGACACTGACCCAGGCTCCTTTGTGATGCGATTGTTTCTGAGCGCATCTTATCTTCTGGCTGGACAATGAGAGATGTTATGTCTGACCCGCAGGTACTGTCACAGCTCCTAGCACAGGGGTCCACACAGCCGACACTCTGTTAATGTTCCCTGAGAGGAAGGGAAGAATCCTGGGAGGCAGGCCCAGATGCCTCCTCTCCTGGCCCTTTCCACTTGAGTTCTCTAATCTCCTACAGAACCAGCTGTCCTTCCACACTGACCTTGCCTGCTCCCCCAGCCCTCCTGGGGCAGGAGGATGTGAATAGCTGTCCATTGGTGGCCCAGAGGAAACATAGGTGGGGGCCCTGGCAGCTCCCAGGAGTCTTGTCCGCTGGTCACCTATCAGTTCCCAATCTTTCAAAGTCAGATTGATAAGAAAGGAGATGCTGGAGAGAAACCCACAGGAGGGTATAGCTGGGTGTTGACCACTCTAGACACCCACCCTCACTCGGCAAGTCTGGGCACAGCGTAGAGGAAGGAGCTTTACACACAGGGATGAACTGTGAAATGTGAAAATGTACCGTTCCTGGGATGGGGACGAAGCCAGCCTAAGGTGGGCAGATGGATGGTTTTCAGAAGCCCTTAACCCCTGACCTCTCCTCCTCCACAGGAGAGTCCTTACCTCTACACCCTGAGGAACAGCGGGCTACTCCAAGACCAGGCTGAAGCAGGCCCCCAGGTGATCTCCTGGGCCGTGCCAGTAGCAGCAGGAGGTGGCCTCGCAGTTGGCGTTGGCACAGTCATGGTGTGGAGAGCCATACGAGGTCGCCAGAGGGAAAATCTGCCAATGAGCCTGAACAGTATGGGCCTCTAGGCTCCCAGCCGTGTACAGGTGCTCATCCTAAATTTCCTAGCCATGTTCCTCACCAGCGCTCCACCACAGCCACCCCTGGACACCACACGAAGAGCGCTTGCTTCGACACTGGGTGATGTAGGAAGCCAAAGGGACAGTCACGACTTCTTGGAGCCTGGGGCCTATGCTCCTGTAATTAGCGAATTTAAATAAAGGCCAAAGTCATTCTATTCTTGGGTCAGCCTGGTCGAAGCTCTCGCCTTGCATCTGTTGTCCAGCGCAGGTGCGGGAGCTGGAGCCTTTCAGGTTCTGGCTCAGCCAGAGCTGCCCAAGTGATGGCCAACCAGAGCCCAGACCGGCACCTGGCAGGCTCCAGCCCAGCACCCAATGAGCATACCTGCAGTCACCAAACCTACTATTTTAAACACGGGCAAAACACTGGTCACCAGGTGGTGGCTGGAATTACGGACCTGGCCGGCCAGCACTCACTATAATCCAACACATACCTGTTATGCACCTGTTTTGTACCCACGACAACGTTGAGTCAGTGGTACCTCCAAGGCTGCACGTGCCACAGCCTGGCTGAAAAGACAAACTCCTTCAAAAAACAAGAAGCTCCACGACAGAGTGTAATTCAGTACTGGGGCATCGGTGGGTCACTGTGTCTGATTGTTTGAGAATAAGAGGAATTTCTTGGGAAAAGTTTCCTGGAAGAGAGCGATTTTGAAACGTCAAAAAAAGAATTGGGACATGAATACTTCACATATCCTCAACCTGGTCTCCTCAAGGTGCTGAATTTAGGAAAGAATTCCTCCTTCTATGTTGCCAGGTTTCTGAGAGAGACCCAGAGAGAGTCTGATAACACAGGCTGCAGTCATTCAGCCCCTGCCAGGAGCCAGGCCCTGGGCCGATGTCTTACAGATTCTTTTATTCTGCACAAAAACTCAGGGAGAGCGTGATGAAAAGTTTTGAAAATAGAAGCAGTGGTTGCACAACATTGAGAATGCTCTAAATGCCACTGAATTGTTCACTTTAAAAAGGCTAATTGTATGTCATGTGAATTTCACCTCAATAAACCGAAAGGAATCCATTACCTACGTTCTAAGTACCTCTCTGTTCCCAAAGCTTGGGATGACAAAGAACAGGATAGAGCATTTGAATGTGGCCTTCAGAGCAAAGCCCACCAGCAGCCGGAACCCCAGTCTCTCAGACACCTCATCTGTAAAACTGGAATCAGAGCATCCAGCTCGCCTCCTTCACGGCACTGATGGAAAACAAGAAACGTATATAAAAATGCTCTAACTCTAAAATACTGCACCTACGAAAGCGGGTTGTTTTCTCTCCCGTGAAGAGTTGAGATGGAGTCCAGACTGTCAGGGAAGTGGAGAGGTGCAGAGAGAGGTTTGGGAGTTGGGCAGTAACGTATGGATGAAGACTGCCTGCCTTCCTCTCATGAAAGCTTATCATCTTATCTCTCTTTGGAAAAATAGGAGAGAGTCCCCAGAGGATTGAGGTCCAGTCCCAGTGTTCTTCTGGGCTTCAATTTCTGTTTCTGTATGATAGGAACAGCATACCTACTCCCACTTCCTCCTATGGACCAAAAAACATAGTGACTGAATCACACATATCCTAAAGAACCACCACATCCCAGCTTGTGTTCCTGGCTTACCACAGTGTCACAACAAAGATAACCTGTTAAACCCAAGAGTTCAGCTTTTTTTTTTTTTTTTTTGGTGGGGAAGATTGGCCCTGGGCTAACACCTATTGCCAATCCTCCTCTTTTTCGCTTGAGGAAGATTGTCACTGAGCTAACATTTGTGCCAGCTCTGCTTTCCTGGCCAGGGTGGAAAAGCTGTTCCCAAGCAGGCCTCAGATCGAGCTGGCCTGGAACCAGGCTCCCAGGAGCAGGCCAATTTGGGCCCAGCTCCCTAGCAACAGGGCGCTGTTAGGTAGGAGCAAGGGCTCACCAGGCTTCAGCAAAAGGAGACCACTCAAGTGTGCACCCCCGTATCTCTGTGCGATGTCCAAAGACTTGTCACTATAAGCTTGATCCACTGTTCTGGCAGCTAGCACTACAGTACGCCAAGGGAACATGTGCCCTCCTGGAGAGGCCCCAAGTCCACCCCTACTGGGCCCTGGCTGCACCATCCAGCAACAACACGCTGCCATCAGGATGCTTGCACGCAGTGCTGGGGGAGCAGGCACATAAAAGTGAGGAGGAGAAGAAATAGAGGCTTTGCCTAAACGCATTCCACACGGTCCATGTTCCAGTCATTTGAACGTCGTTCTTCATGATCAGTTCAAGTCTCCGGCACAGTCAGGCTCAGTGATTGAAGAATCCACACTGAACAGGACGTAGGCGAGTTGAGGATCAGACAGGAGCAAAGGAATTCTAATCCTGAATTCTTATGAATGATCCTATTTCTTCAACTGTAATAAAACAGGGATAATGTCTACCTTAAAAGACTGTTGGCAGATTAAATGAGAAAACGTATGGAAAGGGTCTGGCAGAGGAGGGGCTTGATAAATGGGAGCTGTAATTATTCTCATCTGTGTAGAAAGCTTGTCCGTGAGTCCTGCCCTCTGCACCGCGTCACCTCCTCTGGTTCTCCACACGTTTTCAACCTCGGTCTCAGAGAAAATTATCAGCCTTCTAGCAAAGGCTCAGAATCACTCAGCTTCTACGTCATACTGGTACCTAAGGGGAGACCCCTCCCTTGGACAGAACAACCGAGGCAGCAGCCCTGGGTCCCACACTCAGAGGCGAACACGGTGGCCACAGGGCATGCCTGACTATTCTTTTCTGAGCATTAAATTCAGTTTTGAGTTGTCTGTCTTTACTGATATCCCAAAAGGCCTAGGAAAGAGACTGATGGTGCGATCTCCTTCCGGGTGCTGTCATCTTGAGTGGGCCCTAAACTTGGGGAACATCTCAGGGTCCAGGATACAAAGGAGGGCAGGCTCTCACCACCTAGCCCCTGGATCACCTGGGAGGCAGCTGCTTTCTCTGCCCTTTCTGCCAGGGGACTCTGGAATACAACAAAGTCTGTTTTTAAGTTGAGTTCTACACTTGATTTCAAAGGTTGAAATGGACCTGGGTCCACCACAGTGCAGCTGGACAAGTCCCCCAAGCCAGGGCTACCCCATCCTGACCAAGATGCGGAACCAGTTGCATTAAGTCCAGCGCAAAATTAAAATACGAGGCCCCTTGTTGAAAAATTGAGAATTTTAAGATAGTGACAGCAGGGCATTAAACCAAGCATAGGCTCTTCTGAGCGTGGGCTCTGTGTGACTCACAGGTCACATGCCCACAGAGCTGGCCCTGCCCAGACCATTTAGTGCTCTGTGCTCTCAAAACCAGAGGGACAAGCACACCACACCCCTGTTCCCGTCTGTGGGGAGAGGAAAGTAGGAGGCCAAGGGATGCCAACCCCCTAGAGAGGAAGGTGCCCCAGGCATGAGATGCCCTGCGCAAAGGGAGGCCACAGGGCAGCTTGGTTTTTTCCACTTGCTGGAAAAATAGCTTACAGCATATCTCCTGTGACCACCAGATCAATGATAATGTGATTTTACACGGAGGCTCAATTTCGACCTTTCTCTTCTATTTTTGTAACTCATTTCACACAGCAGGGCCCAGGATCTGGATCTCTTTGGGTCCGGGATGCCCTGGGGAGACAAAGAAATGCCGCAGTTTCCTGACTGGTCCCCAGGGCAGCCCTCCTTCTAGAAGGCAGCACAGGTGACTGTGAAACCAACCCCGGGGCTGGCACTTTATCTCATACGGTGGCTGTGAGAATTCGGGGAAAGCCTGGGTGTAAAGCACAAAGTGATGCCTGACACAGAGCAAACGCTCCGTAAATTTAGATACTATTAGTGTTATTGATAGGAGCCTCCTCAGTTTTCATACTCTATTCGATTGCTTTTGTCGCTCTGCCAAGCAATTATTTGTTGTCTTTTTTTCCCTGAGTTGATATTTATGCTCTTCCTATGACAGAAACACTTTTACCAATAGGTATCTTCATTTATTCAGTCTATCAGCCGGGCAGCCTACGGAACAGAGCCTCATTTCACATGTCCTGGGCTGGCCATGAGCAAACATCGATGAGGAAGACACAGGTCGCCTCCAAGGGTTTTACAGACTGCTGTAGCGATTGTCACAATTTTTTGATTGTGTACCTGCAAAAAATGTTAGAAGTGCACCCCAATACAGAAATATTTATAAATTACATACATTACTGTATTATATAAATTGTAAAACATTCAAGAAAAGAAAATTTTTAAAGAACAGGATGATGAAATAAACATTATGCTCTTGCTAAAATACAGCCATGCATCACTTAATGGCAGGGTTACATTTTGAGAAATGCAGCGATTTCCTCATTGTGCGAACGTCATAGAGTGCATGTACACAAACCTGGATGGTAGAGCCTGCTACACGCCTGGGCCATAAGGTACTAATCTCATGGGACTGCCCTTGTCTATGAGGTTCGGCTTTGACTGAAACATCCTTAGGCGTCGCATGACTGTAGTAATATTTGGAGGGAGGAGAGAATTTTGATTATGTTTCACTACTTTTAAAAATCTTGATTTAAAGCTTTGTGATACAACTATTTAAAGGTCTCATTTTAGGTTAATTTTATTTCTAAACTTGCTTTCAAAGATTCTCACAGCTGAAAAAAGATTCCTCACAAGGATGCACGAGCTCCAAATGGAAGAAGTACCTTGTTGGCTGTGCTGACTCAATCATGATTCTCATTCAATTATGCAAATATTCTTGTTTAAATAGCACTCATTAAATACTCTTCTCGTTAATAGCAATCTTTTTCATCTTTAGCAAACTAAATGGAAAGTGTCCCATTTTTCACAAATGGGTTCAAACCCCACTGATACTCTTCAAATTTTAAAAACAGGTTTTAAAAGTTTGCCTTCTAGTTTTTAAAAAAATGTACAGAGATATGAGAGTTTCTATAGATGAAGCTCATCATTATCAGCTGCAGAATCACGTAACGGTAGTAACACGTCCAAACATCAGCTTTCAAAATCAACTCCCATCCCCTTTGTTTTTAAAAAGCTCCTTTGCACACCACACGCCACAAGTTACCTTCAAAAACCAATTGCTTCCTCTCCTTTTCCATGAAGTGAGTTTATTTTTTTTTCTAAAATATTTGCTAGGTGACATACTGACAGCCAATTGTCATCATAGAAAAGGTCAGCAAGTTTGAAACAGATGTCTATTGGTTTAAAAAATGCATAGTTCTTCTTCAATCTTGATGGCTCTTACAACACTTTCATGGTGACTCCCCATCTTATTACAAAAATGTTGTGAGGATTGTATTATACTTAAAAGTCTTGTTTTTGTTACAGTTGCCACATTGATGATATCCTGTCTCATTTTGTGCATGCCTGGCTTTGCCACAATAGCTTGCCAATAAGTGATAGCATGAAAGAATTTCAGATATTTGTATCCTTAGCAAGAAATCTAATTCCAGTTAGAGCAGTAACTCTGTTAGTGAGCACACTTCCACGATTTTTCAAAGCATTGTTTTTATTAAAGAAGTAATTTTCTGTTGAAAATAAATCTGCACTGGTACATTTTTCTTTTTTTAATGGTACACACATGGCAACTGTGTGTATATTTCATCATTGAAACAATCCAAGAAATGACATAGGCTAAGATGTGTTTTTTACTCTATATTTTATCCAGATTTCCCAATGCTTCATAATTTGTTATAACACTTGGCAATGTTTTCTCTGCATCTTCCAACAGTGTACACAAACAAGTACCTATTTTTTTTGTGCTGTGTGGCTTCCTTTGTTTTATTTTAGCCATCATGGCATGTGGCTCTTTGCCTCTGCTGGTAAAAGAACTAAAAAAAAGAGAAAAAAAATACCTCTAACTATCTATCATTAAGTTTAGTGAATTTTGTGAGGTGTTGGATTCAGAGCCCCATGATTTCAAACATTGATTTTAAAAGTGTAGTGGTTTGTGGACATGTACTGAATGCTTAGTTTTTAAACATCTTGCTAATCCATATGACTTCCTTTCACTAGCGCATATCTGAATGCACCATATGCACTTATGGAGGGTTTATTAGCACTAGGGAGTGGTGCGTATAAATCCATGTTCAATATCGACTTCTTGATAAATTCAATGTTTTCTCTTCTTGTCAGCTCTGATTAGAGCATCATTGCTTTTATTACATGACGTGGCTATGAAAAGCCCTTACTGTCAGAAGGCTGTCAGCTCTGCTATTCTTGTTGCTTTAACTTGTCTGACAATTTGGTGTCAGATTTCAATTCTGGTTCTGTTCCTTGCTAACTCTGTGACCTGGGAGGACAGTCATCACAGCACATTCACTGAAAGTGAAGGATTGAGCAAAGGGCCACTTTCAGCCTCTCTCTGCCAGGTCCACCCTGCCATCCTTGGGAAACCACCTGTACAGTATGTGACATGTGACACTTGAGTGAGAGTGCCAGGGTCAATCCACAAATAAGATATTAGGAATGCTAATGGCTTCCTTATTTTTGGGTTAAAAATGCATATACGCAGAAATTTTAATACTTTCTTCTGACATTTTAATGGATCATCCTATATACATTACTTTGGGGATGGGTCCTCAACTGTGTTGTGTCCCAGGCAGCAATTATGAAAGTACCACAGTTATCACTACAATCCATCATTCTAACACTCCTGCCACCGGAGGTGCTTTCCTAAGTGAGAGAATGGTCCAATGTTAAACCTGGTCTCTGGACTCCTGCTGAATGGGGCATGACCACGGAGTGTCCCATGCGGGGTGGGGAGTTCTGTTATTTGTCCTGGTTAGCGGACATGAACAGTGAGAACTACTGAGCTAGATAGAGAAACAGATACATAAATGAACGTAGTGAATGCTATGATACAGGGGCATACGAGGACCCACCTGAGACCTAACGAGGAGATGCTCGGGAAGACTTCACACTAGAGGTGATGGGACCTTTGAGTGAGCTTAGAAAGCAGGGTGGAATTCCAACGGGAGGGAGACAGAGCAATGCGGGCGGAGGTCATGGCATCTGTCACAACACAGCATCATGGGATAAATGGTGAAATGTTTGGGGAATGTGGAGATATCCAGAACTGATCAGAAGGAACAGGATGCGAAACTGGTTTCTATTAAAGACGTAGGATGTGCATGTGTCACATTAATGTGTGCCATGTTTTCTTAAGAGAATGGGAGTTTTTTTTTTTAATTTCCTTGGTGAGAAACAATGTCTCCTAGTATTAGCCTCCTTAGTATCTGAGTCTGGGAAATTGTGAAGAAACTTGGAAGCCATGCTAAGGAGTTGGACTTAGTCCAGGATGCATTTGATGGTATCTTATACTTAGTAGGGAAGGATTTTTTTTTAAGTAGAGGCATGGCGTGATTAGATACCTTCTACAGCATTCTTGAGAATATGCACAAATACATTCCAAGTTCCACTGACGTC